ATAACACGCGCCGGCGCCCCATTAAAATTCCAAAGCATTTTGTAAATAAAAGATAATTGCGCAACCTTTTTTTTCGGCCCCTTTATAATTTATTTTCCCCCCCCCCCCCCCCCCCCCCACCTCCCTTCTTCTTCCTTAATAAACTCAGTGCTACCTACTTATATTTTGGGTAGGTAGGATGGAGATATATGTAGGTACCAGGTTGGTAGGTAGTTTCCCTACGACTTGATGTAGGATGTAGGATACCTACTCAGGCGCCTGGGCAGTACATGGATACTTACCTAGGTAAGTACCTATCTAAGTTAGGTTTTCTTTTCGGCAGGCGGAACCTTCGATGTTAGAACATCATCTACGGCTGTTGCTCGGCTTTAGATTCCAGCCTATCATCACATATCAATCGCTAACTCCTACATATAGCCCTACGTATCTGCAGAGGAACTTACCTAGGTATGTATGTAATAAATAGGTAGAATATACGGGTTATTCGGCGACATAAAAGGCAAGCATCCAGAGTTATCCCACGTCGCATACCTAGGTAGGTAGGTATACATATGACTTACAATGGAGTTGATATGATACAGTACTTTCATAGTGAGAATTGAGGATTTGTGGCTTCAAGGGTAACAGGCTAAGATCTAAGGGAATACAGATGTGCTGTCTTGTGCTGTGTTGCGTCGTACTGTGTACTAATAGCTACCTAGGATACCATTGATCTATAGACTCTGTATGGATATATATCTATAGAGGTATGTATGTCTCTACTTGAGATATGGCTCGACCGGTGTAATTCAATTACCTGGAAGGGGGACTACTAAACTCAGCAAGTTACCGTGACGAACTCGGACTGTATATTTGAGGAGGCGCTTTTAGTTTCCAGAGTTTTTGCCATTCCAATTAGTAAGTTACAGTATCTACGGGGTACCTAGCTTATTGTCCCCCATGTGAGAGGTCTACGTAACTTGACGTGTTATGCTCAACCACAATACAGTCGCACTTAATCAAAACGGGACTTGTCCAGGCATTGGTCTACGTAGACCATAGCAGATTCATTACACCTGCTTCCTAACCGATATTCTCTATGTATCCTCTGTGTCCTTGGGACGACCCTTTTTCATATGAGCGAGATTGGTATGCCTTATCTCTATCTATTTCATACCTTGCCGAGATAGCTTGGGCCAGTATATCATACTAACCCAAGTTATGCATGTCTGTCTAAGTATCCATATATTCTTGTGTGCTCTTGAAGAGGTAGAGTTCTAGGTTAGGCTGAAGAGGGGTACGCCAACCAGATCCTTTCTCTTTTAATTTCTTATTTCTTCCGTCTGTCCCGTACGCCTCCGCATGGTTCGCACATGAGGGACCTCTCTCGACTTTTATCTCTCAGGGTCCGGGGTGTTTTCTTCTTAAATGACTCATTTATTATTCATTTATTCTCCACGTGGGGGGTGAGGAGAAATGTAGAAGTCTCCAGCATGTTGACAAATTTTCGATTTTGGGTATTTCGTCTTTCATCAGCCAACCGAACTCCCACCGTTTTGCCCCGATAGATCAACTTCCATTTTTAGAACATAATACATAACAGGCGAGATTCAGCTCAAGGTGCAGATATTCGGTCAGTTTGCTTTGCCTGGAGTAACTACCTCCAGTTGTATCAAGTGATAAACCCGACAACAGATACTTATCGTGAGATCTGAGAACACGATTTATCATACAACCTTCCTTCCGACTACCTCTTTTCCAAATCTTGATTCCTATAACTACTTGATTGTCCATATACAGGAGTGAGCGTGTCTATTACCTGCCTTGTCTCCAACCCGCATCACCATTGGGTTGCTCCGTTGTCTACATCCGGTCATCTAGCTAGGTTTCTCGCCTGTTCTACTCCGCATCGTTTCATCGGTACCTCACGGGCTTTTGTTCCTTATCACATATCTTTCGGGAATTGTTTTAGTGATCGGTAAACTGATAAATCGGACAAAAGGCTACTAGGTAAGAGGCTAACATCATTAATGAGAATTACATTTCACTTGCAACTAAAAACTTGTCTTCATCCTCGCGACATTCTCAACTACCCACTCATCATGGGTTCATAAATGTACGACTATCGCCTAAAGTTGTCACCTAAAAGCATCTAGTACCAGGGGACGAAAGGCCGGATGAGCTGAGTGCGTTGTCCGATGCCTGAAATATCAAATAGGGGACTGTCAACCCCGACCAAGCAGTTACAGCTTACCCAATGAAATCACTAGACACCTGGAACAATTCAAGATAGAAACAAGCTTAGAAATAAACAAAGTTAGACATTTGTGTATGGAAGCTCCGGACTGACTTCCAGTAGGTCATCCTAGGCGGACTTGTCGAATAAGGTGTGCAAGTAACCCAGATTCTTTGCCGTATGTTGTCTCATACGCGAGAACAATACGCTCTTTATGTATTAACTATACCCAACTACCAGTAATATAGTATTGAATACGTCCGAGGTGCATATCAACATCAGTTCGCCCCGTAAAATGTTTCACATGTCTCTTTCATTAGTCATGAACTTCCTTACAATCTAACATGAATTTCCGGATTATTGTAACAGGTAAGCGAGGCCGAGAGAATTCTAGTTGCAATGCGCTGAAAACGCCGTAATATACAATAGACGTTTGCTAACCAGTCATCCAGGTGGCTGCCCTCCGCGCACCAAAGCTGGTGGCAAGACGTAGTCCGCTTGAACCCATCGGAAAGTAGCTGACAAGATACCATAGAAGGCAGGCGAGCTGGACGATTGCGGACAATAAAGTCAGCGTTGTGCTGTGAAGCTGCAACAAGTCAGTGTCTTGACTCCGCATTAGAGTAGAGAGAGGATGGCCTACCCCTACGGAGAAGTATATGGTCAACGCAATAGAGCCAAAATAGGCCGCGGTGAATGGCAATCGTGATCCAGATACCAAATGCTGGGCGTACGCCATAGGCCCCATCATGGCGGCAAAGGAAGAGAGGAACAGTATCGAGCCAAAAGACCATCTGGTGGTGACACAGACTGTTAGCATGATGCCCTCGGACGCATACTATCTATGCGGAAATTGAAGTAATATGTAGAAGAACGTCGTAGAAAGAAGGTTAGATCCAGACCAGATCCACCCGGTTGATCATCCGTGCTGTTATGCGAGATTGATACATATGCAACAGCGGCTTCTTGCAGAGATCTTCACCTCATCTCATAGTCGTGGGAAGGGGGGCTCTGTTCTGGACACGAGGACAAGGAGACAGGGGGGTAGCTAGCAATGCTAGCTACGGGAGAGAAGCTAAGAAAACTATTGGTCTTACAATATGACAAACTTGCGAGGCTTGGTCATGAGGATAGGCCATAGAGCAAAACAGAGCACAAAGCAGGCCAGTGCACCCAAGTTACAGGCACCAAATATCAACATTCGGTCCCATCGACTCACTATGAAGAAGATCGAGATTCCAAGTCAGTCTCTAGAAAGCTATGGTGGATCGGCTCGTCCATGTGGAAAGGTGAAACAGGGCGCGCGGATGATGCACATGTCGCCCGTCTAAGGTACGATGCAGGGGAAAGCGAACGTTTAAGGGGCTGGAACTGAGCACTACGGATAGGGTATAGGGCGTAGGGCATAGGACAAGACTCACGGACGAACCAGCCTTCTTCCTCTTCACGACGGTTGCTGGCTGGCAGGGGAGCGCCAGCGCCCTCTGTGGTAGGTAGTTGTACATATCCACGGTCTCCGAACGGGTTTAACGACTTCATCGAAGACAAGAGTCCGGATGTCTGTGACGTGTTGGCCGTGTAGTCTCGGTCTCGGTCGCGACGCGACCACCCTAGAGAGTTCATCGATTCTCTAAAGGATGCAGACGCCATCGTTCGTTATGGTTCGCGCTCGCTCGCTTAACTTCGGATGAACTCGCAATTCTCAGGTTCGCTCTGTGCGGTCGCAAAACGGTTCGGGCGAATATGGCGTGTGGTATGGTGGATTGAATATATGGGGCGGATAGAACGGAAAATACAAATTTGTAATGGATGCCACTGGGTGTGCCGGATGACCTCTCCGTCCTTGTACTGGTAATTGGAAGATTGGTGTTGATGGAAGACGGGAAGTGTCTGCGGTCTGAGGTGATGTCGCGTTTAGGGTGCACTAAAAATGGGTGTGGTGGAGGAAGAAGCAAAAAAGTGGATTAGTGGGATTAAAGGCATCAGCCAGAGTGATCAGCCACACAACTACGAAGTTGAAAGTATCAACTTTGATGGTCTGTGCGAGTGGGGGCTTTGGTGTGACATTCAAATGCACGTCATTGGTTGAGACTTTCTGGCATGTGGCTTCAACTAATCCCTGACAGTGATCCCGCTAAGATGGGGCCGATTTTCTGTCAGTCTTTCTAAATCCCTGTTCCTCCTTCATTTGCCTCCTACAATCTCATGGCTCGTGCGTAAAGAAGTTGACAACCGGCATTGAGAAGCAATATTACGGACGAACATGTTACTTACCGCGGACGAGGGTAGAATAATGCCGCTCTGCTTTTACTTGGGGTATCTTCGCTTTTCCCTGATTATACCTAGGAATAATTTCTAATTATTCCTAGGTATACAAGACAATAATATCTGCGGAAGCCTGTTTATGAGTTGCGTCGAGGATGAGATCCGTCCATTCCGTACACACCTTCGTGAACTTTTCTATCTGCCCCGCAGGTAGACATGTGTGAATGTTTCATCGACACACAGAGAGCACCTCAAGCATGTAACTTATACGTAAGTTCCAAGATATTGACGGTCGCGTAGATTTTGACACTTGCGCGCTTGCGCATACTACGCCTATGTCCGCATATATGCAAAGCAACTATATACCTTGTCTATACTCAAGGTGTGTTAGAACCCTATCTTCCTATTGGCGGGTACGCGTCTACTATCGAACTTGGGGATATAATTTATTCTGGTGGTTGCAAGATGGCTCAACCTTCGAAGCAGCGGAGAACGCGGTTGCGCGAGACATAACATATCCTAGCCGACGTTGATTTGGAGGTTTACTCTGGCAGCTTTGGATGACCTACGCCGATCTGTTCAATGTATTCACGTATTCGTGGGCATATTTGACGTACTGTGTTCGGTTTTTGGAGACGAAGCCCCGGTAGTAGCCCTACAAGTCAACTCCAAATCAGCTGGTCCCATTATTATTAGGTATCTGAGATTGCCAATCACGTACCGTGCCGAACGGGCGCTATTCAAACTCTATCGAAGTGCGTCCAAGTGGTTAGATGCGCCGCGGACGTGATTGGCTCCCACTCTCCATGCTGGATACTGGGGGTGTAGAGCCGTGGATCGTCATGGGGGAGAAGCCGTCGACTTTCGAGAATCTGCAGCCTTGAGTTACATCGGAGCGGTCGCCGGCCGACAGAGCAGCTGCAGAGTCCACTTTCGCCCTACTATAGCTCTTGCATTCATACCGACTTGGTATACCGCAGAATTTATACATGTTCCAAGATCTACCCCTCCATTGCACGATAGATCATACTACGTAGTATGTATGCGAAGGGGATCCCAATACTCCTGATAGCCATGACCTCATCGTCCTCGTAATACGATGCCGACAATATGTTTAGAAACGCTATTGCCGCGCCGGATTCCAGACTAACAAAACCTCCCAATATTCAAATATTCTTAGAGGAGGGGGCACGGTTGGCTCTGCTGGCCTACCAAGCCTTCATCTGCCCACCTAGCGGGTACCCCTGTACGAGTATCTATATTGAGCCATGCAAAGACGCGTTCGCGTCGTCACTTTTAGGTTGGGTACCTCTAGGTGGATTGAAAGCGATAGGTTAGATAGTGGGTGCATTTCATGGGATTGGTGTACCTTGGCCGCGCAACCAAATAGAAGATCGTAACCTCGGGAATCGTACTTACATGCATTTCTAAAGCGGGTGCCTTACGCAAGGTGACAAATCTCGCCCTTTTCAGTCAGCACGATAGTCGTTGCGAGGGCATGGCCTCAACGTCTATGAGTCACACAAAGGTCGACCGTAAAGGATCACGCTGACCATTTTCAAAAGCTCTCTCTCGTTCGGATTGTCCAAAATCCCATGTTGGCCATACTTTCCCATGGCCCTCCGTTTATCTCCTTAGGCCCTTAGGCCAAAAGAAGGGTGGCATTCTGTCTCACCTAGGTGGGTGGGTGAAATGACTTTGGCCTTGGTCACGAGTCCAAGTGCCGCCACCAATTCCCTTTTGGTCTTCCCGAACAGGGACCCCTCCTCGCAATGTACCCAGCACGGTATTATCCATAACGATAAGATAGAGCTCAGTTGTGCGGGTCGCGCTTCGCGATGGAGGTAGCTTCCTAGCAGTCCTGTGAGAGCTGGGAGAGACACACCTTTCATCAGTCCCTTACACACCATATCAGCTAATAATGGGACCTTTCCGAGTTCTCCAGTGTCATAAGACGCACCTCGAACCAGTTTGGGCAGGATAAGATATGGACTGGGGGTTTGTCATCCTATTTGGAAGTATTTATAGATGTATATAGGTATCTGAATATAAAAGCTATGCACCCCACGGCCATAACCCAATGAGAAAAAGTTTTGTTTTGGCAGTTATGTCTACCGACAAATCTAATTCTATTAATTCATAATACCTACCTAGGCTATTCCATCATCAGAAAGGTTTTCGAGATAACCTACCCAACACGGCCAACAATACTCGGACATAGCCTGAGGAAGGACGTCTATCCCACCAACACACACGGGACGTTGGCACTAAACAACCTTAAACATTTGGAATAATAAGACATCGGCTTATGAACAGCGGGATACGCCGTCAACAATTTAGTGTCTTCTTCGACAAGATTTATTAGATTGCGATATCGACACCAAGTCGATCGACCTAGCAGGAGATCTGATCAAGGGTTTTGGTACCGCCCCACGGGAACTTGATCAGATAAGTCTCCAACGGGTGTCGGCAGTCCTCGACTTTTTACATGGACGGTATCGCCTGCTTCTATTGGACAGTTTCGACATCGTCATCAAGGCCGCGGCAGTGCATTACCAATAACGAAAGACGGCCAGCAAGGGAACAAGAGGAAATCGGTCGGCCGACAATCTGGTCCGTATTATCTAAACGATATCTTGGAGCAGCGCAAAAGTTCCGACTCGATACGATCTCACTCTGGGCACTTCTCTCGTCAACTATTCGACACCTTGGTCTTGATCAGGAAAAGCGGTTGACTGTGGCTCGTTCGGTGGAGTTGACCGGAAGTCGGAACCGCTAAGTTGCTTGGTAACTGCTTGTAACTTGTAAGTGCTTCGTAGATGCTGCAAGTTTCTACATAATCGGCTAAGGGCAGCCGCTAACTGTTTAACTAGGTAGATTCCTTCCCACTACCAGAAGAGCTGGAAATCGCAGAGAGAAAAGAGAGAGGCGCCGGAAGTAGCAGGACATCATTATTCGCATCGCATTGCTACTTCCGCTCATCCCATCCCATCTCATCATAACCCCCTCCAGGTCTACCCCTACAACTGCATGTACGGGCGCACCATTACGGTACACACCTAAACCACCAAACCCACCAAACCTTACAGGGGATTTGCCCAAGGGTACTTCTTGGAAGCCTCATAGGCTGCCAATCAATTGCCCGAAGTTGCCAGGGTTTGAACACACAAACGGCGCACTTGCATTGGTTTGCGCTACCTTGCGTTACCCTGCTTTTGCTCACCTTGCGCTATCCCCAAGTTCTATCCCACCTTGTTCAACATTAAAGTAGCAGTAGCAGTGGTGGTACCTACATACTCTCTACCTACTATTACTATTACCTACTATACTATCCTCGCCCAATTCTTACTTGAGACCGCTTCTTCCAACGTTCCGGAGCTCACCGTGAGATTCCTTTCGGCTCAGCCTATTCCAATCATATTTCAACTCGACTCGGCTCGTCGGGTCTGATCAGTTGTTTGTGATATTTATCGAAGTTATATCCAGTTTCCTACGGCCGCCACCGTCCGGGAGTTTTCCAAAGAGCAAATCCTCGTATACATACACCTCTCAGTCAGGCTGCCCCCCGTCCAAACCCTGGTCTTTTCGGTTCGAGCTTCGCCCACAAGCTACGCCCGCTTTCAACTGGAAAAGTTGACAAGTTGACGAGAGCTGACACAGATTGGCCTACCAACAACTTTGACTACGTAGTGGTACTTTATTACAGCTAATAACCTTGCCAACCGAGTTCACCCAACCCAGGCTAGGCTACCTGCATCTCCCTCAAAATCCAAGGACTTTCCCTTCTGCCTTCTTACCGCCTCGAATCCTGAAGGTCTTTTAGGGTCCTTGAGTCCTTGGTCCTTTTTTTTAATCCTTCCCACACACCCGGTCGATACTTATACCCCATACCCATACCCATTCTTTAATTCATATACGATCCGACGGCCGCCTTTTGCGCTCCCGTCTATTTTCTGATCTGATATACGATCCATCACCTCTCGTGCAACTGCCCAGGCCGAAATAAGAGCCGATTAAACCCGGCATCAACTCCGTGCTTACGGTTTGACAAGTTCTTGGTCGTTTTTAGCCTCCTCTTCTGGTACGCCTGGTGTTACCTCGCCTACTTGGCCTACCCTGCCTTCGGTCGATTTTCCCTGAGGTCAGAATTCACTTAGTGCTGTCATCGAGGGCTGCGGCCACCATCACTTCTTCCTAGCCTCTAGGTCGTCTATCACATCTTACTGGTGTAGGGATTATAGCGATACCGCCTTTCGAATTTGGCGAGGCGCAAGATATATTTCTCTTCGTCCAGTTATCCTTGAAGCAACGAAACTTAGCTTCTCTTTTCTCTCTTCCTCCTCTTCCTCTTCTTCGCTTTTTCTTTTCCCACTCGCCAAAGTGAAGAAGCACTTTTCCGGATCAACCAATAAATCTCACCGACACCCATTGTTGGTCGTGCGCATTTAACTAGTCTTGTACGTACATGCCTTTTCATTAACCCTGGGACCCTCCGCATCTCGGACTCGCGGTATTTGCATCGGTCTTGATACACGAGTACACGAGGGACAAAAGCACAAAAAGGAATGGAAAAAGAAAAAGAAGCAGTCCCAATTTTTGAATCAACCTAACTCGGTAACTTGGGTCTGCTCTAACCAGCGCACAACAGATACGTTCATAACCTTGGAAGCTCTTTCACACGCGCCTCTCCCCAATTCCCCTCTATATATCTTTTGGCTCCTCAAATCAAATACTCAGCAAGCCGGCGCATTCCCGCGACGTCGTTCACCACCTGCATGGCTACGTAATTTGTGGTCAACATCAACAACCATCATTCAACATTACGCTTTCTTCAACCGAGGTAAATATACCTTCCTATAATTTAATTTTCTCGTTGATTGTGCTGTCGCATACTACTGCAAGTGTAGACGATGTACTTTTTCTTTTAGTTTCTCTTTTTGCTCCTTCCTAATAACGCCTTGAGTTCTCTCGGTGTAGTGGTTATACTTTAATACCTCCTCCCCCACATCTCCAGGGCTCTTTCCCACTATTACTACCACTACCCTTCCATTCCCTCCCTCTTGCCCGCATAACCCATAACCCATAACCCATCTGAACCCACTCGCCGAGTATAGGTGCGGGGCTAACATTGCTCTGTCCCTCGACAGAACAGATACGCTAGATTTTTAGATTTCTGTCCAGGCAGATACCAGATACACAATCCACTATCCGCAATCCGCAACCCGCACCAATCACCGACCACTCTAGATACCCTCAATACCAACAGACCATTTTGTCGCCGACTACTGTTAACGCCTAAAACGGCTGTAGATACCTGACCAGCTATCGCTGTGTATAACACGCATTCTTTCTCTTTTGGAGACCTCTTTCAACCACCCGACGCTAGATATGATGGCACAGCACGCCTTCAACCAGTTTGGCGGCGGCCAAAGTACGGGCGGCGCTGGTGGCAGCGTTGACCCGAACGACCTGGCCATGTCCGGAACATACGCTCCGTCCTATTCCAACAACTTCAACGGAAATAACAATTCCTCCAATTTCTTCGGCGATGACGAGTTACTCGACACCCTCGGTAGCCCGACCGATCCCATGCCTAACCAGCCCGGCATGCACAACCAAGGCCAGGATTTCGGTGGCATGAACGAGATGAACATGGGTTTCTCGCAGGGCGTGTATGGCCACCAAGGCAACCATAACATACAGATGGACCAGCCTCATATGAACGGATATTCCAACACTCCCGATGGTGACCCTATTCAGAGCCCATTTGTGCACAGCTTCAACCAGGCGCAATTCCACCAAATGCAACAGCAACATCAGCAGCAATTTGGAACCTCCCTCCAGTCGCCAATATCCTACTCCGGCTCCCCTTTGACTGGCTCTGACATGAACAACGAGGGCAGCGACCCCAATTACCTGAACACCAAGTCGCGCCCTCAGCTTTCCCATACTATGCAGCGCAAGGCTTCAAATACCCGCAGCCCGCTTACGCCTAAGACTGCAGCCGCCATGTCTAACTTGACTGTGAGCTCTCGGGAACAACCAGGATTCGGTGCGCAACCGATACGAACTACAAACGGCCACCACGAGAAATCCCCTTCGGCTCAATGGATGCATACGCCAAACAGCATGTCTTCTTTCCCCGGATCCGGTTTCTCTTCACCAATGCAGCATGGCATGCAGAATCCGCAGATTGCAGATGTATTGCTCAAGGGCGGCACCTCTATGCCTGCAAAATTAAACACGCCGCCCAATACGGTTTCCTCGCAGGAGATGAAGAGGAAGCGACGTCGAGAATCTCACAACCTTGTCGAGCGACGACGCCGTGACAATATCAACGAGAGGATCCAGGACCTTAGCAAGCTTGTTCCTCCACACCGTCTGGAAGACGAGAAGATCCGGAAGCTGATACAAAACGGGACACCACTCTCTCCTAGTTTGACCGGGATCTCTCACCCGGCACAGGCTACATCAGGATTGGCCGGACCGGGAGCGAAACGTGCTACTGGTGTCGGCAACATCACCACCGGCCTCCCTCTCGAAGAAAAGGACAAGGGTCCCAACAAGGGGGACATTCTCAACGGCGCAGTTAGCTGGACGAGAGACCTTATGTGGATGTTACATCTTAAGCTTCAACAACAAGAAGAGCTTATCAACACTATAGTGGAACTCGGCGGCAGTGTTCCCCTCGAGCTCACAGAAGATGAGAAGCGTATGCAAACTGAGCTGATGGAGGCTATGACCAAAAACGGGCCGCATACTTTCTCATACTCTCGCTTTGCGGGATCAGGTCTCCGAGTACCTCAACATACCGACTACAGAGGTGACTCCGTGAATGGATCAGACAGTGCGATCGCTGGCACTTCAGTAAGTCCCGACGGGCAGGACACTGTGGATCTTGTGGGGGATATGGGGGACGCTGGCCAATTTTGGAACGACCCGGATGATGACGGCTCTGGTCCAGCGTCGATCAATTTCAAGGAAGAGGATGAATTCGGAATGGACCTCTCCCATGATTAACGGCCTTGAGGCTTCTAGGCCTTTTACGTTCCTGCATCTTTCCAGCATTTTCCGGCGTTGACCAAGTTCCGACTACCCATTCGATTTTTGCGCATTCGCCTTTGAGCATTCGCCTTTGAGCATTACACTTGACTCGGGATTTTCAGGCATTTTACTTCGGTCATTTCGGGTATCTTAGTCAAGGGTGGGACATCACTGCATAGGGCGGCCGTTTTGGGAGACCGGCGTTCTATCTTACCTCACCAGATAGTGGGAAACAGGCACGGAGCGGCCGGGAGTGGTTATGGTTTTTCATAGTTCTTGTCCGACAGATCCGGACACGCAGGGTCAGGTCTTTCGCTTTTTTCCTTCTGCACCCTTGCTCTCCTCTTTCGTTGCTTTTGTTTTTTTCCCTCGCATGTCACTCATCTGCGGGCCGGGTTTGATTCATTTCTATGATACCTTGTGGATTACGGAGTTTGGGTCACTGTCGCTTTTTTTATTTTATTTTTTAAACTTCGGCTGAGATCGCGTTGACTTTTGCATTTACATCTTCACATTGTGGATGGTGGAGTTTTGTTCTGACGGTTCCCACATGTAGCCGTTGCAATCTTCTTTGACGAAGGTTCGGGCATCTCATGCTTTGTGTATTCGTTGACTTGAAAGGGAATCCAACTGGAGAGAGGAAAGTGAGGCATTACAAGTGATATATAAGCCGGGACAGTATACGGGTTCATCCTAATAATCATATTTATTCATCTAAACATGTGCTTCCTTATTCGTATATGTGTATGTGAATTTCTTGCTATTCGCCTTGACACACGTATAGAACATCGTTCAGAGTTCGAACTTGTCTCTTCGAGTACCGAGCGGAGTAAGGAAGGGCCCGGAATCATGAACCCGACCCTTTCCCGCCTGTCCACCTTATATCTCCGTATAAGCGGATTTTCCTCACTCATCAATGATGCATTACATGCCTTGTACATAAGTACATACTTGGGTACCCGGTATTTGTGCCTACCTATGTATCCAATTCCAACGTTGCTACCTACCACGTAACGTAAGTGACGTCAGCTAACTATATAGGTAGGTAGGTAACCAACCTACAAGCTACAGGCTACCAATGCCTCACAGTCAACAAGTACTCGCTCATAGAATTAAGCAAGTTCCACGCGTCGCGACGCTTCATATCCTCGTGCAGCGCCACGCGCTCGAGCGCGCTGCGCCCGTTAAAATACTTCCAGAAAACGGGCCACGCGGTCCGCGGGTTCAGCGGCGGCCCCCCACCTTTTCCCGGCTTGCCGCCGCTGCTGCCCGGGCCAATCTTTATCCCTTCGACCGCCCCTCCTCCCGCGGCGTCCTTGCCCTTCCCCCCTCCTCCTACTCCTCCGCTATTGTTACTCTCTCCGGTATTAGGCGCGCCGCCGCCACTGTTCATATTCATATTAGGCCGATGCGTAGCGACGGCCAAAGCGCCGCTCGAAGTATGCGTGACGCGCTCGGGCAGGCGGCGGCCGATGGCGGAGAGGTAGCGCGAGTCGCGCTCGCCGACGCGGCCCGCGTCGACGATGACGTACGGGCTCAGGTGCGCGAGGTGCGGCGCGTCGTTGACGGAGGGGTGCGGCGTACGCTGGGGCGCGGGGCGCCGCGCGTGGGCCGCTGCCTTCGAGGCCGCGGCTAGGTGCGCGCGCGTCGCGAGCCGGGAGAGCCGCGCTTGCTCGGCCGCCTGCTCGCCGGCGGTCTTGGTGTTCTGGGAGTGCGGCGAGGAAGAGGACGACGAGGCGAGCGGCGGGGGCTGCAGGGTCGCCGTGGAGGAGGTCAGGGATAGGGGTGCCGTGTGGTGGTGGTCGTCCGAGGACGACGCGCTGCTGAGGCTCGTCCTGGGCCTGTCGTTGGGGTTGCTGTTGTTGCCGTTGCCGGGTTCGGGAGAGCCGGGGGCGTCGGAGCGCGGGGAGGACGGCGGCGGCGGCGACGAGGATACTTGGGAGTGAGAATCGGACTCGGGGGACGTGCCCTCGACTTCGGCCTTCGCCTCGTTCCGCGCGCGCTCGATCTCCTCGGCCTCGAGCTCGTAGTCGACCTCGTACAGGATCTCGGGCCAGACGACGACGTAGGCGAAGGTGCACAGCTGGGTGGCCCAGCCGCCGCGCATGAGCCAGGCGAGCATGGCCAGGTAGGTCGGGCGGTGGTTCTTGCTGGGCGCGAACAGCTTGTACGAGCGCGGCGCCGCCGACAGGCTCGCCAGGAACTCGGGCAGCGGCGGCGCGAGCGGGAAGCTCCGGGCCCAGGCCTGCGAGGCGCGCGGCAGCCGCGACATGTCGCTGTTCGGCGAGAGCACGTACACGTCACGCGCGTGCAGGGGCGGGACCGCGATCGCGCGCCGCCAGAAGATGAAGTGCTGCGCGTACTTCCGGACCTGCGCCGGCGAGAGGGCGGTGCCTTGGCCGATTTGGTAGAAGCTGTGAGACGAGGGTAAGTGAGGATGAGCAAGGAAGAGCGGTTTCAAACGAAGGAGTACGAGATTCAAAAGGTGGACTTACGACATGGTTGGTTTCGAGAGCCGCACGAATTCGATCATCGCGGCTGTGGTCTCGTCGGGGTCGGCCTGGAGTTCTGCGATGATCTTCTTTTCGTCGCTCATCAGGAGCAGCGCGAAATTCTTGTCGAGGAAGCCGGGGTCGTTGAGGCTGTCCTCTTCAACAAAGGAGTTGGCGGTTGTTATCCATAACCCCTTGGATCCGCTCTCGTCGTCAGGGGGTAGATCCGTGAGATAGAACGGCACGGGTATCTGAACCGAGTGCGTTACTGTGCCCTCGGCCGTTTCTAGTTGCAGGGCCGCGATCTTGTTGTGGGACACGGCTTCGTAGACATCCTGCATGGATGCTGCTAAGGAAGAGACATCTAGGATCTCCTTCCATAGTGTGCTCATTTTAGTTTCTGCGCACGGTTTATTAGTCCGCCTATTTGCATATATGGTACAATAATTCAAGCACATACTTGATTCTCGACCCTTATCCTTCATAGCCAATATTCGTTTCGACTCTTTCCAGACGAAATCGCTCTTCTGTTGGCTATATTTGTATGCCTTGTTAATCTTCTTTATGATGTGAAGATAGAGATTCTCGCATAACTCCTTCGCCTCGTGCTTCTTTGGATTCAAAATGAAGACGAGGTTAAACATAGTCATGCCACTCTTTTTTTCGTCAGCCTCATCTGGTGGGTTTCCGGTAATGGCATCCTCGGCCATGTCCTTAGTGTCGATTTGCGATAAATCGCTCGGGAGGTTCGAGTACTCGCCATACTTACTGGCCGAGTCTGCGTTCTCGGGCGACTTTGGCGCTTGATACTTCGGCTGCTTTTTCTTTTTGCGCCATATCCCGTTTTCCGGGACGTAGACAGGATACGACGCGAAGCAGAGCTGTTCCAGGGAAACTTGGAAGAGCTTCTTATGGAAAGCTCGGTTAGGGGTAAGGAGGCTCTCGAGGTCTTTAGTTGGATAGCCAGCCACGTGCTCCCACGGCACAATCTGAGAACCGCTATCTGTTTCCAAGTGATCGTCATGATTCCAATTCTGCAGATCAACGGATTTGGGGAGCGAGCCTGAAGGAGCTTCGAAAGGGGGATGGGTCATCTGATTTAACAGCTCGTCATCGTCGTCGTCGAGCTCGTCCCTGGGAGCACTGTCACCGGAGGAGGGGGCGCGCGGCTGCAGGATCCGAGGCGGGTACTGGAAGACAAACAACGGGCCATCGCGCAGCCGGTTAACCACCAGGGCCACCCCCAGGAAGTTTGACGTGTTTGGCAGCACCGGAGAGGCCATGTTTATCCCAAGCTCCGGTGTCACGGATGGCGACACAAGTCTCAGATGCAATCACTAGTCCCGTCGCCTAGCCCAAGGGTGTGCGCTGCAGTCTTCGATGAGCATGTTTCATTTGACCACTGCAAGTCTGAGCCGGTTTCTCTCTTTGACGTAAGATGGAAATACCTCATCTCACCAAGCTGTCGACGAAATGCTTCATGATTTGGTAAGTACACAAAGGGTGATGTTCTTATTAAGATAAGTATATTGAAGCCCTCATAAACTATGATCAGGTACGTACCTCTCTTAGCTGCGGATCGGACCAATCAGGAGAAGAGGCTCGGAAGCGTATTATTCCACTTTTTATATGTTATATATACATATACCCCTTATTACGATACTCATGAGATCATGCAGCCACTCATTAAGCAAATAACTTTAAGATTCTTAAAGTGGCTGAATGGTACTTGTACAGTCTTATTCGACGTACCCCCGAGGGGGTACTGCGCTTTAACTAACGAAATGGGCAGAAAGTTGCGAAATACCCGAAATACTTCCGGATGGGTGGAGTTTACTATTAAAACCATGTATATAAGTATAAGTAGATAGCCCTTATTATTACATACAATATTTATTTATAAGTAAAACAGCTATTATAAGCCCTATAATGCAACAAGGTAACTTCTATTTTATTTAACTAAAAGGTATAGGATAATCTTCGGATACTTTGCAACTCTCTGCCCATTTCGTTAGTTAAAGCGCAGTACCCCCTCGGGGGTACGTCGAATAAGACTGTACAAGTATTTGGTGACCCATTGCCATATGTTCACCTCTAAGTAACATGATACGACGAGATATCTCAGCCGATACGTGGATAGTCTATTTGCAGTCCGACGATATTTAGCAGTCTGATAACGCCATCTCCTACACTGTCCCGCTCGTGTTGGTTACGTTCTTGTTCCTTCTTTTTGTCGAGGTGCATTTGAATATTAGCAAATGGCCCCAATGGTCCGATCGTGAACCGGGTAAGATTATAATTCAAACCATACAAATGCAAAATCTTCGATTTTCTTATGATTGATTAATTGAATGATAGGTAGAGTTTACGAAAGGTACCAGCAACATCTCTTATCAATGAAAGAGGTATGTATGTATCTATGTACAATAACTATACCCACTAATTCTGCCAGGAACTGCAGGGTGACAGGGGTAGCTTTCCAGCATAATGCAGGGATGCACCGTACAACCTTGGAACTTACATAACAGGACATTGAAGTTCAATCAATATCATTGCAATTGTGCAACTTTGGTCGTCATCTACCATTCTAACATTTTACTACTTACTCACCTTTCTCTTTCCCCCAACTTTCGACCCGCACGAATCTCGAAAATCAAGCAGCACATCGACAAGCACAACTGCTTAAGCCCACTAACACGGTCGGTTTAACCGGTCACCGAACGAACCATGTTAGACCGGCTTCCGACAGAGCTCGTCATTCAGATCGTCGAATGGACAGCTGTAGCTCACTATGGCGACAAGAACACACTTCTCGAGCTGCGCAAGGTCTGCAAGCTATTCAACCAGATCTTGAGACCCATCGCGTTGTGCACCCTTCCGCTCGACTACACGCGCATAGACTACTACCAGGTGACATCGAGACGCCGGTTGAAGCGCAAGGCATTGCGTCGCATTGCCCCTCTCTGTCAATCTTTGTTTATTGACATGATGGTCATTAGAGATGACGGTATGAACTTTCGTGAATATTCTGCTGCTTGACTATTTCACTAACATATGTGGCACCACAGGTGAATGCCAGTTTCTGGAGAATGCATTCGCGTCAATACCCAAGATGATGGACTGGGTATCGAAATTACGCGAATGGTATTGTATGCACGAGGAAGCCTTTACCGCCGGGATGTACCGAGCCTCACTAGAGATGATGCTCAATTACACGCCGAACACGACCTCTGTGAAGCTGAACTTACCTTTCCAACTGGTAGCCTGTGGCCTTCAGTATCGTGCCTCTACTGTGATACTCGGGAACACCTTTGATTTGCTGGCCCACCGACGAAAAGGTTCCAAGAAACTGCAGACATTGTCGTTGGAGAATCTGTCCGATATATCCGTCGGGCAATTGGTATGCATCAACGGATTCCTTAACTGGAGAAAAAATTGCTAAGTCTTATTGTAGTGGAGCAACCCGTCAGATGTGAAGAACATCATCAAAACCCTTAGCGATCTACGCCACTTGTCCTTGTCACTGCGACGGCCCTGGGTTGGCGAGGCCCCTCTCTGGCACGCCCGCCGACTGTGGGAGATGGTATGCAAAGCTAAGAACCTCGAGAGCTTATGTCTCATAGACTTGGACGTTGGCGAGCGTCCCAGGCCCGCGAAGCTCATTACCACAAAGGTGACCGACTCGGTCCACTCCGACTGGGAATACCGAAGCCTCCCCGTAATCTCTCGCCCGCCCAAGTCCGTTTTATTGCCAAATTTGACCTACCTCGAACTTCGCAATGTCAATGTCAAGGCCGAGGCGTTAGTGTGTATGTTCAAGAGCTTTGCCAGCTGTCTCCAGGAGCTCTATCTCGATAATGTGTATCTTAAGACCACCTATTGCATCGACTGGGCCATAGAGGTGAACTACGGTGATCTCTGGATCGGGCTACCTAATGTCCGACCTAAAACCAATCAGCGCTGGCTTGCGACGCACATACGCCAGGTCTGCGCGCAGCTGCGCGTGTGCCGCGTTGCCGATCTAGGCTACGACCGATTCGTGAGGAGAGGGATTATCGAGGCACCCGCGACCGTCAAATACGACCTTCACGACCCTTGCGGGCTCAAACGCACTCTGGAGCAGCGCTTTGTGGAGGTCGTCATGGGTTACGAGCAGCCCGCCGCACCAGATGGCTCTCCCATGATCTACTACCCAGCAGAGGAGACCCAAGACAGATGGACGATGGCCGACCGCAAGCGCCCTGAAGAAATCGCTGCCAAGGACTGGAACGCATCGCTATATTCGTTGAGAGAGCGCCATCCGACCTCGGCTTTGCAAAAGACCATCGACGGCAAGTTTGTGAACTGTAATCCGTGGACGCTAAAGATGCTTCGCAATTTCTCCGACCGTGCATGCGAAGGCCTCAGAGAGCTCAACTTGATGCGGATAGAGGAGCGCCGGGAAAGCGAGGAGAGCCAAGAGAACCAAGAAAGCCAAGGTTAAGTCTTGGATGTGATGAATGGATGGGGTCGACCAAAAGGACGAGTAGTCGATGCCCCCACGATGAATATCCCCCTTTGAATTGTTGTTGGAAATGAGATGATATGGAATGATACCCCTTCCCCTTTTATCCCCTACATATTTATCACCCTATACCCCTTTTTTTTTTCTCTCCGATTACGATAGCTACTTCTCTAAAGTTCGTTAAGCACTTAGGTAGTCTCTAATATAAAGTAATTGAGAGAAAGATGTTGTGTCTACAGCGCGGATGAAGTGCCTTCTATTCAGCCGAGATACCCCGAACCTGAATGGAATGACCATGTGAATTAGGTTGACGATTTTACGTAACTATTACCTTACCTATAATAACCGACCAAGTATCAAGATTTTAGCTCAGGTTAGGTTTCACAATCAACCCTTACATTCACAACTCGTAGATTAAGCTTAGGGGGAATCATTGATCTCATTCATCAACCTACTCGACATTGCAGAATTTTGTGCAGCTACTACAAATGTACGGAGAAGACGGTACAACTCGGGGGAAACATAAGGAGAAAAACGAGGGGTCGCTCAATCCTTCCGCCGCCTACCAGATACCTTCTCGGATCGTCGACGGCTTCCATGTCGAAGTGCCACCCTCATCAACTCGCTACAGGCCTCCCCTCTTCCAAGAAACAGCAAGGTTATCCACGGAAGTTTTCCATTGCTCCGTTTGCAACTCCAACGGTAGAAGCATTGTCGCCAACTTAGAACGTCGAACAAACAGGATAGGATTAAGGGGGTATGAGGACGGGTTTGTACAGAACAGGAACAAGAGTCAACCGAGCGGAAAAACCTAGGGGTATTATACGCGCAAAACGCAGAAAAGCTTAGTATTCCGCCTCAGTCTCGTCAGGCTCGAAGCTGTCGGCCGCAACCTCCTCGTAGTCCTTCTCGAGAGCCGCAAGATCTTCGCGAGCCTCGGAGAATTCACCTTCCTCCATACCCTCACCAACGTACCAGTGTACGAAGGCGCGCTTGCTGTACATCAGGTCGAACTTGTAGTCTAGACGAGACCACGCCTCCGCGATGGCGGTCGTGTTGGACAACATAGACACGGAGCGGTCGACCGACGCGAGACCACCATCAGACGGTGAGGCGGTAGGGACAGCCATAGGCTTCTGGTAGTTAATACCTAACTTGAAACCAGTCGGGCACCATTCAACAAGGTTGAAGGAAGCCTTTGCCTTAAGAGCTGCGATAGCGGAGTTGCAGTCACGCGGGACGACGTCTCCACGGTAGAGGAGGGCGACGGCCATGTACTTTCCGTTTCGAGGGTCGCAGACAACCATCTGGTTGTTAGGCTCGAAGCCTGAGAAACATATTAGCCGATCAAAAGCCTCTTGTACGACTCTGATTGGAACTTACATTGGAAGGTTAGGTCGTGGACCTTGAAGCTCTCATGAGCACTCTTGGCAGCCGAGATGACAGGAGCATAGCTGATAAGAGGGTAGTGAATACGAGGGTAAGGGACCAAGTTGGTCTGGAACTCGTTCAGATCGACGTTTAGAGCACCGTCGAATCGGAGGGACGAGGTAATGGAGCTGACGACCTGCGCAATTAGGCGGTTCAGGTGCTCGTAGCTGGGACGAGGGATATCGAGGTTGCGTCTGCAGATGTCGTAGACAGCTTCGTTGTCAACTAGGAATGTGCAGTCGGAGTTCTCAATGGTGCTGTGCGTCGAGAGGACAGCATTGTAAGGCTCGACAACAGCAGTAGAGACCCGGGGAGCCGGGTAGACGGCGAACTCGAGCTTGCACTTCTTGCCGTACTCGGTGGAAAGACGCTCAAGGAGGAGAGCACCAAAACCAGAACCGGTACCACCACCGAACGAGTGGAAGATTAAGAAACCTTGAAGAGAGTTGCAGTTGTCTATTAAAAGCGTTAGTTTAGATCATGGGGGCTTCTTAAGCTGCTAGGGTAGATGTAATATTTATTCTTACCTGCAACACGTCGGATTCGGTCGAGGCAGTTGTCAACCATTTCCTTGCCGATGGTGTAGTGACCACGAGCATAGTTGTTGGCAGCATCTTCCTTTCCGCTGATCAGAAGTTCGGGGTGGAAAAGTTGACGGTAGCCACCAGTTCGGATCTCGTCGATCGGCGAAGGGTCCAGGTCGACGAAGATGGAACGGGGAACATGTTTGCCCGTGCTCGTCTCAGTGAAGAAAGTCTCATAAGAACCACCGTCAAGGACGTCCTTTGCGTTGGGGTCGGGGCGACCATCGGCTCCGAGACCGTGCTCGAGGAGATACCTAAGCGTTGTGGTAAGTGGTAAGTTATAGGAACTCGTGTATACTGAGCCGGACTGGGAGAGCGGTGTAACACTTACAGCTCCCAAGCGCTGTTACCGAGCTGGGTACCAGCCTGGCCCAAGTGAAGGTGGAGGATCTAGGAGAAGCAACACGTAAGTTAGATATAGCTTCGATAGAAGAGCCAGACGTCAAATTATTTTAGGCATGGAAACATATCTACAACGTAGTTTGTAGAATGGTGTAGTCGGAATACCGAGGTGAATTTGTGCATGTAACGGAAACGGTCCATAAGGCGGTGATGGGTGACAGTTGGAAAGAGACTAGAGAGCTTTCGATAACTTACCTCGCCCTTCATGATGAAATAATACTGTCGGAACTTGCAAGATTAGGGTTCTGCGACTGGATTCGAGACCGATCTAGAGATAAAAGGTCGAGACGAATGCGCACAGCGCTGGTGTTTAGAAAGAGTATAAAAAAGGAGGTGTGGGTTCAAGGTGCAGAAAAGTGAAGGTAGGTTTTGGTGTGGAGAAAATAAATATTCACTTCGCGTTCTAACTCGTTACTCCGCAGATGGTCGCATCAATTGAGAATGAGGGGCAAGGTTTCAGGGGTTGTCCAATTGATTTAATCGGTGTTGGGGGGAAGGAGAGCTGGCCGGTAGCTTACGCGATAGTGTTTAGGCTTGTGTAATCTATCCCTTACTGGCTATAGAGGGGTAGATCGGAGGTATACATCACCTACTTCCTATGTACCTGCTCTTTGTCTTTGTGCGATGGTTATATGTAGAAGGTACATGTAGACGTCGTACCGGAACAAGAATTAATCAATGGTGCGAAATCAGACAGCCTTCATTTTATATCCAACCTCTTCACACCGCCCCGTTGGAAACTAAACAGGATATGACAGGGACTTACTGGTTAGATAATGCAACTAACCTAGAATATCAAAGCCAAACATACATTAATGCAAACTAATTTTACGACTGTTACTTGCATTGTGCCAAATAATTTCTATTGGACCAGACATCGAGATGGACATGAAGATGCAGTGTGCCATCCAATGTCAGAGGCACAAGATTAATTCAGCTTATCCACCTCGTACCTATGGAGGCTGCTAGGTAGGCACTCTATAACTTCTGTAGATATCGTAGCTACGTATCTAGGTACCGTTACCAATTCTGGGTATCAAATATCGTATGACGACGCACTCGTCAAGATTATATCTATACTCATGAATAGCACAACTATTCGCCTTTCTTTCTCCATTCAGCTGCTCTCCTAGCACCTCGGCCCTTCATCTTTGATTTGACGACTCCCTTCTTGCCTTTGGTCTTGCCAAACTTCAAATCTCTGGGCTTACCATCCTTTTCGCTAGCCCTGCGGCCCTCGAAGACAATCTGTTCTGGTGTCTTGAAGGCTCCGTTGGTTGCTAACTCCTTCCTCTGTCTAGGCTGCCTTCCTGGGCCCTTGAGCTCGTGCCGTTGCCTTGCCGCAGCTGCTCTACCTAAGAGTTTCCCGGCTCTGCCCACCTGAGATTGTTGCTCAGGAGTCACTTTTGGTATATGCTTCGTGCTGTTTGGCTTCTTGTCACGGCCATTCGAGGCTTCAAGTTTTGCTTTCATTGTTCGTTCCACAGCGAGAGCCGTCTTCCGTGGATCCTTAGCGCGGGATACACGCAAGGCTCGCGGCAGCATCGGAGGAAATGTCTTGCCGTTCAGTAACAGTGCCGATTCGACATGATTGGCGTCGTAGAATTGCACATATGCAAAGCCCTTACCTACCCGCGTTTTCGGGTCTCTAGGGACACGGACGCTTTCCACTCTACCGGCGTGCTCACTAAAAGTCCGCCACAACCCTTCTTCGATGTCTGATGGAACTTTTGTGCGCTTCTTGGTAGTAGTTTCCCCCTCAGCAGTGGTGTTAAGGACGGTTTCGTCGTCTACAAACCCGAGGTTACCTACGAAGACACATCTTCGGTTGTCCACCGCTGTGGGATGTGCCACACTATCAACCCGCATATGACGGTCTAGGATAACGGAGCCGTTCAAAGCTTTGAGCGCAGTTCGTGCGGCTTGCGGTGTTGAGTAGACAACATAGGCGTTGGTAGATTTTGTCGTTGCGGACATAACAGATTTGGTGATGAACGCGGCGCGTTTTGGTACAGCACCAGTAGAATAAGCAGTGGATCGGAAACGTATCGACTCAATCTTATGCTGTTCTCCGGTCGAATCCAAAGTTGACAACGGGGACGAGAGGTGGGACATCAGGAGCTTCTTGGCTTTAGATGAGGTAATTGCTTCGATCGAGACATTGCCAAGGAATAGAGTGCGGTTTGCTTTATCAAGTTCGACGTCTTCATGGTCTTCCGTCTTCTCCATAAGTGACTCATGAACTATTGGCGCTTCGTTTTCATCAGAGTCCCCTTCTTTTTCAGACGTTGTGCCGTTTATATTCTGACCATTTTCGCCCTTGCGGCGTTTATCAGATCGGACCTCCTTCTCGGTGTCTTCGGCAAGCTTGCGCATGTATTTATCTTCCAAATCATCATGCTCGTCTTTGCGCTTCCTCTTGCGATCCTTCTTCTGGGAAGCTATTGGTGCTTCTGCAGGCTCTGAATTTTCAGATGCCGCTTCTTCGTCCGAAGCAATATCTTCAGCCTCGATGTCTTCGATATCCTCGTCCAATTCGCTCAAGGACTCGTCATCAAGCTCTTCGCCTGTTCCAATGTCATCGTCCGAGTTTGATTCGACATCCTCGGGTTTCTGCGAGGATTTCTTCTCTTTTGGAGGGGGTAGCTCTGAATATCTTGTCTTCGGAGGAACTTGTACGGGACCGGCCTTATTCACAGTGAGTTTGCTGACACTCTCGCGATCGACATGTTCAACTTACACTGCTTGCGAATAGAGCATCGAGCGTGGGGTCAATGGCTTTCGTCGAAGCTGCCAAATTGGCTTTTCTAATTTCGGTAAGAACACAACATTATTCAAATTAAACAATCCTTTCGAATTACTTACGATTTTGCCATCTTGCAAGTCGAATTGATTTATTATGCTTAATGCTAATAGTAGTGAAGTTACTATTAACGTTTAACATATAGCGGCAGCAAGTCAAGGTACAAGAAAAAAAAGTTGTTGCTCGGGAATTTCTTATCTTATCGAAATGTAAATCAAGTGGGTCTGTAGAACAGCCACATCCACTTAGTGGAAATTTGATATCGGATTAAAGCAGATACCGACATTTCCAAAGTCCCAGACCTTGTCCCAAGGTTCTACCGCGCTTTCGTTATCGATAAAGGCGGTTTAGTTCGGGCTTCTCTTGAGTGCCGTACGTAGCGAATGTTATTGGGGAAGGGACGTTACCTAGGTAGGTGCCGTATGCAGCAGCGGCTTGGGGTCACAATCAGTTCGTTCTTGCTTGCGCGCAAACCGAACCATACCAAACCCTCCCATTTGGATCACCACCACTTTTTCTTCCTCGACACCTTCGACACCTAACACTTAACACCCAACTCAGAAGCCACTCGTTTTACTACCGTACATCCGATATACATTTAATCGTCTAAGCCATAACTTTGTTCTAAAAAGCTTAGCTTTTACTCAATATTATGATCCACCGTCTTCTTATTTACTCCCCTCGACCATCCCAAGCCGTCCAACTTTGAAAACTCCTCTGACAACTTGTTCCTACGACAACACACGCCCTCCCCTTTTATCGCCGACCATTTACCTTTCACCTTTCATACCACACCTAAGCAACCATCCAACGAATAGGGGAGAACAATCACCATTACAAAATTATGGCGACTGGAGACACGGCGCCCGCGCCGCTTACCATTCCACCCCCACCGATCGAGCCACTTTCCGACGACGATGGTTCAAGTCCTCTAAGCGACGTCGAAGACAAAGATGCCGACCCAGACGTCATGCATGACCTAAATAATGCTACCCCCAATAATCGCGACGAGGACATTAGCTCACCCGACGACCTTTCTGACGCGAATGACACGGAAGCTGAGACGGAGCGTCTCTACGACACGCCCCGAAACCCTACCCGTCATAAGGACATCGTCTTAAGTCGACAGAGTGATGGTCAAAGCTACGAACGTACCTCGAGCAAATTGCGACGACACATTACAAGATCGGGCGAGGATAAAGATGAAGATGACGCACACCTCTTTGAAGACGAGGTGTCAATAGCTTCTAGCCCGCCGGCGCAAGAAACAAAGACCCCAAACAAGCACCAATCACCAATATTGGATATTCTAGCAGAAGCTGCCAGCCAGGAAGCTGAGAGTAGGAAACGAAAGCGATCCTCTGTGCCTGCTGAAACTGCTGTGCCTCCACAACTTACACGAAAGCGCACCGGATCTGTCCCTGCGCCCGGTCGGCAGGATATGGATGGCGACACTCCTATGATTGACGAGGAGGACCCGTCGCTCCATGCGAACAGCGGAGAACACTCGGCCGACGAGACTGTTAACATTGCGACCGGCGAAGATGATGGCGATGACCACGCGCAAGGAGTTCAATCTGATCCGGAGGTCATACCTAAAAAGCAGACGCGTAGCGGTTCGAAGAAACTCAAAGTCGCGGAACAACCTGCCGAGGCCGATGAACACGCGGAAGAAGTTGCAGGCGCTGCGACAGCTGAGGAGGATGGGGCCCATGCTGGAGAAGACGAGCAGGCCGAAGCTGACGTAGATGAAGAGGCCGAAGCGGCTCATAGAAATGAGGAAGAACGTACGTCTCTATTACTCCGATTATGGCCAGGAGCTAGCACTGACAGAACTTGGATAGTTGAGAGGAAGAAGACCGCCTTTGATCAATTAACGGCAATTGAAAAACGATTCGCAACATTCAGAGATAGGTAAGTAACGTTGGTCATGCAACAGGTTTAGTAGTTAGCTAACACTGCTTTAGGTTATATGAAGAGCGACTGGAGGCATTGAACCGAGAAGAAGCGATGTTGCGGTCCGAAAAACCGACACACCCTGAATACCTTGCTATGATGGAATGCATAGACGCCCGAAGAGACGAAAGAATCCGCATAGCAAATCGGGAATTAGAGCTTCAAAAAGAAGCTTTGGATAGATGGGCTGTTGCTAGGCGCTCACAGATTCATTCGCAGTACTTTCAATCAATCAGAGAGTCGAGAGAAACGATCCTAGCTGAGCTCGGCCAGCAGTGGTACGACATCCAACACGAACGTCGCAAGCAAGCCAACAATGTCCCCGAGTTTGGTCTTCGATTCCCTTCAGACCCGACACAACGTATTAAGAATGCGCTGGCGTACAACAAAGAAGTATCGATCTTGTCTGGTGTAGCTAAACACGAAGGCATGCCTGCCGCACCAGACATGAAGGGGGCAAGCATGCAAGAATTGGAAGATGACTTCGAAGCTATGAATGTGAGTTATTTCCGACAAGCAATCACCCGTTGCATGGGGATACTAGTGCTGACTTCGTGTCATTAGAGAAATCGCCAGACGGCGCCCCGGCATCATGTCCATAGGCCCAGTTACGTGGATTACGGAGGGTTACCATTTGGCCAGAGTCTGGGTCCTGCAGGAGAGCAGTTTATTGAGCAGACTCCGTGGGCAAATCCAAACCATCCGTCAAACGCTCACCTTCTCCAACGACAACACTCGGGCCAACACGAAGCGCATACGCAAGGTCCCTTGCCAAATGCGCCATCCGGGTCGAAGAAAAATTCTCATCAATCACACCCCTTTTCTAATGGATCAACAACACAGCCATCTAACAGCACCTCAAAGATTCAGAAGAGTGTGCCGAGGCAGCTTTCCAATTCACCCGAAGTCACGCGAGCTGCCACTCTATTGGAGCAGACCAAAGCACGGAGTATGAGAGCGGCAGAAACAGTCGCAAGACATGAGAACGGCCAGTCAGCCAACAGCTTATGATACATTTGGACCAAGGGATCATTTAAGGGCATGGCTGAATAGGCGCAACGTAGGGTAGCTAACTGACGAAGAGATCGCTAGCTTCACTATGAGCAGTTGGGTTGAATAAGTTTGCGGGATAGGAAATAAGGACGTTATACCCTGTGCATATGTTTTGCATTTGGCGTCATGGCTTGCGATAGAGGAGTGCTCCAACTGCTGAGTATCCATGGATTTATCACCAAGTGGTGTTATGGATGCCGTGCTCTTGTGTTGTCAACAGGTTGGCGTCTTCAAAAAGTTTTGTAGAGGATGGGAGGTCACTATGATATATTTTCGGGCTGTCTTGATAGACACATTCGCGGCGTTTGGGGATTTGCCATTCATTAACACGCCCTACGCAGGCCACGATACCATTCAGCTTAACTCCTTCAGACCAAATGGATGACAAATTTCCAATTTTAGACCGTGTCTTGCCTTGCTTTGCCTTCCGTGTCCGACCAGATATGGATTTTGTAGTCCTGTTCATAACTCCATTTCCTCGTCGCGATCCCTAGAGCTCGAGATAGTATACCATGCTATACCTTATTTCTGCTCGGGTTGACTCGGCGCGCTCGGGACTTTAACATCTTCGAATTCATCTTGTCCGATGACGTTGATTGTGTATATATCTATAAGGATTGATATGAGGAAATGGACTTGACCAATCTTCCCCCGAATAGAGACTTACAGACGCCAACGGCGAAGGCGGCGACGGCAGATCCAACTACGGCATTCTTGAAGAGGTAAGGCCGCCTTGCTCGGATGAGGGCGGGAGTTTGCCTATGTCGTCTATCGTAGTATGAAGAGCTTCCGAGTCTGCAGGGTTGTTAGACATGATAATGGTAGAAAGTCGTATACTAAGGCGGGGTTACCCAGCAGCCATCTTGTATGTCTTGCCTTGCCCAGGTGGGCCGATTTCTTATGATATTAGATACGCGACAGGAATTAAAGGAATTGGGTGGAAGTTGAGAAGTCGAGCATAACCATGCCAAGCCCGCGGTATAGTGTATTCTGTTAGCCAATCCAAAGATCTGATGACACTGCGGCCACTGCTTCCTTCTTGCAGATTGCACTAGTCCTAGGATAGCTAGTCAAAAGCATGTCTGAGCGGGAAAGCGGTAATTCTTCGGTTGGCGAGCTGTAAGGAAACCCCTGTATGACCTGATCAGAGCTTTGTTCCTCCTAATGCTTGTAGGACACCCTGCAGCAAGCTTTCTTTTGCCTTTCAAGGTTAGGTGAAGACTTCAGTCGCGACCAAGTTAGTGTACTCCCAAGTGAGTACCCATTATTCAACTTCACTCGGTAATTCTTTGCGTAGCCATCCTTTTCAAGAACACATCACGTCCTCTCAAAGCTCTTTTCGTATAACCATTCTACCATACCAACGATTAAATTCAATCGCTGAAGTTGGCATGGTATGGAAGACGATGTGGCATACCTACCTGGCGATCTTTTAATTGACATCACCAAGCATTCACGAACTCACGACGCGACACAGCACATCAACGACATTGTTCACTTGATCACCAAACAACCCCACCCAACTCGGTTTCGACTTTCCAATCCTCAAATACTCCATTTTCTTTCTACAGGCACTATCGTCGACTTTTCACGCTCTACAGCTTCAATCTCTTGCCCTGTTGATTTGCACCATATCTTGGACCCGCTTGGGTCTACCCAAGTAAATCGCAATGGCAACCGCCCAGTTATCCGTCCAAGACCAGATTCGCCAACTCGAGGGCGCGCGCAAACTCGTTCTAGGAAATGCAGGCTACTATACTCAAGTCATTCAAGCTTCCCTTCCTATCATAGGTCCATCCGCCCAGGTGGAATTCCGACGATGGGGCGCCGAGTTTCTTGCCGAAGCATTTGCGACTCCCGCAATTGCTCCCGGTCAGAAAGAAACATTGTCCCTATTAGTCCTAGAGACACTGAAGCTACTGGTGGAAGACGTTAACCAAGATGTTACCGTATTGAAAAGCGTTATTCAGACAGCGGCTAGTATATACCCGCTAGCGCTACGATGGATGTAGGTTCTGCCCAGCCTGTTATTGTAGACTCCTCGTAGATTCTGGTGCGCGTGTGCACATTCTTTCTAGATTTCATACGTCCATGCGGCCTTGAGATGTGAGCCAGAGGTTATTCCGCTGACTCTTGAACTTATATTAGTATCAACAATTCTTACGACACGCCCACGTGGGACCGAATGACCGATATCAAGAACCGAATATTGCGAATCTGGGACACTGCTCCACCGAGTATTCGAATATGCTGTATCAAGTTCGCTCAGCGTGTTGTACTTGCACAGACCCAGAGCGTAAACCCGGAGCCAAGGGTAGGATTTTCTTCAAACTGGAACACATTGAACAGTACTGATTCTGTTCATAGCGTGGTGACCTTCTCGACATATCTCTGGTCATGATCCCCCCCAATCACCCTGTTCTCGACGCACCCAAACTCGAGGCCGAAGCATCAGGGCTCCTAGACAGAATGCTCGGGGTTTTGCAAGACAATAGCAGGTAGGATCATGTCGCCGTATACTATATGATTATCATTGACTAACAGAACACCTAAGTGATGCTTTGGTTGTAGATGCGACATTGAATACATTGTCTGTCCTCGTCCGAAACAGACCCGCGACATCGAATAGAATTCTCAACACCGTCCTCAACTTTAATCCCTTGAAGCTAGCGAATTCGCCTATGACGCCTAAGACCAAGGTTCTTGTAAAGTCAATGGAGAAAACGACACGAATGCTCCTTATGCATCTATCTAGACGGTGAGATACTTCTAGAATTACCATTTCCTTATCAGTCTAATTCTATCATAGCACCTCGCTAATAATATTATAGAAATCCCCAGAACCCGCAGATCGGCCGTATCCAACAATACGTTGAGCGACTCATGCGGTCTCGAGCTGAGATCTTCGACGAGGGAAATCGCAAAAGAACCATGGCGGAGCAAGCTGATGGGCAAGACACTAAGCGTCAACGAACAGGAACCACGTCATCCAATCCTCAAGTCGAAATAACTCCATTGAAGCCCGGGCCTCATACCCTTGCAGATGTCTTCACATTTACTAATAACGATGGACTGAAGCGCTTTAACGTAGGTGATAACGTTCCGGCACCACTTGCTGCCAAGATCAGTGTCACAACTATCGCCCGGGTAGACCAGCAACTGTTAGATCGAGCTATTCAGGTATGTTTAAATTACCCACGTATTTTTCTAGGCTTGTCTTACAAGATACTAGGGAGTACGAGATCGCCTGACAGCACTCAATGCGGCCCAACCGGAGCCAATAAATCCCGAGACGGCACCGCTCGACGTTGAAGAGGACGAGGATGACTATGAGCCAGATTATTACGCAGCAGAAGACACAGAACAGATCCTGAACAAGCTCGACTCTTCGCCGGCAGAACAACCACGTGAATTGGAAAAGCCAGCATTAGGCGGGTTGGCATTACCTACGTTCCGACTACCACCACCGCCGACGTTGAATCCGGATCAGGCCGCCAAAGTGGGGCAAGGGTCGATCACGAGAGTGTTCAGCACCATGAGAACTCTAGAGGACCCAGCGGTCAAGAAAACCAAAGCTGGTATCAATAGGCTTGCGGCCAGCTCGTACGACCGGGATTCGTGGATCACTGTAATTACTCGTTTAGCAACCCGGGCAAATGCGGGGCTTGACGTACCGGAGGAAGACGAGGACACCAAGGGCGTCTTCCCACCGCCCCAGCTCAGCGATACCATTCGGGAGATGCTGTTTAACTACGTCCTGGAGGATTTCCGTAAGCGGATCGAAGTAGGCGTCTCCTGGTTAAGCGAGGAATGGTATAACGATAAAGTACAACAACGTTCCGCATCGTCTTCGCCTATTCACCACAACGTAGCTGTCCACTACGAAAAGTGGGCGCTCCGTCTTTTAGACGGATTTATCCCTTACCTCCACGGACAAGACAAGGTGTTAACACGGTTTCTTAGCGAGTTGCCGGAACTTAGCCCAGCTGTCTTTGGACGAATCAAAACTCTATGTCGAGATCCTAGTTTGGTCAGCCTAGCACTCACATCGCTATACTACTTGGTGGTGTTGCGCCCGCCGGTTAGGGGTCTCGCATTAGATGCGATCCAGGATATCTGGACAGATTATGAGGACACAAGGCCCCTGGCGGCCAAGTTTTTACAGAAATGGCGGCCAAGCTTCTTAGAAGCAGCGCAAGCAGCCATGTCTGGAAATGAAGGATCCGTTGGAGCTAGTACGGCCGCAGTCGTCTCATGATACCCATTTAACGATGATTGGCTCAGAATTGCGAACTGATTGATGCGGATGTTATTTCTCAAGCTATACCCTATACGATGGTGACGGCTGGCGGGCGTTAACTCCCTGGGGCCGTTGCATTTGCCCGTAGTCGGATTGGCAGGGCGTTGAGAGATGGAAATAGGCTTGAAGGGTTAAACAGTCTACAGTAATGGGCTAGAGTATATGTACAAAACATAGGGGCTACTCTGGTGAAGCCTTCACAAGGCTTAGATACATGGCAATACCAGCATGTGGAGCATGTTTAATGAAGTTCCTTGTAGATGTTAGGTATCATACATAGCCCGATGACTTCGGGGTTATAATCATACCTACATACGTGCCTATCCAAGTACTCTCCCCCTTTAAGCAACAATAACATGAAGTCCCTTACAGCACAGTAAAGTTAGTTGCAAATACAACGAATACGCACTGTGAAGCTGAGCCACAGCTAACGTACCCCGGCTGTCCCGGTAAGCTTAAGCTCCGACTAAGGTTCACCGACCAACACGGTTAATTGCATATTACATATGTACATATGCACGTCGTAGGACCGGGTACCTGAGCAAGGTTGCGAACAGTGAATAGTCAGTTACCTCATTTATACTCCTACATAAACGACTCTAATTGAGTTGCGGAACAATCGAGGCCGAATAAGAATTAACCTATCATCGAAACGAGCGAGGGAACACGCCCAAATAATAACGAACTCAACCTGTTTACGGTCTAGTGCCTCACGATGGCACCTCGAATCGAGGCTCAAGAGATAGAGACGTATTGGAACATCTTCACAACGCGGACCAATGGCGGCAAATATCTGACGGGCGAACAAGCAGCGCCGCTGCTCAAGAACAGTGGATTGAGAGACAACCAACTCGAGCGCGTGTGGGACGTAGCTGATGTCGACAATGACGGAAATCTGGACTTCGAGGAGTTCTGCGTCGCTATGCGCATCATCTTCGACTTGGTGAACGGGGTGAGTTGCCTTTCTCCCTATCTACCCGTTCCGCTCCGTCTGCATTTATTCGTATCTTGTTATTGATGGAAGAGTAACTGATTGGTCGGAAACAACAGGAATACAACGATGTACCCACGACGTTGCCGGACTGGCTCGTCCCCGAATCCAAAGCCCACCTCGTCCAAGCCAACCGCGCCCTTACCGGCAAGCAAGTGCAGTTCGAACAGGTCGATGACGACTCGGACACGCCAGGTCTCAAGGACGGCTTCGACTGGTACATGAACCCGCAGGACAAGGCCAAGTACGAGTCCATATATCAAGAGAACCGGGACATGCGAGGAGAGATATCATGTAAGTCATCTCCTCTTATTCCTATCCTAGGGTCTATCTAGGCTCTACCAAAGGAAAGGAGAGCAGAGCAGAGCACTAACAGAACGGGACAACCCAGTCAACTCCCTGGAGGACCTGTACGAATCGCTCGACGTGCCAGACACGGACGTCCGGTCGGCGTGGAACCTGATCAACCCGTCGGCGAGCAGCACGGTGAACAAGGACGCGTGCCTGGCGTTCCTGCACATCCTCAACAACCGGCACGAGGGGTTCCGGATCCCGCGGACGGTGCCGGCGTCGCTGCGGGCCTCGTTCGAGCGCAACCAGATCGACTACCAGGTCGACAGCGCGCGCAACAACCCGACCGCGGCGGCGGCGTCGCGGTGGGCGGCCAAGGCGGACGAGAACACGAGCACGGGCCGCAAGGCCAAGTTCGGCGACCAGTACCTCACGCGCCTCGGCCGCGGCGCCTTCAAGGCCACCGGCACCGACTTCAGCAACGCCCAGAGCGACGAGCAGTGGGAGGAGGTACGGCTCAAGAAGCAGCTCCAGGAGCTCGAGGACCGCATGGCGAAGGTCGAGGCCGAGGCGAACCGGCGCAGCGGAGGCAAGAGGGATTCGAAACCGGCGCTTGTGAAGAGGGAGCTCGAGCAGTTGCTGGATTATAAGAGGAGGGAGCTGAGGGAGCTCGAGGAGGGCACTGGGAAGGGCAAGACGGGGGCCGGGCTTAGGGGCGTGGCGGATGATTTGGCGACGGTGAAAGAGCAGGTTGAGGGCTTGGAGACGCATCTCGCGGGCCGGATGCAGGTTTTGGAGCAGTTGAGGCGGGAGATTGATGATGAGAAGGTGAGATGAAGGGGAGGAGGTTGGTGTGTAGGTAGGCGAGGTGGACGTGGACGGGAAGGTGAGAAGATGAGGGGTACAGGGACAGATTACCTACTTAGTTCCTACTGAGGTGGAAGACGGCGATCGCGAGGGCCTTGCCCGTCTGTCTAGTAGATGGGGAGACGGATAGCGAAGCTACCTTACTTAGTCTGTAATGCAAGTGTACAAGTTCTGGATACGGCTCTACTTACGGGTCGATAAAATTGATTCAGGATGGGGGCATTAGGTATAACTATAACTATAAACAAATTTATTATTTGAGAAGCTTTCCAGCATTGTTCCAGGGTCTATAAATCGCAAATAGACGAAAGGGTAAGAACTTGAAGGTGTTTTTTTATCACGAGAAATACCATCTATTCTCTATTACAACGCTACTGACTACCAAGAAGCGTCCTATCATCAAAAAGGGGGTAGGGGTATCTATCTTTAGGGAGGTTACACATTACGATCTCTCTTCTCTTTTCTTTTCGGTCTCCCCCTTCTTTCATCACACACAGCTACCTATTTGTCCGACGTCATCGTCATCCAAAATACACAACGTAGGGATCGGTTCATCCATCCAAGAGGAATCATAGACAGAACACGACCGTCTAGAAAGCACTACCGTCGACGTAGCCTGCCAACTGCTGGGTGCCGAGCGTCTTTCCCTTGATCATATACACCATGATGGAGAAGACCTTGACCGAGCCCAGGCGGCCGGCACCGCGGCTGCGGCCCGTGGCTACGAACAGGACGTCCATCGGTATCGTCTTGACGACGACGGGCGGCTTGCCCTTGAGGGCGAGGTCGATGTTCTTGGCGACACCGGCAGCCTTTTTGTCACGTCCGAGTTAGCAAAAAGGCTCGTAGAATTACATACGATTACATGTCACCTAGGTAGAAACCACCAGAAGGAAGAAAAAAAGGAAGGGAAAAAAGAAAGAAAAGACCACAAAAACTCACCTGCTTATCCGCAAGCACGAAGCTCCCCTTGGGCTTCCAGACGGCGTCGCCGGCGGCCCAGACGTTCTCTGCGCCCTTGACCTTGTAGAACTCGTCGATGTCGACGAACTTCTTGTTCGTCAGCAGGTTCGCGGGCAGGAACTCGGTGTTGGGCGCGACCCCCATGGTAGGGAGGTACAGGTCCGTCGCGATCTTCTCGCCGCCCTGGAGCTCGACCTCGGTCTTGCCGTCGGGCAGCTCTTTTGTATCCACGACGCGCGCCGACTTGCGCACCTTGACGCCCAGCTTCTTCAGCTCCGTTGCCACGTTCGACGCCAGGCTGTCGCCGCCCAGCAGCTCCGCGTCGCCCGAGAGCAGGACGACCTCCTTCTTGGCGCCGAACTCGAAGGCGAGCTCGGCGGCGGCCTCGACGCCGGTCGCGCCCGCGCCCGCGATCACGATGTGCGACGCGTTGCGGACCTTGTCCTGGATCCCGGCGATCTGCGCCGCCGTCTCCTCGTACGTGCCGTTGCCCTTCCAGGGCACGGAGGCGTTGACGGTGCGCGTGCCCGTCGCCACGACGAGGTGGTCGTACTTGAGCACCTTCTCCTCGCCGCCGGCGGTCGCGACGCGGACGGTCTTGTCGGCGACGTCGACGCCCTCCGCCGACCCGAGCACGAACTCGAACGCGTCCGCCGGGTACTTGGCGAAGCCCTTCTCGATCGGCAGGCTGTACTGCTCCTCCTTCAGCGCGCCCGGCACGATGGCACGGACCGACGCCAGGTTCCAGTAGAAGTGGCTATTCTGCGACGGTAGGTCAGTGTCATGTTTTGAAGATCCCGTTGCGTCCCCCATCCGGGAGCCGTTCCGACGATTTCGTGGCAGTATCCCCAATTTAATTTTGCATTCCCGGCTGAAACGGTGTGGATTGGCTGGGATCTGGTGTCTCGTGTCTCGTGTCTGCGGATGTGTGTGTAGAATCAGATCATGTGATTCCCATACATTGTCGTTGTCGCATTGTTCCTAACTTTGCCCTGTCCTTCGCTCTTTGGGCCTCATACATATGTAACTGTGTCAACAATTTCTTACCTTGGAAACGAGGATAACTTTTAAATCCTTAACCGAGGGTTTGGTGTGTTTCAGAAGTCGATGTGCAACTCCCACGCCTGCGTAGGCACCTCCCAGGACTACAATTGTTTGGGTCATTGTGTTGGCGAAGTCCGGTTGCTGATGTTCTTAAGAGGCTTCGTTGTGTTGTGTCTTGTTTTGTGGGTACCTAGCTGAGTTGTCTAGGACGGGGAAGTAAGAGACTTAGGGAACCCAGATAGAAAGAGGGACAAACTACAAACAATAATATGTAGGTATTAAAATAGATTGTGTACTGTTGAGGAGTTAATTGTTGTAGATGTGAAGGAAAAGAGAATCAAGAAGATTCAAAGTGTAGATGGCTGGAAACTTGGGCAGTTATGTATGTCTTATAAGCTTGCCCGTTTCACGGCAGGGAGGAACGGACCCTTATCAAAACATTGTTTTTTTCCTCCTGTTAAGGTACGCCAGACGCCTCAAACGGAGAGACCCCACTCAAGCCCAGTCGGCCTAAGACCCCAGTCATGGATGGAGAGGTCTAAGGTCCAAAAGCACGTCAACGAGCTTGGTTGCTCAGGTACCTCGTACTCAGAACATTAGATGAAGAATACCTACCTAGGAACTTAGAGGTAGGTATTCATCCCATTGCTGACGACCATATTTAATTTGTCAGAATCGGGAATCGGGGATCGGGGATCGGAACCGCGGCCGTTTGGAAGAAGGCTCCAGAGCTTCGGAAGGGTGTCTCGTGCAACTATTGGTAGGCATCTAGTAGGCACCTAGTAGGAGTCTAGTACTGACGCCCCTTGTCGTGTCTCTATCCGCCGTCCGGCGGCCGTCCGCACGGCAATTCCCCAAATCCAGACCACCACCTAAACTCCCTAGACTCTAATAAGTTAAATGGTCAATATGACTAAGGAGCTAGCTGAGCTTCCTTTGTTAGGTAGCGCCGTGATGAATAATCCGACCAATATAATGACTAATATATTGTTTGTTGTTGTCGTTTGAGATTAAGACTTGCATATCGAATAAAGACTTTCTATACGTGGCTCGTAAATATAGTGCAAAACGCCGCTCATCTCCCTGGGGCTTAGGATTTCCGAGGTCAGCTGTGATCTGTTAGTAACTACTTAGTAGTTACAAGATGACTGCGAATACAAAAAAAAGTATTCTGCCGGCTAGGTAGCTCGGTCCCGAAAGACTATGCATTCGAGGCTTTAAAGAAGGATGGGAGGCGGATGCAGACACAGACTATTGGGTCGATGAAGACATGGGGCTTCTCTTTCTCGTCGGCTCATTGGACAGCCTTATGAAATGGTAAGCCAGAGATTCCCTATCTGGGAAATTCCTCGAAATAATTGCAGGGACCTTTTGCGTTAGTTTGTAGGTACATGTGTAATTGCTGTGTTCACTTTAAATGGCCATCACCACCCGACCACTTCCTATAAGCAATATAGGATTTCTTATTCCTCGGCCAATGTTCGAATGATCTCGGGCTCCAACGAATCGCTCATTCATCACCAACTAGAAGGAATGCATTGCAGGAAATCGGACTCGCATGAATCGACTTAGCACCACGAGTCCACGAGTCCACGACTGCATGATAGGGAATCGTGGACTTCCACGTTTGTCGAAACTTGGCACGGCTGACATAGTAGATAGCCTCCCTCTTCAGCCTGTTATATACCGATGATGCCGGTCAGGTATCTCGTATTATGACCAAGATGCGTACTAGGGAACTTCGCGCGATATTATCATCAACGACAAGCAAACCAACCGTCACTCGAAAGTTGACAATACTTGAGTCGGATCCAAGGAAAGAAAGGCGCTCGGAGCAGTACCAGATCTATACTACTCGTATAAACCGGCGTTCGGTAAGAGGGACAATGATCGCTGTCCTGTCGCGATGCCGACATCGATGAACCCTGAAGAGTAAAATAGGCTGGACGGGCCTTGGCGAGCTAATATTCCCGGGTTCCGCCATTGTGGCTGGAGACATCATGGAAGTGGCAGAGGTGGCTAGTACAACTTACGTGAGGCTAAAGTTACTAATCCTCCGACTCCAAATGGTGCATCGAACAATGTGGGGAAGAGCTGGGAAAAAAAGGGGGATACCAAAACCAACCTTCCCTCCTCCAGCTAAGATCGCTTGTTTCGGCCCGTGAAGCACATCAGCATGCGTCCGTTCCTTGAGGGCTCCGTCGATACTCCGCCGACAGAAGTGGCAGGTCGACTACAATCAAGGTGTGCTCGGTCTAACCACGAGACCCATGTCCCTTCTCCCACCGCCCATGTTACGTCGAATACTTATAGTTAGTAATCCCCAGATCATGAGGGGTATAACTTCCTACGGTAACTTACTAGGTAGGTATTCGACCATACGGGGATATTCCCTTTACTAGCTTGTCAGCATGCACGAGTGCCGAGTATAGCCCGCCCGATGCTTGGCCGGAATTACATCGAACGTCGTAAATCGACTTCTTTCACATAAGTCCTATGGAAAATCCACCTGTGATTATGCAAGAAGACCATGACAACGCGACGATAGGCAGGGGAAGCTTGGGTTTCCTCCTATCACATTAATGGCGTAGGGTAACTTTGACAATAATAAGTGACTGCTAGCTTGGTTAATCAAGTTACGTTCGGCATCAGTTTCCGTTTAGTTATGCTCATCGCCTGCGTTCCTTGGGTATGTGATGGCATATAAGTTATTTCTCCTATCCGTCACCTTCTCAAAACACCAATCTCTTGGTTTCTCTCACGCGCGCATGTAAGCAGTTTAGGGAACAACGCTCTCATCATGGCTCATTTTGCCCCTCTAGCAAAAACACTATTGCTTTTAGTAGTCTTAAGTGAGCTATCTTCAACCTCACTACGGAACAAGGCATCGCTAACATGACGCAGATGTCCGGCAGTGCCTTTGCCAGAACAGCACCCCAACCGCATATACGGACAACTCAACAGGTATTACTTTCGATACATGGACCGTGCCGGATAGCGCAAATGGTGGCGGCAGTGTCTCTGTCTTGGGTGGTCTCACCTTCGGCGTTGCGCTACCTGAGAATGCCTTAACGGCCAATGCAACTGAACTCATAGGATACCTAGTCAGTATGCCGAATCTAGCCATCTTTTGCTAGTACGCTGATGTCTTCGCTAGAAATGCGGTTCGAATGGCACAACTACCAATGCGTGGTGCGGTTTGTCGTTTGGGGGAACAATGACGAACAGCTTGCTTCTCATGGCTTGGCCATACGAAGACCAAGTATTGACGTCGTTTCGTTTTGCCAGTGGATATACTGCTCCAGATGTTTACACCGGCAATGCTACATTAACTCAGATATCATCAACCATCGATGAAAATCATTTTAGTGTCATCTTCAGATGTCAAGACTGTTTAGCCTGGAACCAAGACGGGGCGTCAGGCTCTGCATCGACTAGTAGCGGCGCTTTGGTTCTGGGATGGGCTAGTTCGCTCAACGCTCCAACGAACCCAGCCTGCCCTGCTGATATCGCCCTCCAATTCCACAGTAATGGTGACAGCATATGGAGCGCCACTTTAGATCAGAACGCTGCTAACCCGTCCTATACCGAATGGGTTTCTCAAGCCACTGCTACCGTTACTGGTAGCTGCGGGACGTCAACACCCACTACCACTACATCTGTAAGCACAACTGCTACTAGCGCTACAGGCGTGCCCGTCCCAACGGCTACTTACGATTATATCGTAGTTGGCGCAGGAGCTGGCGGGATCCCCCTAGCAGATAAATTGAGCGAGGCTGGAAATAGCGTCTTGCTCATTGAAAAGGGACCTCCATCCTCTGGACGATGGGGGGGATCGCTCAAGCCAGACTGGTTAGATGGCACCAACTTGACCCGATTCGATGTGCCCGGTCTATGTAACCAGATATGGGTTGACTCTACAGGTATCGCTTGCACTGATACGGATCAGATGGCAGGCTGTGTGCTCGGTGGGGGGACAGCTATCAATTCAGGGTTATGGTGGAGGGTGTGCTATCACCTGAATACATGCTCTTGAAGAAGTGCTAACTATCTGATCTAGCCATATTCTTTGGATTGGGATTATAACTTCCCCACAGGGTGGCAGTCAACGGATATGGCCGCCGCAACCACGCGAGTTTTCTCTCGAATTCCAGGCACATACACTCCATCGATGGATGGCAAGCTGTATTATCAGCAAGGCTTTGAAGTTATTAGTGGCGGTTTGAAGACTGCTGGGTGGTCTGGAGTCACTGCGAACGACGTACCCGATGAGAAGAACCACACCTACTCGCACACACCATTTATGTTTTCTGGCGGTGAAAGGGGTGGCCCAATGGCTACTTACCTAGTCTCTGCTAGTGGACGTAAGAACTTTAATCTATGGATGAACACAGCAGTGAAGAGAGTGGTCCGAACTGGTGGCCATATTACTGGTATAGAGGTTGAACCATTCCTAGATGGTGGTTATACAGGTGTTGTCAACGTCACACCAGTTACTGGCCGCGTCATCTTGTCTGCTGGAACATTTGGGTCAGCTAAGATACTATTAAGAAGTAAGCTACTCATATTCGAAGGCATCCATATTCGCTACGTTCCTAACTTCTTCAGGTGGAATCGGACCAGCGGATCAATTGGCTATCGTCCAGTCATCCACTGATGGTCCATCGATGATCTCAAACAGTTCTTGGATCAATTTGCCCGTTGGATACAACCTGGAAGATCACACAAATGTCCGATAACCCCTGGATTTTAAAAGGCTTTTGATCACACTGACTTGTTATATAGACCGATACTGTCATCACGCATCCCGATGTGGTCTTCTATGATTACTATGGAGCTTGGGACGCCCCAAACACTACAGACATGGATAAGTATATAGGTAAGTCATGGATCATTTCCACTAGATGGTTGTTTAGATTTCTACATACCTAAGCTGACCTCGAGCGAAAGATTCCCGGTCTGGTATGCTCGCCCAAGCAGCTCCAAACATTGGTCCAATGTAAGCATTTGTCCTCCGAACTTGCTAGCAGCAACTAATTTTGTAAAGGTTCTGGGATGAAATCACAGGCGATGATGGAATTGTGCGTCAGCTTCAATGGACTGCTAGAGTTGAAGGAAGCGATGGTACACCTAGCGGAAGTAAGGAATTACTTTCCTTGATACTATGATCTACCTACCTACGTTGACATTCAAATGCTGACCGAAGCAGCTGCTATGACTATGAGCCAGTATCTTGGACGCGGTGCCACATCGAGGGGTCGAATGACTATCACGAAGGCCTTGACTACTGTCGTCTCCACGCTACCCTACCTGCACGATAAGAACGATGTCCAAGCTGTCATTCAGGGGATAAAAAACCTTCAATCAGCACTTTCAAATGTCAAGAATCTCACTTGGACTTATCCTTCATCCAACACGACGGTCGAGGACTTCGTTAATAATGTAAAGCACCCTTCTCCAAGCTTAAAGGAATAACATGCTAATGATATCAGATGCTCGTCTCGTACACCAATCGGCGCGCAAACCATTGGATTGGTGAGTTTTTACCTTTTATCACTGATAGCTTCAATATCTCACAGTCTTCAGGGACTAATAAACTCGGAACTGATGATGGCCGAGTAAACGGCTCAGCCGTGGTGGATCTCGATACTAGGGTCTACGGCACGGACAACTTGTTTGTCGTTGACGCCAGTATCTTCCCTGGCCAAGTCACCGCTAACCCGTCAGCATATATCGTTATCGCCGCTGAGCACGCGTCAGAGAGGATCCTGAACTTGACGCTGCCCGAGGCGCAACCGCAATCTGTGCAATGCGGTGGGCTCAACTGGACCGGCAGCTTTCAGTGCGCATCGCCATACACTTGCAAATACCAGAATACTAGCTTTTCACAGGTAAGACCGCACTTTGGATATGTCGATTGATTTTGCTAATTTGTTGCGTTTAGTGCCTTTGAAATATGTACCTATCTCAGGTTAGAGACAAATTCTGCACATTTACATATTCCCAATCTGTTACATAAAGCCTGCTCCCCCGATTTAGTTAGAGGACTTCGCTCACCATCAAAGAGGTTTCGATGATCATGAGGCCGTATCATGTAAGCCATCCACCTGGGTTCTAAGTTTCTGGTTATAGGTTGCAGGAGTCACAAACCATTACCCCCATATGTATTATTCCTATTGGATGAAGGATGTAGATGACATATCAAGTCGTACAACATAATGATATGTCACCAACGTGACCTGATTTGCACGACTCATATCGGAATATGCGCGGAGATGATTATTGACGTCGGTTTAAAGCCTTCGATACAACCTTCAAACTTGAAGCTATTATGGATGGCTATTCTGCGACTTTGGTTTGGAGAATCTCCTGCCAAAGGTGCAAACAACTCTAACCCTTTCTCGTTGATTTGTTCCTGTTCTTGAAGATCGCAATTGAATTTCAAATGTCTTAACAGGGGACACCTTGATAATAAGAAATACACATCTATTGGCCCGATAATTGCTCGCCGGTTTATAATAACTATGCCCGACTCATAAAGAACTCGCAATTCGAAATGCCCTCAATTGGACGAGAAATAAGCAGATTTCAGATTATTCAGCGATCACAAGATGAGTTCAATACGTCCATCATCTCTAATGAACTGACCAACTCCGTATCGCTTTGATTGCAGGCTGGTCATGTTTGGTTAGCATACCATAGCGGAAAAGGGGGTCCCCAGGGTTGAGCAAACCTCCACTCCAGATTTCCAGTGTTTACCGTCCTTAGTGCATCAATGACTTTAGACACGGCGTCCACCTCTTCCGGGTTCAGGGGAAACTCTGACAGTATCGTGTTTGCTGTACGGTCAAACTCGTTGACGAGGATCCTCAGGTGAGCAAGCGACATCTGCACCGCCGCGTCGAGATTGTCGACTTGTTGATAGAGTATAGCTACAGAGCTTAATACGCTGCCCGCTTTCTGCCGGTGATATATTAGCATGGCATGTACCTTGATGATGATGATATTAAAAGACGTGACTTACCATCTCCTTCTTGAACGATATCAAGTCATTTACTCTAATCATGCGTTAGCGACTTGTCCAAGAACTGAAACCATGAACACCCTACATGGAATTGATTACGATCGTAGTCATCCACAGTGCCTCGTACGCCGCCGAAGCGACCAGTTGAGAGGGTAATTTGGCTTCGACCGCGTACCTAATTATATGTTAACACTCCTATTCCAGAATAGGCACCACCAGTTACTCACTCAGTAAAACCAAGCAATGTGCCCATGCCACTCGTCAGTATCCTTACTTCCCAGTACCTCTTCAGACTTGGTAGCCTCTCGCTTAGGTCTGCCTCTGCCTCCAGTCGCGTTGCATCGATGTATCGGTCGAAATGGCCTAAGAGGGACTTCCGTTGCTCTATCACCCCAACCAATGCATTAGTTACCGGCCTCTGTAGTTAAGTAAAAAGTATGAGAGTTACCTTCGTCGTAGTTGGCACAAACTTCCGCGGCAAGAGTCTTAAAGTTGAGGACCAGCGGATCAGAAGGTACCGCATCGTCCTCATCCCCCGGCTGCGTTAGACCGAGAGACTGGCGTACCAGGGTCTTAGTCGCTCTGCGAAGGCCTTCGGCGGCATTCGGATCGGGGGTGAGCCCCTCGACGAGATCATCCCAATAGCCAAACCAAATGATGAGTTCGACTAAGATTCGATATCGATCCTTCGACGCGGCTGGCCACCATCTTCTGGAGATTAGCTTTCTCTCCTAGAGTTCCCTCGTATGAATTTGTCTACGTCAACCTACGTTGCCGCAAGCAAGGCCGGGTTCATGTTTGCGAAAGCCTTGCGAGCTTCCTCTCCCATGGGTTGCCTTGTATAGACGTTAATAAAAGTTCATAGACAATATATCAAGGGGTTTCTTCGTACGCAGCGAGTTGCTTATCTATCGTTTCTTTTGTCGCCTCGTAATTCTCGTTTTGCCCACGAGGCCAGTGTGCGAAGATGGGGCGCATATCCGGTATGGAAAGCCTCTGGCCTTTGAGCTTCTTTACGAGAAGTTCTTTTTCGTTGTAGTTGTACATCGTTGTAAGAAGAATCGACGAGTCTCTTGAATTGGGCCTGTGGATTTGTGTATAAGGATAGGAGGTCCATGACGAGGTGGTCTATCAATGGTGGTTCATATTTATAATGAAAGCCATGGGAGGTGACTTCATGAATATGACTACATATTCCATTTCAGGAATGCCTATCATTATGGAACTCCTATAGGTAGGTACACGATGCCAATAGAGTGAGATGAGTGGTGAGCATGTTGGAGAAGGAGGTGTAGTTGAACATGTGAAAGGTCCGAGATGAGGCCAATCGCAACCAAAACACAATATCTAGAACATGAGCTGAAATATGCATCCGCAATAGTTCAGCTATACTCATCCCTACTGAAGGTGCAGGGTGACACATGCTACAGGATCAAAATCTGCATGCAAGCCAATAATGGAGATGGCTGGAAATATGTGATCCACATCGCCCTTAACGATCTTCTAATTCGGTTAGGCTTTAGACGTCAATCATGTGGAAAATCTGAGCCTAGATATAGTCTTCCAGATTGGTGATTGGTGAGTCTCACGACACGTTTAGTCCAAGCTACACGCACCATTCAGCGGATCCTGATAGTGAATAGTGTCCTTTTTGACGATCAAAAAGGGCCTCAGTAGACTCTACGCTGCTATTCCTATAGGTGAGTTAGAGCGAGCTACCTCGCTTCTCTCCTGGTGATTCGTGTATACTCGGGTCACGATCGTAACAACAAAAGCGCCACTACTCGGATAGATGGAAAATAGGCGCTTCTGGATGCTACCTAGGTTATCCCCCCCCTTTACAGCCGCATCCATAAGTTATCTAAGTAGATTAACGATGAATCAGCTGAGAAAGTCGGTCCGTAGATTCGGTATATTCGTCTTCAGACATTTAGTGGCGACTATAGATGAAGAACAACACCAGAACAGCCGAAATCTTTTCTAGTAACACCGGCACGGACCGGGCATCGGATAAGGGTCTAACTCTGGTCCCATATCTTCGGCTCGTTGCCGACGACAGCTTCCAAAGCGGGTGAGCACATCGCATTCCTTTGCGTCAGATGCCGTAAGATGCCGTAAGATCTCACGCGGACGTCATAATCTGATGAAGATCATACCATAAATGCCACTGGTTTATGTCTGACTTGAAGTCCAAATAACGAATAGTTGCCGCATTTACCTTATTCCGGATTCATAATGTTGAAAAGCTGGTGTGTAAGATGACAGCTGAACCTTCACTCGGTGAGCCATACTGTCGGCCCTCATTTCTCCTCGCCTGTTGTCACAAATGCCGAGATGCATCGGAGCTCACGGAGTATAGCTTAGAAAGAGGCGTTCGTGGCATGCTGAAATCTGCCACATGCCGTCCAGATCAACCAGTAACCTCACCGTGTCGACTACTTGCGGTGAGACAACTTCTTCGTCGCCATTGAGGACTTGCATAACTCCAATGCGTGATCCGGTTTAATCTGTTTACGTTGTCTCGGGATTCGTGAGTCGGGCTCCGCTTGGATGGCAACTCTGGAGTTTTGCCTCCTTCCCTGTACATAAAAGATATCACTGGCTGAATATTTTTGTAAAATGTGAAGACTAATTGCTAATATTGGTATAAGCCTTGAATTGGACGCCCTGCTTATCAACATGAAAAATCAAGTTTCCAATCGCACTTGCGAGTGGTCAATACTGATTTTTTAGACAGTAAACCAGAAGTATGCCCAGTCCCCTAAAGAAAAGCCAACGAAAACTGTACGATAAATGCGTCAGCATTGTGCCCGTAGTACTCGGCATTCCTAATTATGCTTAGTCCCTTCTGGCGGCAAGATAGCCATTCGGCCACCGCAGCAACAGAGGTACTGTTGGCGAAGCAAGAAGGAGAGACCCGGTTTAGTGCTCGTTATGGGGAAATCCTCCATCACGCTCGCACAACGCGCGCATACCCTCCAGGCAATCTGATTTTTGTTGCTCCCAGGAGCACGACTTGTCTTCCTTGAGATCTCTACTCTCTTGAAGAGATCCACCCGGGTACCCTTGCTCCTCCTTCTTTCTAGCGAACGCGGTCCATCGTTGATCTCGAGGATTGAGTAATCGGCGAAATACAGCTTTGCGACGTCGGAACGTGCCCGAAACTCCTTCAGCTCCTTGTTGAAAAACTTGTCTACAACGGAGACAAAGAATGGCGGAGGCGCTTGCAGCAGGAGCATGCTGAGCTCACAGTGCTGACGTCCACGAGCAATGGCCTCTTGAGACGCATCGGATTTAGGCGCATTCGGGTTATGGCCCTGTGTCGATTGGTTATTAGCCCTAGGTTGCTCCCCGAGAACCGCAAGCGCGGTATTGTAAGCCGATCGTATATCAGCGCCTAGACCATTGAGGAGTTTATCGAATTCATCAGCCTTGATGAGTGAAGAAGATGTATACTGACGTATCCTCTGATACGCGTTGTATAAAGCCGCGTGGGCGGTAGCACGAGGGTCAGAAGCCGCGTTAGGATTGCTTGCGTTAGACTTTTCGCGAGTTTCGTACCAACTAATGGCTTTCGTGGAAAACGTATCGAGAAGCGTTATACGGCGACACACAGCAGAAAGTAGACCGCGTGTCGCCGAACATAGAACTAGATGCAAAGCGATCTCATTTTGCGACTGTAAGTACGCCATCATAGGCGCCGATTGAGTATGCTTTAGCAGACTCATGAACTTGGCATCGTCAAAGAGACAGAACAGTGAGTCGCACAGCCAGCAAAGTAAGTCGGTAGCCCACTTGACGCAGCCGGCCAAAGCGTTAACGACATCTAAATGATGGTGCTTAGTATGTATAACATATATTTAGGAATGATATAATGATTAGAAGGAGAAATAAGAAGAATGAACTTACCAGGCTCATCGAGGGGGTTCATAGAGTTCTTGTTAATATTTATATGATTGCTTGATAGGGTAATCATGATGACTATATTGCGGAGGTTCAGGGCTATCATGGCCAACTTTCCCCAGGGTTGTCGAGGTTGATAATTGCCTCTCCATCCGAGATAGTTGCTGATGCTAAGAAATATCTGCAAGATTCCATTCTTGATTAGATGATCATGAGGGGCGTCTTCTGTATAATCGACGGTGAATTTCATCATCTGGACCATAGCTTTTACCCAATCGATTGCAAAAGCTGAGCTGATGTTAGCCAAATGCTTTTCTTGACTAAATCGAAACGAAACGAAACGAAGTGGCTCACTATCTTTGCTGGCGAACTTCCTAGCAACTGCTAGAATGTCATCAATGTTCGTGCTAGCAGTGGCAGCCTGAGCCGTTGCTATTGTGAAGCTGGCAACTAGGGCGGGAACTTGACCTGCAGAAGTGTAAGTCATCTAGAGTGAGCTCAAGCAATGTATATATACTTACTGTCGGTTATAGACTCTATGTCACCCAGAGTATAGTTGACGGGGTTCCATTTTACTTGGCCATCTTCGCATAATTGAACCAAAGAGAAATTGGTTGGGGAAAGGGCCATTTGCAGACCTGAATCATCAGCCAGATATTATGAAGAGAATTCGTGGAATGACACTCACATGACGGTTCTCCGCTTTGAGAGAAACCAACGTCGAAGATAGAGTTGATGCGATCTAGGTTAGGTTCGCGATACAACTCGGCCATGGTAAACCGGTCTCGATGTTCCACACTGCCGTCGTTGTAACCGATACACAGAACCTTCCCGAAACTAATTAGACTGACCCCTATCACGATCTTATGAACTACGACAGAGTCTAGCTTCTTTAGTCTGCTACCGTTCTGAGATATGTTAGCTTGAATAATTATACGATCGTTCGTAATTCGTACCGGTGGCGTAGACCCGACGCTATTTCTCCTAGCCCCTAGCTGCTCAAACGCAGAATGAAGTGATTGTTGCTGATCTGTCAGGAGTTCCCAACGGTCAATGATGCTTTGGACTTCTTGTTCGTAAGGGGAATTCTGTTCTGGTATGATTGATCGTACTGTCAGCACAATTGCTGGCGACCAGTCCTTAGTTGATCCGTTATGTATGGGGGGTAGCATTTCAACGTGAGTAATCTTCGATATAGACGAATCAAGGTGCGAATCATTAGATCCCGGCTGGAACCAGCTGGTAATTGCGAAATGCCTTTTCAGGAGCGTTGGATTCAGCATCTGACTTCCAGGGGGGATATTCTGGGTGCCGTCGTTCTTAGGAACGTTCCAGTTGATGATAACTTGGACAATACGTAACTGCTTCGAAGCAGTTGCCATACCGATCATGAGAGTATTCGCTACAATAATTAGCGAGTGATGTACTAGGAATACGATGTTGGTCTCATTTAACTTACTCTTGTCTGAACAGACTGCGGCGTGGGTTATGAGATCATCTGCAGTTGTGACATTCTCGAGTTCTAGAGTCGTCTCCTCGAACTTGTTATTATTCTGAGGCCAGAACATTTTGAATATGCCAGATGTAGTGATAGATATTAGTGCAGATTTGCTGGGGTGAGGGTGCCATGGACCGGTGTTGAGGAAAGGGGACATCTGGAAGTGGTAATTGTTTCCATTGCCATTTCTAACGGCTGGTGCATAAGACGGCGAATACGGGGGTGCCTATTTTCTAGTAAGTACACAACATAATACCCGGACTAGGAAATATCAGAACGCACCCTCGGCTTTGCGGTTGGCAAATTCGGTAGCCAGTAAGTGCCAACGATAGCTTGCGCATCATCAATAGAATCGCCCTCCCACCTCCGAGATAGCGTTGGACGATTCAGGTTCCCGCTGAAATTGAGTATGGTAACCCTCCCCACAGCATCTATAACTGCGAGCTCCGAATTGACGGGTCCCCAACAAATATGAACGACGGGACCTCCTGGAAGGTTTGCCCAAGGTGAAAGGGTAGTAGGTTCACTCAGGGCAAAGGTGGCGTCCTTCTCATTGGCTTGAATGAATCGTACTTGTAACGATTGTCCATTAGGTGAAATGGAGGCAATAGTGCCCGACTTGGACCATGAAATTCCCCTTTAAAATGAGTTAGCGACCAACTTGACGGTGAAAATTGGGAGGCATGAGCAGGTACTGGCAGCAACCTCGCTGACGGAGATCGTCTAATCTTTGCCGCAATCGTTTACTGGCTGGCCGCGGTGGCAGGGAAAGGGCCGCCGCATCGCCGAATAGGTCATCGACGTCTTCTAAATCAACTTGCATTGCGTCTCCACCCATGGGGTTCTCTAGAATGAGAGGCATCTTGCCAGAAGTCATTTGGGAGTTTGAATAAAAGGTCTGGATAAGTTCCAGATGAGATACCAGTCCGGACTTTAGTGTATTTTCTCAAACGACCTCGGCTTAAATATCGATGATGGGTCAATTGTTTGTAGTCATAGTAATAATAACAATCGTGGGCATTCGGGGTTAGATGAGCATTGAACGTACAACGCCCTTGATGAATATGTGAGGGTAGGAAACAGACAATGGGTTTGAAGATTATATAACTATCTAGTTCTTTTGAGAGATGTTGGGAGTAACCAAAACAGACAAGTGCTTCAAAAGTGATCTTGATTCATATTGTGTTAGTTGTGTTAGTTTGTGTGAATTTGAATAAGTGAATAGCTCTCTGATACTGGACTGTGTCTGAACGGAGTTGAAGCTTTCTTACTCATCATGTGGGTCTCAATCCCAATCCATTGTCTGCCACTTGACAGGAAAGGAGGCTAGAGAATATTAGCTTCGTAAGGGGGGTGCGGGTCTCATGCAGGCATTACGTATTGAAGCCAAACTTAGATCCGATGCATACATAGGTAGGCACTTGACTTTTAACTTTTTTCAGACGAGGCTTGAATGGTAAGATGCCCCATTTAAACCCTCTTAAAACCGGGGAAAGGTGTGGCTTGTTCAGCCTCAAACTGTAGAATGAGCCACATCACTTATCCCTGGCAACCACGGAGCAACAAGAATTAAAACTTGTTGAAGTTCCCCTATTTTCCTCTCGGTCGCAAATACTAGGTCCGTCCTGTACCCGATAATTCTTAGTTCAGTCGAATTCTTCTGACCTAAGAACTCTATTCGGGTTTCAGCATCTACGTTTAGTAAAGTATCTGCTGACGAGTCAAGCCACTTCAGGCGATGAGGGCGGATGCAGCACCATAGCAAACAAAGGCCGTCGCATATGAGGGGCCGCCTTGATCTACAGTTCTCAAACAAAGTTATTATCCACCTGGATAACATCTGGGTATTCAAAGACTCGAGCAAAACTCTGCCCACGCACATCAAATGACAAATTATCTAACGGGACACAATACATCAATGGATCCCTCGATCATTGAATGAACAATATAAACACAATTCGGTTGTATTATAAGGGTAGCATTTTTAAGAAAAAGGAGGTGAGTTAGAAACGGGTTATGACGGCTGAATTGTCGGTGGACAAAATTATGGTATTCAGACGGCAAATACAACTTCAAATAACTTTGCATGCCAAAGAAACAAATTAGGTATATTTTGACATGATTTCTTTCTTTCCCGTTTCTTTAGAAGGACTATCAAATTAGGGTTAGTGCGGGAGGAGACAGCCAGAAATTACTATAAACAACGGATACCTACCAAAGCTCTGGAGTATGCGTGCAAAACGAAGTAGATCGGAGAAGCCCTAGAATTATTTAAGTTAAGACTATTCATAGTCATCATCACACAGCCTAACTTTGCCTGACCTGTGCTGCGTTGTTGGCCGACTAAGCGAAACCGAAAGAGGAGGGAAGAGGAGCCTTGTTGTTCGCTATTGCCCATTGCCCTGCGTTGTCTGTTACCGTACGGGTACCCCCTTCTCCAACCTCCCGGGAGACCCCCGAGTTTTCCCATCTCACTTCGTCCTTTACAACCTCCAAACTCCGCCATTTCATAACCGGACCGGACGTCAAGCGCACACGAATTGATCGCAGCGACAACGCGATACGTGCACAGTCTTTGAAAATCTGCTATCGCCGATAGCACGGCATGAGAATCGATAGGATTTTTAGTTGTGTTATAGGTTTATAGTTCGATGTTTATTGGCTGCGGTATAACGCGATGATATAGCATCTTGGTTCTTTCCTATTCCGAATCGTCGCAACATAACAAGTCGTCGCGGCGACATCATCCCTGCCTCAACTAAAGTACTTACTTCCGAATATAATTGACAGGTGCCTTCCACGGTGCCTTCCCGTCCTTTGGAAATCTTGCTCTTTCCCATATATTGGATCGAAGACCCACCGACATGGACATGGATACTTCGTCACTCTCATCGGCGTCAGATCTTTCTGATCCTCCCTCTTCCAACCCACCTTCTTCACCTCTTTCAGTTCTCTCCAGATCACCGTCAATATCACCAAGAACGTCACTTTCTTACAATCCAAGCCGTCTACCATCGCCGCCTTCAACGATAACTTCCCCAGGAAGCGCGTCACCAATGAAGTCCTCCGACCGCGTGTCGGTCGAGAACGAGATTACGGTAAATCCAGATGGCCCGCCGCCCGCTAAGCGACGTCGCGTTGAGCGCAAGCCGCGTACTACCGAATACCTTGATTTGAAGGCAGCTTCGCAGCAGAGCGAGAAGGATGAGAAACTACTGGAGCAACTGACTGGCGCTCTGCGCAAGAAGAAGAAGATTGTGGTAATTGCCGGCGCTGGAATATCTGTATCTGCAGGAAGTATGTATTTACGCGTGTTTTTGCTTTTTCCTTTAGTGTCTCCCACTTCGTTTCACATGCTAACTCTGTCTTCACCAGTTCCCGATTTCCGATCTTCGAAGGGTCTATTCGCGACTTTACCAAAGGAACACGGTCTCAAGGGCTCCGGAAAGCACCTATTCGACGCGTCGGTCTACAAGCATGATTCTACGACCTCTTCTTTCCATACGATGGTTCGAGATTTGTCGCATCTTACTAGGAATGCGAAGCCTACTCCCTTCCACCATCTGATCGCCTCGCTTGCTAAGGAAGGTCGCCTATTGCGCCTTTACACACAGAATGTTGACGGTCTCGATACATCTATGCCCCCTCTATCTACAACGGTTCCGTTGAACACTAAGGGCCCGTGGCCTAAGACAATTCAACTTCATGGCGGTCTAGGCAAGATGGTATGCTCCAAATGTAGCGAGATCAGCGACTTCGATGAGTCACTTTTCGAGGGCCCGGAAGCACCTCTTTGCAAGGGATGTGAGGAGACAGACAACGTGCGTACCTCTCATGCCGGAAAGCGTAGTCACGGAATCGGACGACTACGACCACGAATGGTTCTTTACAACGAATACAACCCGGACGAGGAGTCTATTGCCAACGTTGTCCGAGCCGATATCCGAGCACGACCTGACGCTATCATTGTGGTCGGTACCAGCATGAAGATCCCGGGTGTGCGCAATATGGTCAAGGACATGTGTCGTGTGACGAGAGAGCGTAAGGATGGTGTTACAGCCTGGATTAATCTGGATCCTGAGCCTACCGGTGCCGACCTCAAGAATTGCTGGGACCTGGTCGTGAAGGGAAAGTGTGATGATATCGCATCCCTAGTTCACCTACCCCGCTACGATGCGAGCGACGACGATGCTGTGGTTGTCGACGAGAAGATGTACGAGGAGACCGTCCGTGGCGTTAAGCTCGAGGTCGAGATCAGAAAGACTGAGGGTATTTCCGTCAAGAAAGAGTCACGTGACAGTTCACCTCTCGAGGCGAAACCGCAATTGGTCGACAACGTTCAGGGCATGCCTACACCCTCTGCTAGTCCCAAGGTACGGGCAGCCTTACCTACAATCAAGATCAAGTCGCAATCGAAGCAGAGCAAGCTTGCGTTCCCCGATTTGGGCTCGTCGAGCTCGTCTAAACCTACGACAACGGGACGCAAGGACATTAAGAAGGCAGCCCAGCGTAAGCCTAAGCAGAGCAAGAAGGCGGAGCCAAAACCTCCTAAAGCTACGATCAGCAAGACTTTCAAGGCGACTAAGGCGGCTACGGTTGCCCCGTCCAAGGTTCCCGCCAAGCGCGAATTCGAGTCGGAGCCCGAGCCAGTTCTATCTCCTCGATCCGTCATGCGCGAGGAATTCTCATTGCGCCCTCGAAGTAAGGCGGCTGGAAACGACATCGTCGTGCCTCAGAAGGGCATCGAGGTGGCACCGCCCAGTACTCCTCCTCAACAGCCCGCGCGCCTGTCACTTCCCGGCACCATCTCGCCTACATCCAAGCCTCGAGGTTTCGCGTCCTTAATCGATTAGTTGGAACTTAGGGACCCCAACCTATAGGCTTCGTTTTTCACCACATCAGCTTGTACATAACAAAAAAAAACGTCATATCAGGGTCTTCTATCGCGAAAAAGGAGTGATATGGAGCATCTCAAACGGCCAAATCTTTTCGGAGCATTAGAAGGGGTTTTCCGGTTTACGCTTTTTTTTTTTTTTTTCCTTTTGTTCCGTTGCATTCTCCGCATGAACCGGCATCGTAAGGGGGGAACGAAAACGTTGCGTCGCGTTTTTTTAGTACCTAGGGGGGGCGGCGAAAACCCCTTTTTTAACATCTTCATTTCCCGGAACGCGGCTTCATCGATTTGGTCGGTTTCATCATCTGGCTTCTTCCTCTCGAAGGCGAGGGCAGAGGGGAAAAGGCACAGAGAGGGCATTAGGCGTTTGATATCCTAGAAATGGGGTTGGGGGATGGGGGCTGTATGGCTTTTAATAGCTAACATCTTTTTAATGGCTACGATCCGGTCACGAAACTTGACGCATCGCTTTATTACGTACGAAAACGAGACCGGGAAAATTCAAGTAGCATGGGCAGGTTGAAGCAGAAAGAAATTCCATTGCTTTTGCTACTGGTTCTTATTGCCTCTCGCCTGAGAGGAGAGAACCATTGCTTATAAAGTACATGCAGAATAATCGGAATGCGAATGATCTTGAATTCTACCCATAATGTGCCATTGATAGTGAATGTGAGATATGATGACTTGCGTGACTTGAAAAAACCGGCGGCGTTCTCATGCCACGTGGCGAGTTGACGACCACATTTAACTACCTACCCACCTCTAGAGACATGGGCTTCTGTTGACTTGGAAAGGGAGGTAAGCATGTCAAATCACTCATGTCACGTGCCCCAGACGAAAGTAGTCGGGGCATAAGGCAGCAGATCATAGTTCATGATTTCTATTAGTTAGGTAGTGGTTAGCAGTAATAAGCTAACTGTCTAACTGTTGCAAAGCCATGTCACAATACTCCTTCTGCAGAATATGCAATGGATACATACGGTATGGTCCCTGTAAAGAGTATTCGCCTCTAACGAACCCGTCATTTGTTTGCGTGCCTTGGGTTATACGTTTGTTCGAGTGAATTTGCCTCCTACTCCCCGTTTCTTAACTCCTCTAGAACACTCTAATCGCGGCCGAGATCAGAGCTTCTGTAGATATAGACAAGAGGGAGAGGTTTAGCCATGCCGACCAATAACTCCCGGTCTCCCGTGACGTTGATGCTTTTTGTTGGGTATGATCGCGTCGACTCCAACCTCGCCTGTCTAAGATGCCAACCCGTGACGCCATACAATGCAATAAAAATGGAACAGTCAATTAGTTATGCGCCATCATCACCATGTCTGACCGGTTGATGATGAGAGCTTTTCAGTAATGTCCCTGGCTAGCGGCCCTCGACTCGCTACGGGAGCTTCCATTGGTCATGGTCGCGCCGGCGTTCTTGGGCTTCTGAGCATCACCGTTTTTCTCCCCTTCTTTCACTTGTAGACTCAATTGTTGATAAAGTGCCGATAAGCGTGGTCCCGTCATCTTATTGTCCTTCTCTTTTTCGGGCTTGCCACTCTGTTTTTCGGAGCCAGGTATTCTCTTCGATATGAATCGCCTGTGACATGATTAGTTTTCGTCAACGTAAATTTCTCGCGGTAACATACCATAGTTTTGGCTTCAGCTCCTCTAGTTGTTCGAGTGACAAAGCCGAAGTCTTGTTGAGCCCTTCGATGAAATCGCCGATAGCAGTGATCTCTGACTTCAAGACCTTAGCCCTTGCCTTGGCAACCGGGATATTTGCCTTGGTACACGATTCTACTCTCTCAACGTGGGTCCATATCGGCTGCATCAGAGCCTCGATGACGGGGGCGTTCCTCTCGTCGTCCTCATCGTCCTCACTTGCTTGTCGTTGAAGATTATCAGATCTGCGAAGTTCCTCCACACGACGATGCTTGTGTCGGCGATCATCCACTTCTCCGCTATGTTTCCGCTTCGTATCAGGTCTCGGCGTGCTACTGTCGCCAATACTGCTACGAGAACGGTGGTGATCCCCACGAGAATGAGAGCGATCATGATCCCTGTCCCGGTGAGAAGACTTCTTTAGGCTCTGGGGAGCAGGTGAGGCCGATACAGATCCTGCTTTTTCTGGGCGCCTATGACCATTCGACATCGCGTGACCACTCTTCTTGTTATTACGATGATGGTTCTCGACAATCTTGTGGGCATTCACATCATCCGAATGAATCGAGATGAGCACCGACAACAGGTACTCTGCACGGCGTACCAGATGAACGGCTCCGGGGGCTTTGGCACCCTTGCTATCGCCATGTTCTCGCTCTTGCTTCTTCTCGATGCGGTGTTCCTCTAGGAAGAATTTGTCGCTCATACCGAGGTCCTTGTCGTCGCGAATCTGAGCCCAAGCACCAAAGCCATATCGGTCGATGCCAACGAGGAGCATACCATCTTCTCTAGAACCCCATTCACAGCTATAATGTGCCGCCTTCGTGGCGTCTGGGAGTCGAAACGTTCGGAAGTCCGGCAATTCTCTAATGACGCGTCGCAGAAGGCGTAGCTGAGGTGGACGGTCAATGATTGTCTCGGCGTTGATCTTTTTGACCTCGCCAAAATCGAACATGACGGCTTTGATGTCCTTCTTCGTCAGTTTTTTCTTCGTTTGCTGTTCCTGAGCTCTTATCTCATCATTATTCTTCTCAACAGCTTCGCGAGACATCCTAACGAGATCATGGAGCAAACCACCTATAAAGTCACGATCGCGGTCACTCAAGCGAGCGTCACGCAGCAACTCTTCTGGACGGTCTTCGATGAAGCCGTACCGCATGAAAGCCCGAATAAGATTACGGGTCTCCTTTTCGTTGAGTGGCCGTCGGGGATCAGAGAGCATAGCCCGCTGTTCCTCTAGGCGTTCCTGCTTTTGCTGTTCCCGCTCTCGTTTCTTGGCGATGCGTTCAGCTCTCTCAGAATCACCATTAGGCCTGGAGCTTTTGAGTGCAGCTCGTCGCGGAGCGCTAGCTTCCAATTCCTTTGCAAGGTATTCGTCTTCTTTCTTCTTATCTTCGTCAGCCTTGATCGCGGCCAATTGTTCTGCCGGTATAATCTGATCCCAGTCAAGAGTAAGATCATCAACCTTAACATCGGTATACTGCATGAAATTGTCCCAATCAATACCACCGGTGCTAAGGTTCATCTTGTCGTCTACCTTGGTCTTCGTGACCTCGGCATTCTCCAAGATGGAGTCGATGTCGAGTTGCTCGAGCCTCTCTTGGTTACCGGACTGCTCAAACATCTTCTGCGATCGCATCTTCAATACCCATTGGATATCGTCGGCCGACTTAGCTTCGTCGATCCGAAGACCCTTCTGCTTGAACTCCTCCCTGAATGCCTTTCCGTCGTCTGTAACTCCAGCCTGGATTGCGAGGTATTCAAGAAGCAGCTTGTTCCGAGCACGCTCCAGGACTTCCTCTTCGATAGTCTCTTTGGAGACAAGACGATAGACGGTAACGGGTTTCTTTTGGCCGATTCGATGAGCTCTCGCCATAGCCTGGAGATCCGCCTGAGGATTCCAGTCCGAGTCAAAAATGATAACCGTATCAGCAGTCATAAGGTTAATACCCAGTCCACCGGCTCTTGTTGAGAGCAAGAAGCAAAAGTCGGAACTATCTTCAGCGTTGAAGTGGTTTATCGCCAAACGTCTTGGGCCAGCACCAATAGTACCATCAAGTCGCTGGAATTGATACCCTCGCAGGCGAAGATAGTCGCCAAGAATATCAAGTACCTTCACCATCTGGCTGAAGATTAGAACACGGTGGTTATCTTTCTTGAGCTTCGCTAGTAATTGGTCGAGAAGCATCATTTTGCCGCTGCTGGCGATGAGACCCTTGATTTGATCTTCGCGGCGTTCGCTGCCGTTGAGGACCTTCTCCTCCGCACCGGGAAACATGTATGGGTGGTTGCTGACCTTCTTCAGCTCCATGACAATGTTTAGCAGTGATGACTTTTGGCCATTATTTCCCTCGTTGAGGGCCGCGTAATTCCTCGTCAGGATGTTTTTATAGTACTCAAGCTGAACATCCGAGAGCTCTACGCGAATGATCTTCTCAGTCTTCGGTGGAAGGTCTGACTCGACGGTTTCCTTGGTTCTTCGCAAGATAAAGGGGGCAATCGCAGCATGAAGATCCTTGAGCTTTGTTTGGGCGTCCGCGGCAGCAAGCGTATCCAGATCCTCGTCTATATGAACCTTTCCGGGATTCAAAAAATCAAGAAGTGAGGACAATTCGGCCAGGTTGTTCTGAATAGGTGTGCCGGTGATGAGAACCTTAGCCGGAGCGCCAAAGCTCATGAGTTCCGAGTACAACTTTGATTCTTTATTCTTCAAGCGGTGAGCCTCGTCAACCGCCAATGCCTGCCACTTTATACTTCTCAGGAAGTCTGCGTCCATCAAGATATACTCGTAGGAAGTGACGAGAACGTTGAATTTGTGCTTCTTCGGATTCCCGTTGAACATGAGCTCATGCTCCCGTATAGTATTTCGGGCGTCGGCGTTCCCAAGATAGACGACATAGTTCAGATCAGGTGACCATAGGTTGAAGGTATCGCACCAAGCAGGTATGACACTCAAAGGCGCAACAACCAAGAAAGGACCTTCCTGATTACGCTCATTGCGAAGCCAGCTCAGGAATGAGACGGTTTGAACTGTCTTACCAAGACCCATCTCATCAGCTAGGATAACATTGTTCGCCCTACACCAATTGAGACACAGGAAGTTCAATCCTGTGAGCTGGAATCCTCGTAGCTCACCGCCCTTGATATAGCTGGGCTGCTTCTCAAGCTTCAGGAACTTGCTTCGGGTCGAAGGATTCGACTCATATTTGTCTGAGGTCCACGATCTGGACTGTCGGTCGAGGAATTGTTCGATCTTGTCTTCGGCGGTAGCGCTAATTGTAGAAGCTTCCTCCCAAGTACAATGCTCGTAGGTCAACCCCTTCCACTTGACGAAATATTCTCTCCCGTCTTCACCGCTTCGCTGAGTGACAACGCGTTCTACTTTAGTGTAATCTTCTAAAGCATCGTGTTCGCGCTCCTTGTCGAGCATGTATTGCTCTCGGGTTTCAGGTGGAATGTCGTCACCGCCATACTTGAGATCGATCTCGTACTCGATCGTTCGCTTGTAGTAGTTCTCAAGTTTGCGAACTCCACGATACCCGCGAAGGGTCTCTAGAGTATCCCACGTGTTATGGAGGTACGACTTGCCCTGCCATTTTATGTTGTACTCGAAGTCATCTCTGGTTGCGTCCGGCATTAACTCGTCGCCGTCTCGGACGCGATGACCGACAACCTTCTCGATATACATCGAGTCTTCTGCGAGTTCTTCACCAGCCCAGTAATTAGGTGTAAGCTCAGACTCGTCTTCGTCATCAATATCACTCTCGTGGTATGTCTGAACTTGTTGAGCGGCTCGTCTGTTAGACCAGCGCTTCTCGGCGTATAGCGCAGCCTGCGGCTGAGATTGCTGACGACGAGCTTTCTTAATTAGAGTACGAGCACGAGCTCCGCCGTATGTATCGGAATCAGAATCGTCGGCAGGCGTTTGTCTTGCGGGTGTTCCACGTTTAGAAGCTACACATCGAGTTTCATCAGTATAAGAATAATAGAATCAAATTCAAGGCATCCCGAAGATAACTTACATTGTCGCGAGATCTGCTCCGCACGAGGCTTCTTCGTTCGACGGTTAGTAGGAACGACGTCGGAATCAGACTCTTCCTCTTCTTCATCAGACTCAACCTTCAAATAAGGTGGTCAGTAACATAGCTAATACTATACAGCTTCTAGAGTGAGCTTCTACTTACGATCTTGGCCTGCTTCGTAGGTCGAGACTAGTGAAAGATTAGCTAGGAGAACTCTATATCGGCAATTGAATTGGCATACGCTTCTTCGCAATCCATAAAGCTCAGGATTCTCTCGTATGTAATCATCTTCGTCTGTGGTAACTTTTCGCTTAGGAGCACGACGAGAGCTGTTGGAAGTCGAAGTCTCGTCATGGTGCGCGTCACTTTGTGATGGTACAGGACTGTCATCCATATCGAAATCGGCATCGTCTGAGGCATTATTTGCCTCGTCGTTATCGCTTGACTCGGCACCACCTTGCGAATCTAGGTCTTGTTCGGCATCTCGGGATAGTTGGTTGTTGACAGAGGATGAAGGAGAGGATGATGTTCGAAGTGCGTTATTATCATGAACGTCTGACAAGTCGCTCTCACTAGCACGATCGTCCAAGTCCGTCCTCGTAGCTGGTCTCGTCTCGGGCGACGTGTGACCGTTAACGGAACTGGGCTCCGGTGAGCTCGACATGTTGATATTGGACACTTCGGTCCGCTATTGTGACAGTAAGGTTAGCAGGCATTTTCAAGGTGAGAAGGCTACACATATAGGTTCGATGGACAGCGCTAGAAGGGGCGATCAAAACAACGCAATAAACAGCTATAAAACACGCGAAATGGGTCTGACAATAGAGCTGGCGCATATCAAGTGATGGTTTGATGAAGGCAAGGCTGATAGATGATGGAGAAGGAATTGCGTCCGATCGGTGTTGACGTGACGAATGAGGAGACCTCAACGCGTCAGCCAAACCGAGAACAACGGATTCCATCTAGATATTAGCATCGGAGAAGCTTGAAAGCAGTGAAAGAAGCGATGGCAAGGTCGCGTGTGCATATCTTCGAAGATGGATTCGATGTCAAATACACGGGCGAGTGACAGAAGGTAGGGATGTCCAGCAGCAGTATTTGTGCGTGAACGGAAACTAAATACTTACGTATCATCAACTGAAGCAATCTAGAGAGTAAAAAGAGACGGTATGATATGGGTTTATGGAGTTGATGAAATTCGGGTGCGGCCCCGTATGCTGCGTGTTGTGGAATGGGATGGGAGAAACTGTCGGAAATCGACCTGAAGAATTGGTGGTCGGGGAACATTGAAAGTGGACGGGACGGAGGGTGGGAGGTACCTACCTTGCCCAGCTTTGAAAACGCTAGTCTATTTTCTCACTAGTGTGCACAAGCCACAAAGCGCTCGCGCCACAAAGTCAGTGCCAGCAGTGCCAGGTGCTTCAAGGTTCAATATTGTTAGTCACCAGGTAACTACACCTTCTAATTTCTCAGTCTAAGGTTTGACGTTGTTTGTTCAATTAAGAATTGAATTATCTAGTCGGCCGCATGTTAATCACTTAATTTTTTTAATTTATATGGATGACTAAAGTACCGTTGACCAGGTACCTATCATACTTCTATTGTCACTGCGCCCAGTTGTTCGTCCAACAAACTCCAAATGGAGCTAGATTTCCACCGTGCACCTCTCTTCCCCAGGCAAATGCCGGATTGGCGAACACCAGCTGTTCGAACGCCTTGAATGCCCAAAATATAATCCAGCAATCTTTCATTTCTTTAGCAATCACCCAGATATTTGTTAAGAGATCTAGATACGACATGAATTTAATAGATACACCATATCCAACAGCTATTGACAGCAGTTTCTTAAATCATGAGTCACTCAGAGCGACAATAGAGGCTGAGTGAATGGAAGTCACGTGAGAAATATTCATGAATGGCTTGATGTGATTATTACTTGCATACCTACCTGCGTGACAGGAATTGCAGCAGATGTGTCGTCAATCAGCCACTTTGGCAAAATTGTTGTGAATTTCTAAAACTAGAGTTAGACGCGTTGAGACGCCAGTGCTCTCCTGAGTACCTAGCCAAAACAGGCATCTAACTTGAAAATAAAAATGGTCGTTAAAGTTTTCGCTTAACCTTTAAGTGTATAGCCACTACAAGTGGTTTGGTCTTTAACTCTTGACCTTTGTTGTGTTAACGCATTGGATCACCCTTTGGTGCCTTACTCTGCTTCGATTGAGCGGCCAAGAACCACCCAGGTACCCACACATTATATTCCTTTTACCAGATTTGAAGCTGTCGAGGAATAACGAGATAACCTACTTGGTTTGTTTGAAACATACCTATGTTACGTACCTAATCTAACAGCTCTAGCATGAAAATCCCTGGTGTATTTCTAGTCTTATATAAGCATGGAATGACTTCGATATATCTATAAGTGAACTAGTTATTCGCATTAAATAAACTGTACTTTGAGTAGGCCATACACTCAGAAAAGATCTTTGACGAAGAGTACCTTGGAGCTAGGTGTCCCTGTCACATAATTATATTGACATTCTGCAAATCTAGTGACATGCCCCTTTGCTTTTCGTGCTGTGTCCACTGATAACTAAATAACACAGCCGCAATTCACTATTTTCTCGAGGAACAGTAACAGCCAGCATCTCACGCTGACCGTACTCAGCCCGGCTGAGCTTTCCGCTGGATATTGGCGTCTGTTGAATATCAATAGTGTCTTGATACTAAAGCGACAATTTGACGGGACTTAGTCACCACCCGGGTTCATCATTGTGAGGGACAAAGGCTTGAAGTTGGCTGAGATACAAATGGGAATTCAACACTATACTCGCAAGTAGTCTTTGTCACACTGGTAGTGTATGCTTTCTTCGTGTGGTTGCTCTTTCGTACCCAGGAGGCATCGATTGTCCGTTGCCGATATGCGCAGACCCGGTCCTTAAGGTCAAAGCCAATAGGAAATACGACTAGTATTATTTCATTCTCTGCACACTTGAACTAATTGAATATGTAATAACCGGGCTGTATTCGAATAGTCCGCCTTTATTGCGTTTGATAATTTACCTGGAAGCAAATAATGGCATGCTGTGCTGAAGATTATGGGTATCACAAAGCCTTGAGATACCTGTCGTGAGTTAGCATTGAACCATCTTTAGAACCCGACTTGAACAAAGGCAGCCAGAAAGAACCCTCTTTAATTGGTGCAAAGCAACATCGCCACCTAAAGTCCGAATAGCACGACCTATAACCCCTATTGGTCCATTTCAGAGCATGAAAAGCTATTTCCGACTGGTTGAAATTACTCGAGTAATCAGCTCTCCTTCAGAACTGCACGGTGTTTTACAATACAAAATACTTTATATAGACGCCTTTTAAGTAGTCGAAAATTTAAATGAATGTTTTAAGGCTGGTAGAACTTGCGAAGGCAGAATTACTACCGTGATATACCGATAGGCTAAACAATGCTTATGTCGCTTATTGATATTAAATGTAGTAGCGATAATGGATAAAGCGTATTAAGTTACATGTAAGTACTTTACCGCCGCATGGGGGTATATTTTTACCGTAAACATTCCGTTCAATGTTTTTAATTACATATACCCCGCTTAATGTAATGAGCAATTCCTTATTTAAGCGTTCCCGTATATAATTAATTTAAAATTTAAGTTATATATATACGGTTTTTTTTTTAAACGTTTATAAATTACGAAACATTAATTTAATTAAATTATTTTTATTTTATTTAAATAATTATATAATATATATACGGTTTAATTAAATTTAAATTATTTAATTTTTTAAACGTTTAAATATTAAATCGTTTAATATAATAAAATTTTATATACGTAATTTTTTAATTAATAAATTTTTATTTTATATATTAAAATAAAAATTTATATATTTATATATAATATAATTATATTATAAATTTTATAATTATAATTAAATAATAAAATAATTATAATTTATTTAATTAAAATTTATAAAATTTAAATTTAAATATAAATATTTATAAAAATTATATAATTAAATTATATAATATTAATAATAATTTTAATAATAATTTAAAAAATTTAAATATAATTTTTATATAATTAATATAAAAATAATATTTATTTTTTTTTATTTAAATTACGAAATAATTAAATTATTTAAATATTTAATAATTTAAAATTTAAACCGTTTAAATTATTTATATATAATTTAATTTAATTAAAACGTTTTAATTTTAAACCGTTTTAAATTAAAACGTTTAAAATTTAATAAATTATTATCGAACGGTTTAATTAATTAAATAGTTTTAAAATATTTGCCCGAACCGTTTTATATACTTTATTAAGCCGCTCAAATTCGGAGCCGTATATTTACCAAATATATACGGTTCAAAAACCCCGGGAAACCCACCAAGGTATTATCTACGGGTGTACGTAGGTGCCTACCTACTTAGCATGCACTGCATCGCCATGAAGTGAGTTCGGATGAGGCGTTTCTTTCTTTGTAAAGGAAAGCATAAGCACTTGAGCTAGGTACCTAGATAGCTTTAGTGAGAGTGAAACTCGACCCACTATAGATATAGGTGGATAAAGTAAGGTTCTGCTAGTAAAAACCAAAGACAGCTGGTTCAAAATTCAAGATTGAGGCTCTTTGAAAAGGACGAGTGAGGTCACTCTCGGATTTGACAGAATGGGTGCCTGGGGTTTATGTGAATAGAACATGTGGTCAGTGCCTTAGTCTTTCTTAAGTGCATGTCTCCACATGCTAGGACCGACCAATTGGAGAAGACTAGTTCATAATTTTTCACGTTCATAGTGGCTGACGGGTGACTAAGCCACTAAATCACCCCTCATTCAAGTTGTCGTCTACCCTAATTTTGATACCCCACCAAAACTTCGACTTTTACCAAGGCGCATTTGGTCGCAACACTCAATCCTTCTATTCTATTTCTGTCTTTGTTCTTTGCATCGCCAGCATCAACTCTCTGGTTATTCTGTGACCTGTTTCCCCTTCTCCTTCTTTTCATAGGGATACTTCCAGGAGCCGACCATTACTTTTTTTCGCCATGGCTTCTAAGCTTACTCGGTATGTCATCGTGTGACTCGAAGCAAACTCGACCTTGCTGTATCATATATTAATTTGTTTTTTCTAGTATCGCCATCGTGAACGATGACAAGGTACGTTTGTCGAATCCATCCCGTATCCCAACCGTATAAAATATCATGCTAATATACGATATCTTGTAGTGCAAGCCGAAGGTAAAATGGTCTAGGAACTGACTTGAGAATCCGACAAGATCACTTACAATCAATAGAAATGTCGGCAAGAGTGCAAGAGGTCGTGTCCGGTATGCTGCTTTTTTTCCCCTACCGTCCATATTGGAAAACTGTTTCTCAAATTCCGAGACAAATTCCGGGATCTATCCCTCATCCCTTCAAGCTACTAGTCGCTAATCCTTAAAACTGCAGGTCGTCCGTAGTGGAAAGCTTTGCATCGAAGTCAACCCCGACTCGAAGCTAGCATTCATTTCCGAAAGTTTGTGCATTGGATGTGGTATCTGCCCCAAGAAGTGTCCGTTCGATGCGATTACCATTATCAATCTACCTACCAATCTCGAGACCCAAGTGACCCACCGATACTCCGCAAATAGCTTCAAGCTCCATCGACTACCTACTCCAAGGCCCGGCCAAGTGTTGGGTCTCGTTGGTACCAACGGTATTGGAAAGAGTACGGCCTTGAAGATTCTTAGCGGCAAGCTCAAGCCTAACTTGGGCAAATATGAGAATCCGCCTGATTGGGAAGATGTCATCAAGTATTTCAGGGGATCTGAGTTGCAGAGTAAGTCGACCTTCACAGTCCCTTGAGTAAAAGTATCATAATGTGAACATTAGCTAACATGTATTCAAGACTACTTCACCAAGGTTCTAGAGGATGACCTGAAGGCCGTTGTTAAGCCTCAGTATGTCGACCAGCTCCCTCGAGCTGTGAAGACCCCCAACAAGTCTGTCAAGTTCCTCCTCGAGCATAGATCTGCAATGGGGAACATGGATCAAGTTCTTGATGTCCTGGAGCTCCGCCATATTCTTGATCGTGACGTCAACCTGCTCTCCGGTGGAGAGTTGCAGCGATTTGCCATTGGAACAGTTTGCGTCCAGAAAGCAGACGTTTACATGTTTGATGAACCATCTTCTTATCTAGATGTCAAGCAACGTTTGGCAGCAGCCAGAATGATTCGTACTCTACTAGGCCCGGATAATTACGTCATCGTCGTCGAGCACGATTTGTCAGTTCTCGACTACCTTTCCGACTACATCTGCGTCCTTTACGGAAAACCCGCTGTTTACGGTGTCGTTACTCTTCCCCACTCCGTCCGTGAAGGTATCAACATCTTCCTTGATGGTCACATCCCTACCGAGAACTTGCGATTCCGTGAAGAATCTTTGACTTTCCGCATCTCAGAGGGTACCGACGACTTCCAGGCTGACAAGGCCCGGGCCTTCAGTTACCCTAAAATGGAGAAGACCCTCGGCAATTTCAGACTTCGTATTGAAGAGGGAGATTTCACTGATTCCGAAATTATCGTTATGATGGGAGAGAACGGTACGGGAAAGACTACCTTCTGTAGGCTGCTTGCCGGTGCTCTCAAACCTGACAGCACCAATAAAGTCCCTGAGATGAGAATTAGCATGAAACCTCAGACCATCACGCCTAAATTCGAGGGCACAGTCCGTCAGCTATTCTTCAAAAGAATCAAGCAAGCTTTCCTCTCACCACAGTTCCAGACGGATGTTGTTAAGCCTCTTAAGCTGGATGATTTCATCGATCAAGAAGTCAAGAATTTGTCGGGTGGTGAATTGCAACGTGTTGCTATCGTCATGGCCCTCGGCCTGCCTGCCGATATCTACCTGATCGACGAGCCGTCAGCTTACCTAGATTCAGAGCAACGTATTATTGCTGCTCGCGTCATCAAGCGATTCATCATGCACGCTAAGAAGACTGCCTTCATCGTCGAACACGATTTCATTATGGCGACGTATCTAGCGGACCGTGTTATTGTCTTTGATGGAAAGCCTGGTATCGACGCACACGCCAACAAGCCTGAGTCGCTGCTTACTGGATGCAATACGTTCTTGAAGAACTTGGACGTCACCTTCCGACGAGACCCCACAAACTACAGACCTCGTATCAACAAACTGAACAGTCAACTGGACCAAGAACAAAAGTTGGCAGGCAACTACGTAAGTTGATTCAGATCTAGCTTTTTTGTGAATCACATCGCTAATATAATTCCTAGTTCTTCTTGGAAGAAGACAGCTCCTGAAACGGGCGCTCCATGGAGTAACGGCCATAACGATGGCCGTAATCATGATCAAAATATACCACCAGCATCGGGCACCGGCGTTTTAGGCGTTCAAAAGCGACATGCTGCATGCCGAGGGAGCGGGGGCGCGCATGAATCGTCTGGCGTGGATGCAGAGAGTGGGGACGAAAGCGACGAGCCGGACGGCTAGCCACGGCTACGGCAGTCTACCCCCTGTTTGTCTGGTCCTGCATATAACGGATTCCTGGAGCTCTCATTGTTTGTTGAACGGATGGGAGTCTCCCTATAGTTTGCAGCAAATTAGTATTGCGTTGGAGAGAACCATGAATTCGACTACTGCAGATTGAGGGACGAATGGGTCAAGTGGGTGACTGTCGTTCATGTCGTCTTATGGCGGATAATATGGAATTCTGCCATTGACGATTTCTAGGACCCCTAGTTAGACCTGGGAGAAGGAAGACAAAATAGCCCGCAAGATGCGGGTTTAGATTATAGCAAATTCTACTAGCCAGAAACGACATTTTGACGCATATGCTCGTGACTTGAGTACGGATAAGGGTTGAGTTAACATTGGCTCTGGTATTTACGTAAAACTACATTGGGCGATATGTAGAAGCTTGAATGTCATACTACGTGGGATTCACTGGATGGCATCACATTGAGCCCACTTTTACATTCAGGAAAGAAGTTACGCAGGTATGGTATAAGACAAAATCGGAATCATTAGGCTATCTACCGGGGGAGACTAACATTTCTCTACTAAGGGCTAAGGAGGGATGGATGATACACACCGAGATCGTATTTTCCAGGATGTTAACTCGCTAGGGCCGAAAGTCCGACCTTTTCCCCCGTAAAGTCCTGCGTCATTGTGAGAGAAAACCCCAGGTTGTTTTTTTCGTGTTGAAGATGAAGAAGGACGGATGATAAAAAGTCGGCATCGATAAGTGGGACGTACAGCAAAAAGTGGCCTTTAGCCCCCTTTCTCATCGGCGGCATTGTTGCTTAGGTGCGGAAGTGTACGATGGGAGGAGGGTGAAAATCCGAGCTGCAATCCAAGTGTCCCATGTCATCTAAACTCCAAGAAGAACCGTAGTCGGAAATTGACGCACGTACTTTTCAATTCTCCCCGGGTATTAAATGGAGAGATCCCAAGTCTCCACTGGCCACTATTTATTCGGGGACATGCTGAAGTATGGAAGCTTCGGCATATATCAAGGTTAGATGGCTGTAGTGAAGGGTTTGTGATCTCATATCTTCCTTTAAAAAGAACGGTGTTATGGGTTTGTGTTAGGATGCCATGACACGTGATATAGAACGCTGTGTAGACTGATTAAGCGGCTAGTCCTCTTCAATCTCACCCTCCTCGCTTCCCGAATGTACACCAGTATCCTCCTTGGAAGGCGGTTGAACAACTGGCGGAGTCCTAGTTTTATGACGAGTCTCACGATGGGGGGAACGCTCACGCGGTGTTCTCTCTCTTCTTAGTCTCTGTTAATAGCGTTAGTAGGATGGACCGAATTCTTGCCGTTGAGGCGCCTGACCTTTGAATCTCTAGAGTCGCGACGCTCAAGGTCGTCGTCATCGTCAGCCCTTCGGCGTCGAGAGGAGGTAGGGCGTTCATCGCCATAAGGTAGTTCCTCCACGGGCGCTCTCTCGACGCGACGTCGATATAACCGTTCGCGCTCCTCTTCGCGGTCCCGTCTTTCTCTTTCGTAGTGGCTCGGCGGGTCATCACGTCGGGATCGAGGGGGGTAATCTCTGTCCCGTTCTCTATCCCGATCCCGCTCACGATCGCGGTCACGGTCACGGTCACGGTCACGATCGCGGATATCCCGGTCTCGGTAGGAATCCGATGGTCGACGGTCAGATAATAGACTCTCAGCCATACTGGACTTACGATAGTTCTTCTCGCGCTCGGCGATGGCCTTACGACGGTCCGCTTCATATGCGTCAGGTTCCGGGCTACGGCTGTGGCGTGGAGGTCGTGCACGGTCACTGCGGTGAGAACGGTCACCTCTATCTCTGTCTCGATACGTACCACGATCAGCGCCACGATCAGGCGATCGCTCGCGACGTTTATGGCGTTCCTTATCATCCTCCTCCCGGTCTCGTACTCGGCGAAGGACCTTCTCGAAGGCGCCCCGGCGGGCATCTTCAGATTTGACAGCCTGGAATTCGGGGGCGCGAGCAAGACGAGGCCGGACCTTTTCCCAGGTGTCATCTGCAGTGATCGGCGGGTCCACATGCTTAATATAAGAACGGAGATCATCGACAGCCCTTCGCTGCTGGCGTTCGGTGTGTCTGTCCTCATCAGAGCGTTTGGACTTCTTCTCTTGGAGCTATCCGAAGTATTAGTTATAAGATATGTAATAAACCACGGAAACATTTAACGTACCCGTTCAAAGATCAGCATCAGTATATCACCATCAATGTTAGCAGTGCGTCGATCATTCTTGAGTATAGAAGAGAACTCCTCAAAAGTGGTCTTGGGGGTGAACTCAAAACGATTGTCCTGGATTCCGTGTTAATAAATTGGCCTGAATGGCTCAAGCTAGATGGGCAGCAACTTACATCAAGCACATCAAGCACATCATTCCTTGTCGTACGCAGAGCGCGCTCCTCCTCTTCAACGACATCCCAAAATAAATCGAGAGGGCTTGATCCGGCTTGACCGCAAATAGATTTGAATCGATCGTCGTTTTCGAGCAGGGGGTATACCTGGCTCCACTTCGTCCCTGCCTTGATCTTACCAGCTCTACGAAGCTCTTGAAGCAAGTCCGTGAATGCATCTCGTCGCTTTCGCTCAACTCGGAGTTTCTTATTCCTTTGGTTCTGGCGCGTTTCGTTAAAGCTCCTCTCTAAGGATTTGATATGATTTTGAAAAGCGGTGAGAATATCAAAATTAGTGAGAGTCTTATACTTGTCGTCATTCTGGAAGGGGGCGGTAGCTTTGAGAATATTCTGAGCTTCAGACCAGCGCGTGTAGGGTTCAAGGTTTAGCTTAGGGAGAAGGTCGATGAGACCATCCATGGCACTCTTACGAAGGCTGGCTTGGCTTTCAACGTGTGTTTTTTTCAGCTCCACGATGTAATCTTCGAACAACTGACGTCGTTCTTCTTCGTCGTTAGTAGAGCGGAAGATGGTTTCACCCTCTATGATAGGACGAGCAGTCTTCCAGCGCGTATAATGCTTGATCTCGGGGTGGCTCTTCAGCATAATGGCAAAATCAGCACGGAGCTTTGCAAGTCGATCTTTGGCGCGTTCCTTGTCTTGGATGATCATGTCTTGGCAGTACTTCTCGAAAGCAGCCTTTCTGTCCTTTGGGTCCTTGATAGCTCGGTACTGGGGATCCTTGATCGTGGCTCGCATAGTCTGCTCCCAGGTCCAGTCAGGTTGTACGCCGCTGCGGCGCAACAACTTCGTGAAGGCCGCCTCGGCTTCTTCGGGAGTCGCATATTCTGGTTCGTTGCTTGCAGGGACGAACGCCTGGACACGCAAGTCACTCCCGTGTGTCAACTGACGCGACTCGGGGAAGGTCTCTCGATATTCGCGATGGTGATCATAGCCCGAGGCCGGCGGGAACGAAGCATTGGGGGTAAATGGCGTAGCAGACCTACGCATAAGTTAGAAATAAGCATAGATAATAGCACTTGTTGGGTTTCTCACGAGGGTGTCGATGGTGTAGTTTCATGACCCAATGCCTTTCTGTAAACCTCGGGCATTTCCCAAGAACTCTGCTTCGTCTCTGTATTGTACCAATACTTGCGACCACCCTCGGCGGTATACTCCTTCCATGGCTGGTTTGCCAAAGCGCGCTATAGATGGAATATGGTTAGTCTACTGCAGTAACGTAGGATATACAGCCGCGCGTAACAAACCTCGGCCGGCGACATCATTTCTTCCGGTTTCGTCCATTGCGTCGCCTTCGTGATAGTATTGTAATAGTAGACGCGTCCATCGGGGCTTTTGTATTCTTGCCAGGGGTTTGGCTGGCCATAATGGCTATTGACTCCGTTCATCATAGCAAAAGCTTCTGGACGTGTCTGATAGCTCGTTTACCTTCAGAAATTATACCTAGTCCCAGTAAATCTATTTATCCCATATAGGGGAGAAATAGTCGGGCAAAGTAAAAACAACAGTCGATGGGAAGTATTATTTGATTAAGGGAAAGAATGGTTGCTTCGTCGATAAAACGAAACGAATCAAGGTTAGAACATGACGAAGTTTTTTTTTGGCTGCGGCCGGAGGAGGTCGGTGGTCGGCAGGTACGTTCATTTGCTAGGTACAACTGTACCTATCTTTGATCACTGACTAATAAAACTGGCGAGTTATATTTATACTGTTTATCTTAATAAATATTCAAGCATGTATTGGGGTTATCTATAAATCCGGCACACTCTAACGAGAGTATCATTACATAACCGGCCCTTGTTTTAACTTCTATGGTCTGTGCTCGCATCAAATAGACTACGATATGCATTTATCGTGAGCACCCCTGTCCATAGAAGCTTTGATTGGTATTTTGCTCCTATTCACATCCATTTGCATCTTCTCATTACCATAGCGATACCGAAATGCACCAACTTCTTACAAGCGATCTCCCCAACATGCAACGACGATGAATAATGACCCGAGTGTCACATACTTTTGTTAATTCGTGGCGCATTGGGTATTACTCGGAAAATGTCTGATCCATTCATCGACACGACTTCCACATCAGCATTCGATTTACTTCACGATTCAAGTCTAACATACTTCATTCCCCTTGCCACAGACTTCCGCGTCGAAGAAGTATTCAAAGATGACATAGAGAAAGCCAAAGAGCCGTTCAGCTCAGTTGAGCGACGGGAATCTCTTTACTTTGGTTAGCATATCCCCATCTCTTCCGAGAGGTCTGTTTCTCACCATGCTCATTGTTAGACCCCAGATGAATCCGTTGATATTTATCTCGTTCTCAAATGCTCCTACGTCGAACAAGATATCTTGCGATCGTCCCTACGAAGTCTAGTAATCTCAGTTGAGGCGCAGATTGTGAATGCGACAGCGCCAGACCGCGATGGCCAACCACCTTCAGAAACCATTTCCGCTGGAACTGTGGACCATAATGAGGACCCTACTATATTATTTGGATTCTTAGGAGACCATGACAACGAGGGCGAGGAGGAGCGGCGGCAGTATACCGTCGCAGTGTGGAAACATTCAGTGTTCCTTAGTCGGCCTAGAATGCGACTACAGAGTCCTTCGGTTGTTTTCACAGCGACTGCGGGCTTGAAACCAGCAGTCCCATCTCTACTTGATCGGCCTCGCGATGCATACCTGCCCAGCGGTGTAGCCTCTGGCCTCAATCTCCTGGGGTCCTTCGGAAATGATCCTGCTCTGAATGGCGTCAAACCTCGCCTCTCGGCCCTCCGGGTATCTCGCGTTGCGCCTGTCACACATCAAGATGAAGACGTACTCCGACCTATAAAGTCCTTATCTAAACTCTCCCTACGCATCTACCCTGCGGCGCACTCGCGCATGCGCTTTACTCATCTTAATACGACCCCTTCTACCGCGACTGTCCTCGCGATGCTAGAAGTTGATTTTACGCCCTTCTTTGAGTGCGAGATCATTCTTGATAAGATATCAATATCAGTGGCGGATGGCCTAGTAGAGGACCTGACGAGTCAGGCCGGAATACCACTTCCGGTATCCTGCGTGGCTCATGATCATGTTACGTTCTTATATCGCCTTTCACCAGCCGACGCAGAGGTGGTATCAAAGAACCCCATACGAGATCTCAAGATCGCCATCTCCGCGGTGGCCCTACTGCGTCCAGACACTTGCGAGCCTCGCTTGAACATGGCGTGGACTGCTACAGTTGACTTTACTATACCCGTAAACCCGGGGTATGGCTCTACTATGCAACCTATCCAACGAATGCACCGTCCGAGTCAACTTTCGATAGGGGGCGAGAGTACAATCTCTTTGACGGCGCCCTCTGTTGCGCGACCAGACTCGTTGCCCTCCCTAGAAGCCGCGACACGGACGGAGACTGCTGTGCCTGATATGGGTATTACTATGACATTCACTTCTCCATCTCCGGATCAGCAGATATTCCCAGGCGACGAATTTGTCTGGAACGTGTTTGTTGTTAACCGGTCGCCGGCGCCGTCGGCGGTACCGAGGAAGTTAGCAATACTAGTAGTCCCGAAGCGAAGACGAAACGAATCGCGGGTCAACCGCCCACCCTCAGTTTCTCGGCTACCGGAACTCTCGCATGGCCAATTCCAACAGGCGAAGACGCCGAAAGACCGGAATGTGGCAGACGCGGTCCTCGACGAGAATGTTGTCCATGCCATGCAACATAGCAGCATCATTGACAGCGCGGAGGTGGTGTGCCTGAGCGCGGATGTCCGAGTCGGCCCACTCGCGCCTGGAGCTTGTCACGTTGCCGAGCTCAGGTTTTTGGCATTGAAGGAGGGCATTGTGGGTGTCGAAGCTGTGCGAGTTATTGACCTCGCAAATAATGAGCATGTAGATATAAGGGATTTGCCAACTGTTGTTGTTAGGAGCAAGCAGGAGAACTGATGAGTATAGTTAGTAGTCCACCGTCTTTCCGAAATGGCTTTTAAGATACACCACAAGTACTTGGTCTTATCAATGCAACATGACTATTCAACTTTTAACAATTCATTACCCTGACTCTATGCTCGATACAGAAATTTGGCCGTCCCCATTCCCCTAGAATACATCTAAAACGGCCAATTATCTATAGCAGAAGTTGACGTACTTCTCGTCACAATATGTACCCACCCACCAATACGTAGCTTTCGATTCGGATGCCCCAGCTTTCTCGGTCTATCCTTCACGTATGGGCATCTCCAGCTAAGCACACTACAATGCATCTTTCTGTTCCCCTAGATTATTATGAAATATATTCATGTGTATGAAGACTCCACACGAGACTCACGATATGTAATATAATATAAAAGCGATATGAGTTTGGCTACAAAATGCTAACAACCTCTACTTGGATCAATTCTGTGTGCTTATATAATATCAGACGCTCAGGGGGTAGAAAGGAGATAGGAACCAAACGTGGTTCCACCAATAGTTGCCCTGGTTGTCTCTCCCAAGTGCCAGTTGTACTCGTAAGCACATGTACGTATAATGCACACACAAGCGTATCGACGATCAGTGACGATCTTGCAAACTTACTAAAATTCCCATAATATCTCACAAAACGTTTTCCTAATATTTCCCATGACCCAGTTGTAGAAAACTTGTTTCTTCAGACATTGTACGGGACTAGTAGTCTGAGTTGTCATGACTCTAACCATCCTAACCAGCCCAACGGATCCCTCCTCGTTTATATTACGTCACGTGCTGCCCAAAATTGTCCCGATAGGAGGTAGGAATTCATTCCTTTAGCGGAGCTATCGGTGGTGGTTTTGTGAATGAAAAACACGGATAACAAGAAGGGTAAGGATTTATTTAGGGAGAGGGAAAACGCTCACTTATATCAGTATGACAATCATACCATTACTATGTAATGATGAGCCGAAGGAAGTGTGGGAATGTCCTTTTGATGAGTTGGTTGCATATAATTAATATGGGGTGGATTGTGAGCGAGCTAATTACATACATCCGACCTGACGGATAGGGTGGGTAACAAATGCATGCATGTTTGCACGCCGTAGATGGACCATGTAACCTTTGATCATGGCTACCTAACGGATACCGATAGTTTCGTTCATGAGAAGGATTTCAGGGTCTCTGGGTCTCTGGTTCTCTGGACGTCTCCTTACCTGGGACGAGAGTGTCCGAAGTGCATCCAAAGTGCATCCAGTATGTCTTAGATCATAAGGCGCCGGGATAAGACACTGGGGGGATTGGCGGTATGATAGCATCCCGCGGTGCGCCAAGCCGGAAATGGGCAAGTTGACAGCCACACCGCAGATTTATACCCAGCAGTCCACGTCTGACGTCTTCTGCTGCGGCTGAGGCTGCTGAGCTAGAACTCAAGGGATGACGAAACCTGCACCGGATGCTCGGATCGACAATAAAATTTCATCAGAGCGGAACCCGACCTCTACCGCCCTCTACCGCCCAGTGACAAAGCCATCCAGAGCCCATCCAAAACCATTCAATCTAGTGGGCTGGTTCTGGGATAGCTCGGAAAATCCGGCACTTCCAGAGCTTCCCTACGCACCCTACGTCTTGCCAACCCCGATTTATAAGTTCTAGCGCCATGTTGGCTGCACGTTTTCGAGCGCCTTCGATGGCTTTGTCCGCTATCGTCGGACACTCGGAGAGCGAATCCTGGATCGCTCTCACACTTCTCGCACACTCTTCGCTCTCGTTCTCGCATGGATGTCTTACTATGTTTCCGTGACGTTATAGATAAAAACCACTCAGTATAAGGCCGTCATCCTGTCACTTTAACCGCTTTCCTGTGAACTTTGCTGCACTGCTATGGAACTTCAGTCTCTACCGACACCTCGGACGGCCAAACATTATTAAGACTAGTAGCTCAAGCGCTGGCTTAATTCCTTGCTTGCTCTAGCCGCACACCACCCGCCTCTCCATCTCCACACAACAGTACTCGCAGACTCTAAACCGAGTCGCCCAACGAGATGGCCGGCTTCGCTAAGACGCTCATCGTAGCCATCGTCGTCTGCATTATCGTGGTCGTGGTAGTGACTGGCCTTTTAATCTTCATCGCCCTCAACTGGTCTAAGATATTACGTCGTGTTACTCCCGACCGTTGGGCATCGCCGCCGAGCGAGAAATCTACCTGGCCGGAGCCGAGGCCGTCCAGCGAAATCGTCTCCTCGTCGCCTGTTACGTCTACAAGATCGTCGAGATTCAGTGCCGATCCGATGATGACCAAATTCACGTCAGAGCACGGCGAGGGTATAACGCCCCCTCCCAATGTGAAGATTTGAGAGGATAGACTTCATACCACCTCTTCCGATATGAGGTACGAGTTACGAGATATGACTAGGATTTTTGTATATAAGGCATCATCGGAGAAGATATTGCCTATGGGCTGGTTTAAGGTGCGATTACATGGTTCAGCATCACTGCACTGCACTGCTAGGCGTTTTGGAGTTGAGCGATAGCCTCATTGTATAAAGGGGTCACTATATGGGGTCATAGGGCAAGATGGAGAGGTCGTATATCCAGCTATAAGGCCCGACGACTACGGAGTATAATAATAATCGCATTAAGGACATGGAATGAGATTGTTATACTATATCAAAGTGGTTTTGGGGATCCAATGTGATTTCGAGCTTGGACGAACTTCCGAAGACGTCCCCTAAGCGAACGGCGAAACTACCTAGAGCCTCAGGGACGTCGGTGATACCAGCTTCAACATATACATGACGTGGTGCGACATGGTGATAATGATTGATTCGACGAGACCATTGCTAACCCTAACTAGACTCCACAATGACAACAGCAGCAACAACGTTTAGATATCGGGACGAGCCGACAGCACGATACCAAAGTTCAACCAAATAGGTTCCGAAGAAGTCTGTTTAAAGAACGGGCATACATCATCGCCAATTAATTCGATCTACGAAAATTGACAGAAGCCAACCAGCACCGACTGCCGGGGTTTACGTGATGCGTACCCAGCGAGCGTCACCGCACACGGCGAACAAAGAAACATCGGATCATGCCATCATCCCACATTACACCCTCAATCCTCCCACCAAACCTGTGAACCCTCAAACTAAAGCAGCGCAACAGCGCCCATAAACCCAACCGCCGCCACCGCCGCGCCCACCACACCCGTCGGCCTCGCCACCTCCGCTACATTCTTACTCCCCTGTCCCCCTCCCTCTGTCGCTGTCGTCGTCGCCGTCGCCGTCCCCGTAGGCTCCCCCGTCGCCGCCGCAGCAAGACCCTTAACACACCCCGTATCCGCAAACGCCGTAACCAGCCCAACCAAGCCCGTAATCCCCGCCGGCGCGAACCTCTCCCCGGACACCGTAACCGTGCCCGTCGTCGCCGTCGTCAGCGACTTGCACTCCGCGTACAGAGAACTGATGTTCTGCGCGTTGGCCGACACGTAGCTGGATAACTGCGTCTGGTAGGATGCCGCGGCGCTGTGTAATGATGAGGGGAGCGAGGAGACGAGGGAGGTGGCGGCGCCGCATGGGTCGGTGGCTAGTTGCGCGGCGTTTTGGGGGTTGAGGTTCGTTGCGTTGGCGATGAAGAGGGCGAGCGCGGAGTTTGAGGGTTTGGGGAGCGAGGGGCCGAGGAGGGCTGCGCCGGGGGCTAGGCAGGGGATTGAGGGGAGGGTTGTTGTGGGGGTTGGGGTTGGTGTGGATGTTGACATGGGCATTGACATGTCCATTGACATTGACATTGGCATGTCCATCGACATTGACATGTCCATTGACATATCCATGGATGTGGCACTGCTGGATTGGCCGAGGGCGCTGGGTACCAGGCCGACGACGGCGAGGATGGTGATTTGGTGACGCATCGTGGTGAGGTTGTTTTCTCTTCTGGCTGAGATACGGCCGAATGTAGATATAATACTGGGTTGGTATAAGTGACTTGGTTGAGTTGAGAATGGAAGTGGTCGTAGGTGAGAGTACTGAGGAGAATTTGAATTTATAGCTTTTGTAATAAGACTTATATCTCCTTCACTGTGTAATTTCCACAGAAGTTAAAGTGCACCCAACGGAGAGATTACTTAGAGTGCATGATAACCGACTCAGCCCGAGTCAAGAATGAAACATCCAGACCGAGATATAACTCGATCGGGTTGAACCTGGAGGACGAGGTAGCACAGCGCCGCCACCCTCCCCGGAAACACTTACCGATTGTCGTCTTACAGGAACCCCCCTTATAGTCCTACTTACGCGATGGTGGAACCGGGGTGGACGGGTGATAGGTGGCTGGCTACGTGTAACTTGGGAAGACGAATTGACTGGCTTTTCGTCACGATATTGTGTATTTCGAGGATCATGGAGTACGCTGTAATCATATGATCGTATGTGGATGCTAGGGAGATCCTAAGTGTTACCAAAACACTGCTCTTACGTCCGTAACTAAAGGAGGCGCGCATCCAATAACTCGCTCAGGTAGCCTTGCGATGCTGGGATGCCAAGTTATGATTAAGATGGCAAGCTGCCGTACATCTCGGTACTGGGAGGAGGGTGTCGTGTAACCACTCAACTGGGATGGAAGGATTCTCGTGGTGTAGTTAAACCACATATCTAGTCCTAGGGAGGATTCGTGAAAGGGACACGAATGTTACAGAGTAGTTTAACTTTTGTTTCCAAGATATTTTACCTGATATCTTGCCACAAGAGGCGCTCCTCAGAGTCTTCTAACTGATATACCATAACAGGTCTCACGTACTATCTTCTTAATACCTAGATGCAGGTATTCCGAGTGGGTGACTTAGGAGTGCCAAGGCATACAAAGACGATTCAAAACCACGCAAAATCAGCTTAAGCATCAGATACCGTTGATGAATATTTTATTATCAACAAAAACTCGGGGCTCGAGATCCCGGTGTTTATAATACTAGCTAAGTGGCACCCAACCCGGGCTTCATGTATTTTTCCCTTTTTCTCTTTCGTACGCGGCTCTCACGACAGCCCAACCGCGTAGCAAAAAAAAAATACAAGCAGAAGAGTTGTACTGGGCCAGAAGAAAAAAGACATTACATATACAAGCTCAGCCAGTCCGCAACAGAAGTACATGTAGTGTTTTGTTTCAACAAACATTATACAAAAAGACCAAAGCCAAGGCCTGGCAGGGGTTTTTCTTAAATATACAATATCTTTACGAGGAGGTAGAAACCAAACAATAAAAATCCAGTAAAACCATCAAAATAATTCTCTTTTTATACCAACGCCGATTTCCGATCCCAGGCAGCGTGCTGCGCTAGCAAGGTGTGCCGCCCCGGACGGGATGCCAAAAAGAAATCCTGTAAATGCTCAAACAGCGCAGGGACGGAGAAGGGTACAAGGTACATGGATATGTGCGAGAGAGAGTATGCGCCGATGTCGATGCTTTCGTGGGAATCGTGATATAACGCAAGACGCGTCTTTGTTTCTCAACTTAACTCCAATGGGATCGAAGGAGAGAGGAAGAAGAAATGTTCTCGTCTATGTCTGTAAGCTCTTGAATCGTTCCTCGAAGGCCTTGACCTTCTCGGCCTGGAGCTCCCTCTCCAGCTTGCGGGTCTGGTTGACGGCGGCCTCGCGCTCCTCCTGCAGGCGCAGGACCGCGATCTGCGCCTCGTTCATGCGGCCCACCACCTGCTGCATCTCCGCGTCCGCGTCGCTCAGCGCGTTCTCCAGCTCCGCCACGCGCGCCCGCAGGTTGTCGATCTGCGACTCCTCCGACACGTTCATCGCCGGTCCCGAGCGCGTCACGTCGAGGCGCGGCGAGCGTCCGCCGCTCGCCGCCGAGAATAACGGCGATAAGGGCGATTTCGGAGGGAACGTGCGTGGGGAACGCAGCCCGTCCCGCATCATCCGCTTCAGCTGGTCGTTGTGGCTGGCTCTGAGAGTCGAGACTTCTTCCTCGTGGCGCACGATCCGGTCCTCGGACGCGTTCTGCGCCGCCTCGAGCTTCTCCTCCAGACCCCGCAGGTGCGCCTGCATCGAGGTGATGCGGTCCTTATTGGACTTCTGCGCCGCCTCGCCGCGCGCCACCGTGTCCGAGATGCGCTGCCGCAGCGTCTGGTTGATGGACAGCTGCTGGCGGACTTGCACGGCTAGCTCCTCGACGCGGCGCGCCGACTCGCTGAGCTCGTCGGCGAGCGCCTTCTCGGATTCGAGGTACACGCGCTCGCCGGCCTTGAGCGCCTCGAGCTGCTCCTTATACGATGTCGACTCCTGGCGGAGGAGGTCGCGCTCAGAGATGGTGGTGGAAAGGGTTTGCTCGAGCTTCTCCATCGCGTGTTTGGTGAGCTCGTCCTGGGAGCTGCTGGCCTCTAGATTCTTGATACGCTCAAGGGAATCGGCGTAGGCCTTCTGGAGATCTTGGTAAGCTACCGTCAGGGCCTCCGAAGTCACGGGGACTGCCAATCTATCGCTGCCGTTGCTGTGACGAGCGAGCGAGGGCGGGATGAGGATGTCCTTTTCGTTGAGCAGGCTCCTTAGCTCCGCGATTTCTTGCTCTGCTCGGTCGAGGTCCATCTTAAGGCCACCGAGCCCCTTCTCGACTTGCCACTTTTGCTCCAGCGCTTCCTCGGCTCGCCGCCGCAAGACGTTGATTTCGGCTCGCAGGTTAGAGATCTCCCTCTGGAAACCGGCTTTCTGCGGAGATTGGGTAAGAAGTCTATCGCGCTCCGTCTCGAGAACTCGGATCTTCTTTTCATTTTCTCGGTTCTGGTGTTCCTGTCTCTCCAGGAGGTTCTTCAGAGCCCTATGCAGAGCATCTCGTTGCTCCTCGACATCCTTCAGTCGCTCCGATAGTTGATCTCGAGATTCAGTCGGGGTTGGCACCTTGACTGTTTTAGACCTCATTAGACCGGAGGGCGGTCGCTGAAGCTTGAAGGATGACGGCGGGCCGGTGAGAGAGTTGGAACGAGACAACCGGGATCCAGCAAATCCATTTTCCTCTGAAATCGTGTCCATCGAATTGGCCTGCATCTGCTTTAGCGACGTGTTCTCAACTTTAAGCGTCTGAAGCTCCTGCTGCAACTTCGACGATTCATAGTTCATCTTCTCAAGTTCTGTAGCTTGTGCTTCGAGACCCTCCACACGCGCCCGGAGGCTAGGAACGACCTCATCGCGAAGGTTGTCGCGCTCGTTGGACGCATTCTGAAGCTCATCCTTAAGCGCTGTAAGCAAGTCCTCGAAATTATCCTTGACCTGGCGTTCCTCGGTAAGCTTGCGCCGCAGGGTCTCACACGTGCTTTCCAATTCCTTAATGCGTCCGCTAGCATCGACGTTGTTAATTTTCTCGAGGTCGATCTGTGATGCTCTTTCCGAGAGCTCCTTGATTTGCTCGTCGAGCTCTGATCTCCTGGACCTCTCATCCTGGAGCTTGTTGGTCAACTCAAGCCTGATCTGGGCCTTCTCCTGCTCCGACCTCCTCTGGATCTTCTCGATCTCTTCCCTTGACTGATCATATTCACTCAATTTGGCCGAGCTATATCCCGAATCCGAGAAGTAGTCGCTGGTCCTCTTGTTTGCTGTTGTTGTGGGATTATCCCTCTCTGCTTGCAATCTGTCAACTAAATCTTCTAGGTCCATCTCGCGCCGAATTGACGCAGCCAATTCGGCCGAGATGGCCTTTAGCTCATCTTCCATCTCTTCGATTTGATGGTGAGGCGAATACGTGGCAGTTTCTGGCGTTGCCAAGTACGACTCGCAATATTCTCTAGAACTGGGTGATCCGAATGCCGCCTTGGGGGCGTCAAGTAGTGATTGTGGTCCAACTGTTGTGACTGGGGATGCATCGGTAACACTGGTTGTCTTTGAGAAGTGGAAAGGCGATGGAAGAGGCGAAAACCCTTTGTCCGAGGCCTCTGTGTTAGAAGGCGAGTTCCAGCCAAAGAAGTTTCCTAGCTTTGATGAGTTTGGTGATTTAGGCAACGGTTTGTCTGTGTTTGGAGTATTAACTTCGTAGTTGTCAGATAATGAATCGGCTGGTTTGAGATTCAGTTGTGGTGGTTGTGTCTTCCGGGTGATATGCAACGACATAGTATTAGAATTAGAATTACTATTATCGGACGAATCTGAGTTATATCCGTCGAAAATGTGCTCGCTCAGTGGATCCTCCTCTTCGTCGCTGAAAAGATCGTCATAGGCGGACTGTTCCTGCTCCTGGTGTTGCGACAGGTCGGTGGTGTGGTGTGTTTGAGGTGCGTCAGGGTTGTCAGCCCGAGAACTTGGACGTTTGACCTCACCCGCTAGGACAGCCGGGATGGAGTCGGCAGAAGCCAGAGGATGACGAGTTGCAGTCGCGGCAGTTTTTCTGGTTAAAATCGCGAATTAATTAGCATATACTGAATTTAGATGATTCGCGTTGGATTGTATATTAATCCATGGATGAGACGCTGACTCACTCTTTGCCGCCCTGGATCAATACAAAATCATCAGGCGATTCCAATCCAGGTGTAGAGACCGGAGGGCGAGGAAACTCGTACACGGTAGGGCTATCCACCGAGCAGGATCGAGAAAACCGTTGATCCGGCCTGGCCAAGCCGCTTGTGAGAGCTAGATATTCTCCAGAAGAATATCTAGTAGTAATTGGCGACGCGGTCGACGATACTGGCTTCCGTCGAATAGACCTGGGGGGCGGCGATATAGCAGCTGAGCTGTCGATGACAAGTCCTCTCGTGTTTCTTGAGACCGGCGACTCGGGAACTGGTTCTAAGGCATGCGATTGGTCTGGAAGGGAAGGAAACGGCTGCTGCTGAGGGAAAGACAGATCGGATGAGGCATGGGAAGTCTCAGAGTTGGCCGTGGAGGGCCGGTGCGGGTGGTCTTGCAGGCTCTGGTTCGGCATAGACATGGTGCTTGATCTACTCCCTTGTCTTCTTCTTATCACTCATGACTAGTCGACTAGGTAGTCGGAATGTGTGGAGAGGCTACAACCCAGGCCAAGAGATTATTGACTCGGTCTCCCAGACGAGGTGGTAATGTTTCACTGGCAGTAGAGAAAGGCAACTTGGACAACCTAACAAAACCTAGGATGTCGACAACCAAGAAAAGAGAGAGTAGAGAAAGAACGAAAAGCACCAGAACTCGTCTAGGCTGGGGTGTGGGATGTGTCGAAAGGGGTATGGCGGCTCAGACTACGACTAGGTAGCGTCGCAATCGGTCTTTTACACCATTATTAGGCCATTTAAAGGATCAAGGATGTTGGAAGCACTGGCAGCTATGTGGCTCCTACACAGAGTCCTCTAAGGTCCTGCAGGCGCTCGAAAGTTGACAGACATTGCTGTAGCGCGTAAGCTTCCCCAGTCCTTCCCAGTCCTTCCCTTGGTTGGCCCTGGATCGTTCTCTTTTGGTCCGTATGGCTCGAAGCACGCGATTCTACTGGCTGCTCATTATCTTGGACCCCTGCCTATCTGCCAACCACTCAGCAGCATTCCGCGTTGAAGACCCTGTCGCGTCCCTTTTTGGATATGCGTAATTTTAATCCCCCTGCCGGCACCTGGGCAGCTGGGGCAGCGAACAAGATGGTTTGTAGGCGCTCTTGCGCGCATTTGGCTAAGAGGGAGGGCCGAACTGGGTAAATTGGCGAATTATTTTTGTTCACGCCTTCGCCAAGTACCCAGATCCTGCTGCGTGTTCTCCTGCATATTCTCCTGCATACTGCAGGTACCAACTGCAAGCCAACGGCATTTAGGTAAATGATCGTCGCCGCCCCGCGAGGTGTTTGGTTCGCTTAGAGGTATGTGTGCCGTACATAGAAGGCAAGATGGCAGGCAATCTCAACTTCGCGATGTCGACTTTCCCTTTTCGAGACAGCCAGATAGAGAAAGATCGATCTCAATTATCCCATTGCCCGATCCACAGTAGCGCCTCAGGCGATTAACGGCAATTGAGGGTCAATTGAGACCTCAGGTATGTATTATGTGAGACTTGACTCTGCATTGTGTCATTATTACAGATAATATAAAATCGCATAGCGCGCGGTAAGGTATGCCGTTGAAAAAGAACCAAGACTAATTACTACGACGAGAGTTACCGAAGCCACATGGTCAGGGGTCCACGAGGCTCTGTGAATACGGTGCAAATAAGAATCAAGAAATCCGACCTAGACGGCGTGTAAGCATTGACCCTGATCAGGTCTGACCAGAGGCTAGAAGTTGATAGATGCTTGGAATTCTTTTATTAGCTCGAGCCTCAAAGATTAACGGCCCGCCGTACGACGTCGAACATATTGCACATTATTATCCATGAATGTGCTGGCGGATTTCACGAAGTCGACTTGGTTGTCAGGTTGTTTCAATTCTCGGAACACCCGACATTTTTACAAACATCACGATATCGATCACTTGCATACTTAGTGATCCTTGGTGTTTCATGGTAGCAAGCCTTCAACACATAGTTCAGAACGTCTTCTACCTCTTTAGGGGGTCGTCAGCGGGTTGGCGCTGTAGATCAGGGGACCCTCCCAACTCCGCGATTAATTGCTTGATTAACTGTCAGCACTTACTTTGTACCTAGTTAATCCTTGTGCGCATCGGTGGGACATTTCTCTAATGTAAGATAAATGACCGAAGCTAGATTCATGGTCGCTCAAGTCAGCATGAATAGACGATGGCCAGTAATCAAATATGTACGAAAAATCGAAGAATCGTTATGACGAATCAAGATTCTATTAAAACATAAGGGATGACGATTTGAATGTAGGATGATTTAAATATGGCGTAACTAAATCGCGTGACAAAATCCGACTGGATAAAAATAGCTAGCGTCAGGGACCATCCACAGAATTGAAGACAGTACGTACCGATTGTTTCAGGACCGGATTGGCTAGAAGCTCTTATTGGTCATCCCATAAACGCAGAGAAACATTTCGCGATCCTGATTCCTGGAGGCTAAGTGGACATCATTGGAAGTTGGTTAATCTTGATCGTATGTCATGTGAGACATCCTGAAATAACTTCAGGGTATTCCATTTCCCCTTTATCCCACTTTCAAATAACAGCATGCTGGACGACGACGGTAGACGACAGTAGAGGAATTAAATGATATACAGCTATAAAGCTATGCAGCGGAAACTTCGCCTACAATTCCAGCCTCCAAAGTCCCAAGGACCTATCTTGATTAAGAAATATTTCCGTATGAAGGTCGATGCTTGAAGGCCGAGAACAATATGGAGTCCCCCGGTTGAACTGCAGGGAATGGAGGCTCAAGCAGGGAGCCTAGTCTATCGCCTGCCTTGTCAGTTATCCTGGTAAGGAACCATCAAGGCACGTGGATGGAAGCACAGCCTTCTTGTTAATACAAGATGGTGCGTTTAGAACTTTGATGAATTGAGGTCCGAAGTTGTTAAGATGTCCTAAAGATATCGACAGCAAGTTGATCTTTCATAGGGTTTAAGGCTCACTGCGATCTCTTTCGATATATGGGTGCGATATATCTGATGATGTGTCATTGTCTAGGTATGGCAAGCGCATAAGTGCATTGCTTGTAAGATACGAAGGAGAAATCTAGTATGATCTCAGCCCTATTGAAAAGACAATAAGCAGCCAAATAGGAGAAACAACTCCCATCTACCCCTTTTAGCGATTAGTCAGGGGATTAGGGCCAGAGCGACCGGCACAACGTCGGAGCTCCGTGCTTACCCTCTCTTGCGCTACCGATATATACGCCAATTTTTGAACAAATCATCACAGCCCGGTTAGCTCAATCGGTAGAGGTTAGTAGTCATCAATCATCTGATTTGATCACTTCATCACATACTAACATCTTCAATAGCGTGAGACTCTTAATCTCAAGGTTGCGGGTTCGACCCCCGCATCGGGCTCAATTCCCGATGCATCTCTTCTAAAGAGATATTTCGAACCATATTTTTTTTCGATTCGTTTTTTTACTATATTTCTAAAGCTCTCTTTTGGTAGTAAGAATATCTCAGCGTAATGGGACACTAAGGTAAACTGCTCATCGTGACCTACGATCTTGTGCCCTTGCTTCGGACGGGTTGACCAACACCAACAACTTGGTACTTCCCTAGTGGGCGCTATCGGCAAGTTCGGAAAGAGATCCTCAGCCCATTGTTGTACGAGCGACACGCCCGGGCTTTATTGTCAGGGACGATACTGATGCCTTACTTCGGAAGAGCCTCGCCGGGTTCTCTGTTTCATGTCGGCGATCCAGCAAGACATGGCCCCTGATGTTTCCCGGTTTCGTCATCGGCTACCAGCAGATGGGTGCTGATACGAGAGGGCATCTTCCGAATATTACTAAGAGTCAATGATCCGGTGGCTTTTTGCATATAATATGCAGCAAGCCATCCAGCCATCTATCCGTCCAGCTATGCGCCCATTTCTAAAAGGTACGTAGTATGGGAGTTTTTGGGTGCCTATCCGGTCTGGTAGTCTCGGTATTTGACCTACGTTTGTGCATAAGATAGTCCAAGGATTCTATGAAGTGATATTATGTATGGCAAATGCTATATCTATCAGCTGCTGATTAAATAGGTATGTACGAGTTAGTAATGGCTCATGCTCTTCGTTATGATGCTGCGTCCCCAAACGCCGTTGCCATGCAACTCTCAAGAACTTTTCAAAACACGCTGTTCCTGCTCCATTTATTAGCGGCCCTTATCCTCTTTCCGAAGAAGTAGAAGACGTAAGGCACCGGCATAAGCAAGCACGCAAACCCCGCGAATATGCTCGACCCGGGCCCGACTCCGATGTTATGATAAAGGGGCGTGACGACGAGGGGGAAGGCGGCCGCAAAGCAGCTTCGCATAAACGTATTCGCAGCCACAGCGCTCGCTGCATACATCTGAAATGTGTCGACGAGATAGTTGAGCGCGGCCTGGAAGATCGTATTGAAGCCGCATCCGGAAAGGTATAACCCGATGACAGGGACAATCCAATGCGCAACAGCCGGGTCCGCTGTCCAGCCGGTAATGAATTGGCCCGTCGCGAAAAGCACGGATCCTAACATCATCGGAGGTAGTCTCTTCTCGGGAACAGGCTTATCACCGACTGCATGGTAGGCCTTATTGTAATAGAGCTGGTTGGACATATTTATGCCTGCGCCGGTAAGCGAGCCGAGGAGGAGAGCTAAAAAGGGTAGCTCGGCTGACAATATTGACCATCCTCTGACTTCTCCGAATATGATGGGAACTGCTCCGAGTTGCATGTAGAGGATGCCGTAGCAAAAACTGGCATATAGAGCGATCAAGGAGCAGATAGGTGTACAGAGCAACTGGATGGGACGGACGAGAAACTTCCTCGAGAGCTCCATAATGCTTACATCCCATTCCTCGAACTTCGCGTGGAGTGCCCAGTTACCTGTCTCGAACCTCAGTCGGCGCGCCTTAGTAACAAGAAGTCTGGGCGGATATGTCTCGTCGATGAAGATAACAGCGAAGAATAGAACAAGGGACTGTATCATCCCGGTCGTGTATTCGGTCCAGCGCCAACCGTAATTTGGCTGTGCCACGACGGCGGCTGATACGATAGGGCCTACGGTAGGTCCGCCAACAACAGCCATCGCATATCCCGCCATTGCAATACCTCGATAAGCCGGCGTGAACAGGTCTCCAAGTACACCACCGGTATTCGTGACCGGCGCCGAGGCGAAGATGGCGCCCCAAAACCGCATCAGCATGAGAGTCTGAAAGTCCTTGGCAGTCGCGGCTCCGAACGAGAAGCATATGGAGATGAACATGGGCGTGAGTACCGCCACACGTCTTCCATAAACTTCTGACAGCGGTGCCCAAAGCAGGGGTCCTATGCCGAAGCCAAGGAGGAAGAGAGTTGTGCCTAGCGTGGCGACTTGCTCGCCGACGTGGAACTGTTCGGCGATCTGCGCCGTGCCTGCGGAATAGGATGAGGAGGCCCAGGTGGCGGTCATAGTGACTAAGCCGTAGAGGAGCGTGGTCGCCACTTTCTTATGTCGCGGCCAGTTTACCGGGCGGTAGGGATCATCCGGCCCATCGAAGTCGACGAGACAGTCTTGGCCTGTTTTGACCTTCGCGAGAGGGTGGCTGAATGGTGGAATAGTTGGCCTGGAGCGCACCCGTGATAGTACGTTATCCCGACGGGAGACCGTTCGTGAAAGGGATCTTGAGGGTCCATTTAGATCATCCCGACCGGTTGTGCGTACCTGCGACGGACGCTGATCGAGAGTACATGGCCGATGGCCGTCGTGATACTTTTCCGTCTGGGGGCATTCGCAATCAGACAACCCCCAGTCGGGTCCGGTAGCAGGGGAATCAGCATCTGGGACTGATGATCGGCCACGAGAGTGTTCAGAATCGTCCTCGTCTTTACTACTAGACATTATCGCCCTTTCTAAAATAACCAAAAGAATTCATAGGTAAATTCGTGTTTGGACTACTAGGTATGTAAAGAGCAATCACGAGTTCATATATAACTTACATCATACATTTTTAATCTTTTTTATGGAATAGGCCGAAGAGCCGAATTTAGTTGATCAATGTTCCGATTCGGACTCTGATGACGTATTGCGTTGCCAGAACCTACTGGTAGGTATGTACCTACCGCCTTCCAAATATTTTAACACGGGATTTTGATTAGTGAATTCACGCCAAAATAAAAGTTCCTACTTTGAAGTAGGCGTTGTCCTCAAGAGATAAATACAATCACGGAATAATGCACCCCTGATCATTCCATAAGTGGGTATTGCCTTTCTGCAGAAGCAGCACAGGCAGGGAGTCGAGATCACGCAACGACAAAAGCATCTGAGGAAATTCTAGGCCTTACCCCCCCCCCCGGCCCCGCTCCGGCTACGACGGCTACCGAGAACACCGGGTATCTCCGAACACTGTACAACTTCTATGTATAAATCATCACAGAATCCCATTCTATCTATTCCCCCCCTTTGGCATGTAATGATATACGAAAAGTGGCATTCAATTGCTGTTACGTGAATTTCTATGTATCAGATTGGAAGGATCACAAATTCCATGAAGATAATTCTCTCATCAGGTCTCATGAGAAGCTAAACGGGAAGGAGAAACAGCCGATGTTTGAACGACGGCTTATGTTCAATCTGAATTGCTTATACACATTAGCCTGGGATATTTACCTATCTATATGCTTAATACCTATTGAGCTACTGTTAATGGCCAACTACCTACTAACGATCAAATAGGCATCATCATAACTTGACGTTGAACCTGCCCCTTATCCTCTCGCCGAACACATAGAAAATGACAGGTATCGGGATGAGTGCAAGTGAGATGAACCCGAGCAAGCTGTTGCCCCATCCAAGGCCTAGAGCGTTGTACATCTCGAGACCACCCAGGGGGAGAAGCGCACCTAGCAAGGACCGAAGGACGGTCATTGCCGCTGTGACAGATGCTGCATAGCGGAGATACGTATCGACAAGGTAGTTCTGTATGCAAAACTGTGTGGCTTGTAAGCGCTAGATACCTAGAATCCAAGGGATATCCGGATCGCAAGACCGTGAGGCTTACCATTACGCCCATTAATCCGGCGCTGAAAATGAGAACGCCAATCATAGGGACAATCCAGTGCACTGCGTACTGGGTAGTCCAGCCGTATATGAACAAGCCGATGGGGAGTGTGAGGCCGCAGGGAATCGTAAGGGCGGGTACAAGACGAGCTTCGGGTTTATGCGCGATGCCCTTCGCCTGGTTTCGTTTGACCATCCAATCTACGAGCTGTCCGAAGCATACAACGCCAACTATGAAACCTATTCCGGATGGGAGGAATGTTAGGCCGTTGTCGCCCTCGCTGAAGCCGTACTGATCCGTAAACACGAACGAAAAGGTAGTAATGAGAAGATATAGGATTCCGTAAGCTATCGCGACATATAACGACATCAGTGTGACGATCGGCGTTAATACTAGGAGTTTTAGCGGGCGAACTATGGCTACTTTGAATTTATCTATAGGGCTGAGTCTGTCTGAAAGCTTGCTGCATAAGTTTGTGTTGCCTGTCTCCTTGCGGAGCCTCTGAGTCTTGCGTTCGAGAAGGACAGGGGCGAAAGTTTCTTTGAGGAAGATGACGGAAACAGGGATGAATATTCCGGCCTATTCACGTCAGTTTGTATACGGTTTAACAAACGGCGCACGGGGTCTAGTAACATACAAGAATTACCATCAGCCAGTACACCCACCTCCAGCCAGCGGCCTGGATCAAGTAACCACCAGCGATGGGCCCAATACAAGGGCCCAAGAGGGGGCCTAATGACCAAAGCGACATGGCTCTGCCACGTTTCTCAATTGGCATTATATCTGCGATTGTACCACTTCCGATGGTGATGGGAATAGATCCGGCAAGGCCCATGAGTAATCGGAATGCCATTAACATTCCGATGCTGTTGGAAAGAGCGGCGCCGACGGTGAAGAGGACGAAAACTATGTTACCGACCACGTAAAGGGGTTGGCGGCCGACGATTTCGCTTAGCGGAGCTACTAGTAGAGGACCGAAAGCAAAACCTAGGATATATATCGAGAGAAGGAAGGTGGCTACGGTAGATGATGTTGAATGGAATTCGACCATAATACCAGGAATACCGGGGGCAAACATCGAAGAACCTAAGGGGCTGTGGAAAGTTAATATGAACGAGCGATAGAACTTTAGGCATATGAAATGGATAGGACTCACGTCACAATGGTGATGATTGATATGATACTGATATTGATCCATTTCTTACTGTCGGGCCAGGTCATCGGATTTTCTGGATCGTTCGGTCCATCCCAGTCGACGATATTCGGATCTTTCTCATCAGCAGCAAGTTCGCGACTGTTAGATCCCTCCTCAACACCCCTTTCCGAATCTGGTTCCATGGTCGAAGAATCTAGATTGGGAATTGTCGTAGTTGTCTCGACAGACTCGTTCTCCGTCTTTTCCGGATCCATTCTCAGTAGGCCGGCTGGCTGGAGTATATTGTTTTCCCCAGGACTTTGGAACGATCGACTAGCCTAAGGAGACGATACTACATCAAGGGTAACATGGGCTATAATATGCTAGTTAAATATAAGATATATACTGCCATATCCGTGAAGTCATCAAAGGATTAACGAGAAGTCCATCTGGGGATGCTCGGAAGTGACTGGAACTGACATGGGCTATTGGAAGTATTATGCAGCCAGCCTTAACCATCGAACGGTCTTCGGGGGTCAACTGCGTTGTGAATCCCGTACTTGACACTTCGTTCCCGGAGCCAACTGACATAAAACCTGGCTACCCTTGGGCGATCCACCCTTTCAGTACAATAGCCATTGCCGAAGCTACCTAATGTATGATGGTATTTAATCCACGCCTCTTTCTTTAGCTGTTGTAAATATCGGCATACATCCACCTGTACCTTTCCTACGTCTCATAAATGAGTTTTTTCTATGCTTCACTGAGCGAATCGCAACTCTACTATGCTAGCTTCAGAAATCGTGATTACTCGGTACCGCATTACCATTGGCTCGCTTTGGGCAGGCGGTGCAGCTGCGGCTACTCCCGTCTATCCATTTTACTCGGGGCCACACTTAGAGCGTTTAGGCAGTTGGATGTCCAGATTGGGAAACATATTTGAAAGAGGGCATCAGCCAACTCCTTAGGTTTTGATCTTACTTATTTTCCGAAACTTTAACTTATTCCTTATAGTAAGTTACGTAACTCATCTCTATACTACCTTGGCTATAGAAAGTGCACTGCGGTAATAAAGGGTTGGTTTAGCATTCGCGAGCAGGTTTTAATGGAGGCAGAACTCAAAAGATGAGGAATATAAGATGATATAAGGTTTAAAGATATATTTATGTGGTAAATACTTTAATAGAACAGTCAATAGCTCTCGTATAAGCAAACGAAATTATGGAAATTGCGCATTCCATCGAATATTTGATGTGGAAAGTCAAGACCATCTCCGCCAACTTATTGGTATAAATAGGAAGAAGGCCACCTACAATATTCTCCTATTCACCAACTTGAATGTCCATCACTAAAACACTCCTAAGGCATTGGGCATAGCTCCGGAAGGACTTTCCTATCCCCCCTCATCGTGGAAGGCCTGGACATGGATTGAGGCTAATGGACCACCGTCGACGTTTTCCCCGAGATATTTGAATTCTGGAAAAGATGCTGGGGTAATGTTACTAGCTTCCAGAATATCTTGGACACGTCACATACGACGCGATGATGACAGTGACCTGTAAGTTTTCGAAGAGATCGTTACTCATACCAGGACATACGACATACAAGGCACACGAATGGGCAGAAATCTACTACAAGACATTTCCGATTGCAGATTGGAGATTCCCTGCAAAGATAATGTCAGACCGCGACCCGAAGTTTATGTCGGGATTTTGGCAAACTATGTGGAGAAGGCATGGAACAGCGCTTGGAGTGTCGACAGCGAGCCATTCACGGACGGATGGGCAAAGTGAAAGACGAAACCAGGGCGTCGAGATCGCTCTCCGTTACCACATAGTGTCGAGGCCAGACGTGCCATGGATAAGGGGTAGGCTCCTGAGGAACGGCAATGACCACTTTTGTATGGCCCCCTACATTTGGTGCTTCTACTGCGGAATTCCTCAGGCATGGTGCATTGGGTGGCAAAAGCAGAACTCGCTCAAGATGCCAAGCGAAACATGAGAGCTCTGTTATTGCGCGCGAACAGAGGACATGGAATCGCTTAGCCCGGATGCTCACTGGAGCGCAAACGAATCCCATCACAACCTCGCAACGTTCTCCCGACAACCGTTCGGCAGATACTAAACATTCGACCGCGAGAAGTTGCCCGAGCAGGGCATGTACATGGTCGGCAACGCGGGCGACATAGAATCGCGCTCGCAGAACCACCGCCTGAGCTCCAACCTGAGGAGGTTCCCGAACCCTGGGGACTTCTGGTTCACTGCCTCGAGTACGAGAAGCTGCGGGCGAAAGAGACGATAATCCCCATTTGCAAGACGGAGGAGCTTGAGCACATAAACCTCGCCGAGATACTCGGGATAGTGGTGGCCGGGTCTCATGTCTCCGTGGGCGGCTTAAACGTAAAGCAGCCCGGGGCGAGGCAAGAGGACAGGCCTTAACCGGGGGCGTTCGAGTCCGTCGTAACTTGAACCAATAAGATCCCCTTCACATGATTAGTTAAGACTGTCATCCACGCCTCAATTCACGCCAACGGATCCAATCCAATCAGCCGTTCCCTGACTGAAGTTTGTATCGATAAGTGGTAGCATATGCTCAATCGAATGGGAACTAAACTCGTCATGAGCAGAGTCAGATGATAGGAACACATACAGTAGCCAGCGATAACATAATCTCTTCATATACATGACAATGGCGCCATCACGAGGCAGAACTAAAGGACTAGGAAACATCGACGTTGTTGCGCAAGGAACTCTAAACTGCTCCCTGCCAAGGAATACGGTATGACTCCGGAGGAAGAAAATCTTGTGTTCGTCGCCAATTTTCTTAAGAATCCTGAGTTTCGCTCCCTTAGACACACACGAAACATCTCAGACGAAGTTATTTCGGATTTATCTTTCCAAGCAAGGCTTGTGAGGCCACCACCAATACATACCGAGACCTCGGCTCGCCGTCATACACGTGCTACATCAAGGGATCTGGAACAGCAACATAACCCAGAGTGGGTTGTTGATGACTTTCGATTCCGGAAGGACTTTGATCGGGCAACTCAGTATCTGCAAACTCTACAGGACCAGCAACCTACTATTTCCCTGCCCCCTGTGTTGGAAACCCCCTTTTCACGTTTCTCAAGCCGAGTTGGCCGTTTTGTTCGAACTCTCAGCCAAGGGGAACTGGAAACGGAGCAGAGCTACCACTTGATAGACGTTGAACAACGTCTATCAAGATAACCTTCCCTTATCTAACGCCTGAGGGCCAATCTGTCAACAGATCCTTCTAGAGCCACCTAGGAACATCGCGATCTCTTCACAGGCCGAACTCCAATCCTCCTGGGCTACCAACCAGCTCTGGGAAGACCTCTAGCTACCAGCTCACACAGACAAGACTTCCGACAGCTACTCTTGATGAGAGCAAATTCAATTGAGGCCTCGCCTTCTGGCAGAAGCACGCCCTACCACCCGCAAACAGACGGACAGTCGGAGAGAAGAGACCTTTGGCTTGGCATACTAAGGAGCTTCAAACTCCGATCTCTGCGCTATCCTCGCGCCCGGACCCGGGTGCTTCATCAACCTAGGCAGATATGCCTCCACGATGGCTCATCTACTACTCAGCAGATAAAAGAGAAAGACACTTGGGATGTTAGGAGCTCCGGGCGAGCATTCCGCGGGAAGATGGCTGCGGCAGACATTCATTACATTTGCCGCACGCCGATCCAGTGGGTATTGGATGACATGTGGGATTTCTCTAGTTGGAAGGCATAGTCTGCATACCTATATATACTTTCGAAGTAAAGTGCTAGGTTAATGTGTACTGTTAATATTCACGGATTTTGTGGTCAGTTGAAGAATCGTTGATGTATCTCTTGACATTAACAGCGCATTGTTTGCGGATCTAAATCACACCGCGAGCTTACTCATTCCCATATGAATATCCTCCGATGACTCCGTCTCAAACTCCACCTCATCCTGCTGAATATCATTGACGCGAAACGTCTCCGGGTTTCTCAAGGGCGTCCACTTCTCCTCCTCGCTGACCTTGTACGACTTGACCCGTTGAATCGCCACCCGCTCGTCGGGGAATCTGACGTACTGCGCGTCGAAGCGAACACGGTGTTTCGAACTCAGGTCCCAGCTTCCACCACGATACTCCTCGAACATCGCCGCGTCAAGTTCGAAGTCGTACTTCTGCTCTTCCGCGTTCCACCGGGGCCGGAAATTCGGGTGCATCAAGCCGTCGTCCCGGATGTAACTCAGGAACCCGTCATCGATGTGGTCGCGCACCTCTTCCAGAAACCGCGATATGCTGCACAAGCGTCTGTAGTTGCCGCTATCCACATGGATAAAGTGGCTCTGCGAGCCACTAGTAGTAGGCTGCTCCACGGCGCGCAGACGACATCGTCTGTAGGGCGGGCGAAACCGCGCGGACGTAAGGACGATGGCGCCGGGCGCGGGCAGGATGCAAGTAATAGTCCTGAGGTGAAAGTGCTGGCAGAAGGCCTCGGCGAAGTAGGAGCCGTCGCGGAGGGTGTGCACGTCGACCGCCAAGTGCTTGAGGGCCCGGGGGAAGTCACCCCACTTATAGTCGTCGGGGCCGATCGGCGGCCGGCACCGCGAGTAGTACATGATGTCCAGGTCCGGGTCGAAGGCGCGGAACGGCACGGGGCACCCGGCCACGAGCGAGTGCCGGAACCGCGTGCGCGCGATGGCGAACCCGCGCGACTCGCGGCACACGTGCATGAGCACGGGAAAATCCGTGTCGACGAGGAACGGCTCGAGGAATTTCCGAGGGGAGCGCGGCGGCCGGATGAATGCGTCCGGCGGTGCTTCTTCTTGTAACGGCCATGGGATGCATATCTCCTGCTTCTTGTCTGGAAGCACAAGTTCCCAGATCATGATGCGTAGCTCGAAGGGTAGGTCGCTGAATGACATCTTGAAGATGGTTCGATTTCTCTTCCTCCCCGGGAGGGTTACCGGTTGGAGAACGGTGAATTGAAAGAATGTGGTTTAGTAGTGGAGTAGGCCTAGATAGGTACCTAGGTATGGAGAATATGAGCTTGTGGTGAATGGCAAGAAAGATTAGCGGTGGGAATGTAAATTTAAGTACTTGTCTGTGCAATGGGGCTGCAGAGTTTTTGCTTTTGCGCCTCTTCAGTTGTGATACGAGTCACATGATTAGTACTCATGGTCACACATTGAATAAGTAGTATCATAAGGAAGGTAGGTACAGTTATTTATGCATTGCAGCTGAAGGATTATAGACAATGGCGTTTAATAGATAGGATGCTCAGCCTACTACTAAACACTGTACTGGAATAGAGACATACAGTGTGTACTACATACGATAGTCCGTGATCCATCTGATAAGATAAAAAAATTATACATCGCTTCAACTCTAAGAAGAGCTTTGACCCCCTTATTAAGGATACACATATACTATGACGTAGTGTATAGGTAGCAGGTAGTATAGTGTAAATTGTGAATAGGGAGCAATGGGGGCACATTGTCCCTAACCATTAGTTTTATGCTGTAATCAACCCCAAGTCCTGTAATCTAAGGCCTAACCGGAACGCCAGGCAATGCATCCCGAAAACCACATCTCATAAGCACCAAAACTGTACCTAGGACGACCCCTTTTCTCGCAGCGTCTGTTTTCGAGTATCTTCTAGCTCTTTACGGACGTAATCGTTGAATTCGTCGGGGTTGTCGAGGTATAAGTGGTGCCCGGCCTTACTAACGATGACAACCTTCGCACTCCCGTTGTCATTTCGTTTCTCTTCCTCGGTGCCGTTTAATAATATGTTCAGTTTGGCCTGCTTGAGCTTCTCTTCAGCTGCTAGACCGCCCGCTACGTCCATCCAGTCGTTCTCGCCGTACATGAAGACGATCGGGTATCCCTGCTCCTTTACGGCAGGGGAGGACTCTGTTGTGGGGGTGATGACTTGTCTACCCACGCGCTGGATTCTATTGATGATGGGACTCCTAGCATGTGCGCCTGGAGCGAGGAGATACGGTAACGCATATTCACCGCTGCCCCTCTGCTTGAAGATCGAGTATGCATAATCGTGAAGCGTGTCTTTTTCCTCTGGTGTCAGATGATTAAATCGGCGAGAGGTCCAGCCCGAAGCGACTCGTGGTCCTAATGGTCCTGCTAGTCGAATAATGCTGAATGGTGACACGTTAGCATCCCATAACCAGACTAACCACGGAGGATATGGTCGCTTCTTCGGAGCATTGGCGTCTGGTTCTTGTCCTTTATTGTTTCCGTTAAGAGCCCTATTTCCATGTCCCTCGGTTGTTGTTTGTTGGTCGGCGGAGAATTCATCTTGGAACGTCGATTCCGTAGGCTCTGGCATGTCAGCGTTGACAGCGTAGGGATCCTCGGGTATCCCGACTGGAGAAGCGAGAATAAGTTTGTTTATGTGACCTGGATATTTGAGCGCATAAGATACCCCCAAGTATCCACCTAGCGAATGGCCAAGAAGAGTAAACTTCTCAATTTTTCGAATCTTCCGCCATTCCTCTAGGGCATCTATGAACCAGTTCTCTGCTTCTGTGATCTTCGCCGCCTGATCTTTTGCGCAGATCCTGAATGGTGGCCTGCTGGAGTTACCCATTCCTAGCCAATCCAAGGCATAGAGTTTCCAGCCCTGAGAGCGACTTAGGCTCTCGAAGTTCTTGTAATAAAATCCCAGTCCGGCCCCGTATCCATGGAGCATAACTAGTGTATCGTCAACTGGTTCTCCGACACGCTCCACAGAGAATTCGTTCAAGGCTCTATTCTTGCCCGACAAAGTGACCATCGTGGATTTCCATACTCTTGGTCCGTAGGGATCGATCTTCGTCGACGTTTCAGTCTGGCCGGGATGCTCTGCCGACGGCACATCCGCGCTAGAGCTTGTCGACAATGCGACGGCTTCTCGGAGATATGGGATGCATGATATCACGTTCCGTTCAGCTATGGTAGGGGAGACACTATTCCACTGCGATCTGGTCAGAATAAATCAAGTAAAGCGGCGGCTACTTTGATGACTAGATCCATGGCGAACGACAAGTAATGCGACAATACATACCCATTGGTATACGGCTTCCTTGTAACCTAGTGGGAACATTCCCGCACTAGGCGGTTTAGCAGCCGGTTTCCCGTCTTGCGATTGATCTCTGGCTCTCCTCGGGGCTAACATTGGTCGTCGTGATCGCGGTGGTTTCCCGATAGGTATACTAGATGGCACGGGAAGAGGTTCTTCGGTGGATGTGTTAGTCTTGTGTGAAGGATTGATGTTATCCGCGTGCTGTATTCGCGCAACAGTGGTGACAAGCTTCCTCGACTGGGCAAAGGCGGAAGTTGGATTCTTGAGCATACCGGAGAAGTGGCAAAGCCGGCCACGCCTTGTCTTATATGGGATTACGGGTTACGGGGGCAAAGTCCGAGACATCGGTAAGGAAGGCTGTGTAGGGCGATAGCGACTACAGTACTTTACTGTACCGTTCCACGTATCACCAGGCAGCCAAAAGCGAACGATGACACAATGAGTGCGGGAAGACCGATGGTCCGACTGCCACAATTCGCGCACGGTATTGTCATGCAGGAACAGGACCCTCTCTAACGGATCGAAATAAGGGTGGCTTAGTTCCTAATGTTCCTAACACCAGCCAATACAGAATACCGAATACGGAGGGTATTCTAGCGTTTTCTAATACCTCGCTAACTGGATTGGTTGATGATTGATCGAGTCAAGACTGACATGGTCTAGGGGATGAGAAAAGGGAAGCTTGGATGAATGTATGGCCCGAAACAATGGACCGGCCAGTTTAAACAGATCTCTCGGCTTTTACATCCTCCCGCCCCGACCCACCTAGCTGAGGTAAGCGACGTGTTACTAGGTACTACCTGCGTACCTGTCGAGTTGTACATCCTTCTTTTTTTATACCTAGGTATTGAGTATGGAATATTTCTTCGCTGTTTGTATAATTCATCATATGTAGTTATATTGCTAGTTATTCGCTGCAGAAGAAAACCCAAGCATCTCCTTTAAACACCAAAGAAATATTGAGAAGCGGGCTTCGTCTAGTTTTCTAACAGGGGTGGATTTCGCCCCTGTCTGGGTACATACCCCATGATGGACAAATCCGGGGTTACGAGTCACGATATCTTAACTCCGTAACGGAATTCTTCATTGTCAATATCTTCCGAACCCATGTCCATCCGACCGCTGCAAAGATATCGCTAATTTACAGCCTTCAAATCGATGTACGGTAATATTTATAGCTCACATCTGCACGCGTCATGCAGTTCTTTTTCTCGCCTAGTCCTAATTCGGGAAATAATATCTATCAAGCTGACACCACATTAACCTTCCGGTTTCTACGTATGTTGCCATCAAGACATTAGAATGGTGGCCTTTCCCGAGACCACTGGAGATATATCATTCACTTTGTTGTGTTACTTAGGTACTTATCAGATATTCAATCACTTATTTCTTTGTGTATCTTCTCTTGAGTTATTCAGCAACAACCCTTCTGCTTTTGGCTTTCTGTAGCCTTCTAACTTTGATTTCATCTTGTCCTCGAAGATTGGCAAGTCATCAGCTTTCTATTTCCGATTTCCATGAGCTCTCTGCCTATTCATCATTCCCGTGCTGGGGCTGCTCCTCATCGCAGGAATTAATGTGTAGGGCGGCCATATCGAGATAGATCGGTAAGATTTCACCCACGATCTCTTATCTTATCGAAAAAATAGGGAGTCGAAGATAGAGATGAATTCGTCGGTCTCTAGTCTCAACATATGTCTGTTCTAGCAAGATTCATCATCATCGGGTTTCGGCCCTCAATGACTACTCCAAGGCCGCAGAAGATAAGAAACACTCAGGTAAGCACTACCCTTTCCTCATGATAGCTCGCCGAGATTTGCTAGGATTCCGGGCCAAGAGCGCGAAGACTAGGCGGGGATACGGGAGATCCCGTGGAAACTATCCACTCAACTTGCGATCGTTGTTCGACCGGTGTGGATATCTCCATGTATCCCCCCACACACCCATAGTAGGCCCGTTGAAGAAGCGGGGCTTGAGGTGAGGAGACGACCATCGCGAACAAGATTTATTTTCAATTGAATTTTCCCGGAGATCCTGAACGAATGGGAAGTGGACCAACGTCAAAATTTAGACTAGAATGGCCATTATCCACGGAGATATCGGGCTCAACGAATGCCCATTCTCGTTCCGAGTCGGATATGAGGCGGACGAAGGAAATATCGATAGCGCCGGGAGACTTTCTTAACACTCCTTGAGAAATCGTCATCGTTTCAAGGCAGAATGATCTGAATATAGAAATTTCTGGGCTTGCTAATAGACTCAACCACCTCCGGAGGACTCATCAAAAGAGCATGGTTTTCTTACCCGGCTGAAATCCGCCAGGTAAGACGTCGGGATAGGCGACCTCACGACTACTCGAGTCTGTGGCAGGTTTGGTGGAACCTGACGTGGGAGACGTAGAGACGCTGCCCTTGTGGTTCTGAGATCCACGGTTGGTCGAAATATGAAAAACTGTGACAGGCTTGCGTGGGTCCATGATGAAATGAGCTGAATGACAAGTTGTAGAGGGAATTCTGAGCTTGGGGGTTTGAAGATACTTGGAATGCTAGCGCACAAGCAGGAAAGAAGAATCTGGGATATTGGGGATCTGTATGGGTTTAAATATGCCAAGTGAAGTCTTGATCGAACCATAGTTGGGTACACATTTAGATACGACTGTAAGACAAGACAAGATGAGATGAGACGATAAAATACCCGAACAACAAGACTAGACCGGTTCTGAATATAGCAGGTAGTACAGGCCAGGAAGATTTCGTTCTCGCAAAGATCGTCATCGCGATACGTCAGCATATATGCACCTTGAATGCAGATCGAGAGACCACTCGCTGTAGGACATAGGGCATCAGGATTCTTGCAACTATCACATCAAGCTTCAATGCTTTCGAACTACAGAAATCATGTGGTTTTCAACACATGGAGCCAAGATTCGGGCAGTCCCGTGTTGAATCAAATTTTCATCCAGTAGAAAACAAATGCTAGGTACGTCTTACTAAATATTATCCAACTTGTTGGCTAAAAGGAGCTTTTTTTTGTTAAAATCTAGGAGTTGATGCATTGTGATTGATGCATTATGGATTATGCATGTGGTGGTACCTAAGTACTTAGGCACTTGAAGCTATGACCAATTACTAGTATACTTACGTAAGCTCCCGCCCCTTCAACGTTGAAGCCAATGGTGGGGCCCTGCAGCTACTTGAACTGTACTCCTACTCTGACTCCAAAAAATAATAATGATGCACTCAATCGTTCACTTCATTACGCCGACATAGGGAATCCAACCTTCTACAAATACAACCATCCATGTTTCTTCTTCTTAGACTCTACTTCTAAATGCACCGATAACCTTGGAGTTACGTTGATGTGGGCTTATGTCCCAAGTTGCCCCATCTGATCCGTTTGTAGCCAGCACACCGAACGCCGAAACGCGAGAATCATGGCCGACAGTATCGACTCCATCGTCAAGGGCGCCCCTCAGCCCGGCCAGGAGATCAAATCTCCTCCCATGGGAACCAGCCCTATCGGCGTAGTTAAGCCCGGCGACCCTTTGAAGCACACGCCGAGTTCTCCTTCTATGATCTATCTCAACATGCTGATCCTCGAAGCCTCGCTACGCTCCCAGTACCTCGAACTCCGAGCCCGACGGCGCAAACACACTTTCTTCCTGAGTCTTCTATGCCTCTGGCTGGCGGGCTTCGGATATGCCCTGTTCTTTGCGCCTCGGGAAGATGGCAGCGGTGTCGGCGGATCGGTATACTGGGTGGTCGACATGACGGAGCAGGTGTGCTTCATAAGCGGCATCGTCACGGGCATATTAGTCTGGGCAACCGGCATATGGGAACGAGGCATTAGGTGGCCGCGACGTTGGTTTAGTATATGCAACAGAGGTTTACGCGGATTCAACTGCAAGTTGGTCGTTATTAAAAGATCATGGTGGGTTGAGCTTGTCTCGCTAATCGGCTTCTTCTTCACCTATGGCGCATTCTCTAACAGGGCCGGCCAATATCGTTTCGTCGAGCCTTCGATACTTCGCGAAGTCGATCGAGAGTTGAACCTCACCCGCAACGAGCACCCACAACTTCCGTTTGTCAGTACAGACGAAGAGAAGGGCGGGCATGAAGAGGATCTATCGCCCGGGGGGGACTACGTCAAACTCCTTTTATGGCCCAAGCCTTTTTCGCCTAACTTTCGGGAAAACTGGGAGCTCTACAGAAGCGAGTATTGGGAAAGAGAAAACGAGCGCAGGGCCTTATTGAGATCTAAATTGAAAGCGCGCGATAGACAACTTGCAAAGCAGCAGAATGGTTGGCTGTGGTGGTTGCCGGGACAGCCAAAAGTAGAGGACAAGCCACACCTGCACGTCTCGGGAGCAGGAGATGCGGAGAAAATGCAACATCACCGGCCTGCAGCGATCGGAAAAGAGGGCAAACGTACTAGGAGCGGCAGTATTCGGCGGGCTAGTAACTCAGCCGGATCGTCACGAAGCCCGACGCCTCCGATGGAGTCCGAGGAAGGTGGACGAAGTAGGAGAGGTAGCGTGGCCTCGCTTACTTCGGAGAAGAGACGGAAGAAACATCTTTCTACTGGCTCCAGACCGAAGAGGCCAGGTGCCGAGTCACGATCTGTTACACCGGAATTCACATCACCGCTTGCCAAGGAGAGCAGTATCGGTGATAGTGAGGCGGCGTAGCGGTTATCGAGAGGCTAGTGGATCATGTGTACTTGCTAGTCTATTTTGGTCCTTTAATTTATAGAAAAGTTTCTCATCTAAAAAGTTTACCCAAGTTTATGAAGAATGAGTGTGGCCGTCTTATGATACATTTCACTATTAGTGTATCTTCTCCTTACATCCAGAGCATACCGAGTACAAATCTTGCAAAGTCCATGGCCGAGTTTTCTACGAAGAAAACTAGAAGACCGGTTCATCAACTTCGTTATGATATGAAAGGCCTCGCAATTTATTCGTAGAAATTGTCTGGGTAGCGTTATCGAAGTCAGTAAAATTTTATGTATATTAGACGTACTTATATTACGTATTATGTAGGAAATATTAACACTCTCAGTGTCCTGTTGTTATGTACCTCAGTTATGTATGTAGGCACTTTAGAAATTGGAGCCCTAGGTAGGTAGATGCATCCATGATCCATAGGTAGGGCTGATATATTTTTGTAGAGGCAGCTACATAGGTTGCACGGCTATTCGATTAACGAGGGCAGCTACAGCCCTAGAGGTACCTGGTAGGTACTTCCAGGTATTGTCACCCCACACACACATAGAAGGAGCTGAGGAGGAGCTGGGGCAGGAGCTGCCTAAAATAAACTTATTAGCCCCACCCTAGTAGGTAACATCCCATTATCTCACCGGTGCGTTAGGTTCCTAGATGCTGCACAATTCACAATTCGCACCTCGAATCTTGTAGGCATTTCACTTCTCGACTACTTACTCGACTCCCTCTCGATTACCACATTCAACTTGGACAGTCATAAAATACCTGCTCTACCAGTTCAACATCCACATCACTCAGTTACTATTCATACGACAGTAATACTTGCCAACAGATCACGATCATCTTAGAACCGCAAGTAAAACCGAGCTCTCGGAGCAAGAGGAGGACCGCTAAGCCGCGGCGATGATGGACATTCCAACACCATCCCGACATGGCGTCTTTCCCGCTGCACCCTACTCCACCCGCCCGCCTAGCCCTCCTTCTATCATGATACCAGCACCCAATCTGCACCATACAAATGAGCATATCGCAGTCGTACCGAACTACGAAAAGGTCGATCCGGCCTCGCTTAGCGCAGATGACCTGAAGATCATCACACAGAATTACAAGGAACAGTTAGCTAAGGACTCGGCTGCCAATTGGACATATGAGAGCCGTCGCATTGCGCAACCGATCCTCGACTTCGTCTACCTCGGCCCCTCCAGTGTCGCCCGAGACCGCGAGTGGCTACGTAAGACTGGCATCACCATGTTGCTAGCCGCGCGAGACGCTAAAATGGCCGATATACGTCTTATGGCTACCGACAGAGTTGCTCAGGAACTCGGTATTCAGTCCGAGTATGTCGATGTCTCTGGGTACAACGAGCTGATTCGTGCTTTCCCATCCGTTGTTCGAACCATCAATAACCACATGCTGGATGTATTTCGTGGGCAACGTATAAATAATGCGAACATGCAAGTGGAGGACGGCAAAATGGTGATTCCCCAGGAAAAATTCCAAAGAGGGAAGGTCCTTGTCTTCTGCGAGACAGGAAACGACCGTTCAGCTGGCGTTGTCGTCGCTTACCTGATGTCCGTCTTCGGATTAAGCATGGTCGAAGCTTGCCAGTTTGTGAACTTCAAGCGCTTCTGTGTCAGCATAGCTGACGACCTCAAGTATGTCCTCCAATCTTACGAGGGCATTCTCTCCGCACAGCGCGTAGTGCACCAACATGAACTCAGCAGCATCACAAACCAAGATACCGGTGAATCGATGAAAACCAGGACAAAACGGCGCTTCGCCGACACAGTTGACCAAGATGAGGAGATGGGAGAAACCGACGATGGCATGGCTCTGGACTATGACCGCTTCATGGGCCGCCGATCATTTGTTCCCTTCGTCGACGTTAAGAATTGTCCTTCTGGATAGTGAACAGGCCCCGAGTAAGATTGGTAGAGACATCAGAGGAGTCACGTGGTGGTGGGTTTTGATAAAAGCATACGCGAGGCGAATAGGTTGAAGGGCAAGGTTCATATTGCATGCTTGACTCGATTCTGTTATCAAGTCACAACGGTTACAGTGGTCAGCAAGGGCGTTTACTGGATGGGAAATACCCCTTTTCTTCGCTTGCTTTTTTTAACTTCTATAGATTAAAAAGGCAACGGTCTCTTGATTGCATTTTACGTTTTTTTCAACCCCTCGGGGTGCTTGGTTGTCAATAAGATAGCAACGAATACTTTCTATAAGTCCTCGTCAGCTGCAGCAGTGCTATTGTAGTGATGTCTCCACACTTCAACTCTTGATCCCGAAGTTGCACTTCCTCTACGGACCAGAGCTTTGATCAGGACTAGTACTGCATCAATTAAAACCCGACTGCCTTTCTGCTTGACAATTTATTATTATTATTATCATTTTCCCTCTAAAAGCATTAGTTATGTGATCTGTGGAGATGATAGGCGGCTTCCTTTTCTAATGCCATTACTGTGTTCACATGATGGAAAATATCACTTATTAAGTGGTGCATATTGGAGCCTCTTAACTCTGGAGTATGTAATTCAGGATTGGAAATGTTCGATCAGATGATTGAGCCGGCACTTTAGCTACCTCCAGGGAAGAATTCTTAGATAGCTCACAGCCCCAAACGGAACTCACCTTCATCCAAGACCTAAGTAGGGGGGAATTGACGCTCTGATTCTGTGACTGTCATATTTTGATGATATGCAAAAACATTGATGGTTGTCAGTTGAGCAGCTTAAGACTAGCGGGAGGGCTGAGCTTCCTGTTTGCGTAATACCTACCTACCTTTATAGGTAAGAAATATCCAGAACGACCAATTGAATGGCTTGGAGACATGGATTATTAACATGTCCAACAGCTTTAATCATCACATTTCCGGTAGTATTCACATTCTATCATGGAAACTGTCAGTCCCTTGATGCGTCGTGTATAATACTAAACACATATCTTTCTTTGGTGATTGGAAATGACCTTTTCTGCTCCCCCCCTTTTTAAAAATATCCTCCTAAAAATCACCAGAACCTAACTCTCTTGTCACCACTATTATACCTTTTTAGTGCTACCTATCAAAGGAGATTTCCAATTGAAATCTATTTATATCTGAGCATTCGAAGCTGTATTAACGCGAATACAATTGTGAACCCATACTAAACTTAAGCCATCGTATTTGCCCAAGTGCGTCAATAAGCAGTCAAGCTAACGAGGAGAAATGTATACTAGAACTTCATGAATCTATTTGATAATGATTTAGGGGACTCAGGTGGGCAGCTGCAAAAGCCATTGGCATACAAATGATTTTAGTGGTTAAAATAAGCTCTTGATCGCAGGCGGCGAACGAGGGGGACATGATATTGGCTTGATGGCTTAATACCGTTCAATGGATATTGACTTCTACATCCTAGCCAAAGCTCAGATAGCATCATCGTATACATTTTAATGAGAAATAATCTATTTATGTGCATTGCGAAAGGTCAGTAAATAGACGAGTCACACATCAGTCCTTAAGTGTCCTAACACCGAGGTATTTAAGGGGAAAAAATAGAAATCCATAAATGTGGCTCGTCCTAACCGAGACAGCGACATTTAGAATACGCACAAAATTTAATTACCGAAGAAAGAGTCTCTGTCCTGTGGTTTGGAAGCCCTGGATAATGCATATATAGGTAGTATATGCGTCCAAAGGTACGTTGTAGTGGTCTTAGCTAGATAGGTCCATGGATCGATCTATCATGTAGAGTATATCAAGTTGAAGAGCTGATTGTAGTAGATACTAGATATCTAATCTTTCCTTGCCTGAATAATGATGACATATTAGAAGACGCGACTCTACGTGAACGTGGATGTCCAGTTTTGCACAGGAAGGCCAGCTGATTCGCAGGTAGAATCAAGGTGACTAAGCAAAATCACCCACGACGTATTCACGATATAGTACTTGCCTAGGTAGGAGGTATGCAGGTACACGACCAAGTGATCGTACTGGTTTAACTGCTGCATTGCGGGCCGTCTCTCGTCTTCAATTTGAGATGATTCACGATCATAAATGCCTACGCACCAACCACCATTGTCTTTCTCGTTCGTGTACCTTCCTCCTCAAGTACTTGCCGCACCTCCTAGTGTCAGCCTTGTCCCTATCCCGACCCAAAAACTACTACCTGAAATAGCGCCTTGTGCGTACTTGCACTCGTTACCGTCCCTCCTAAACTTCCCAAGGTAACAACACATACCTGCACTTTTCTACGTGAAGGTATTTAACCTACGCTATTTCTCGTCACTACACTGCTATAACTTTTCATCAATACCAACCGCACTCTTGCATCTCTCGTCCCCTGCACTTTTCCTTTCATTCCATCCTTTCTGTTTCACCTATCGTAACAATCCTTTCTTCTACAACGCTCCCGTCTACGAGTATCTTGAAGCTTTACCGAGCAAGCATCGTAGTTTAAACACCTAATCGACGATAAACGTCATCTTGATCAAAGGTTCGTATTCTCCCCGTCCATCTCTTCACCCTCTGCATGCACTCACCGTTGCATAACCCGAGCGCACATTGTTTACATTCACATTCGTAATAAGAATTGACGATAGTGACACTCATTCTCAAGCAGACACAATGGATCCTCAAGAAGAATCCGCCGCGGGATCGCTACAGTCGGTCACTGGTGAGCATGCCGACAGTGAAGTAGACCAGTTTCAGGAGACAATCTTGCAGCATCAAACCGAGTTTGAGCGCCTTTTACTCGACGACGAAACCCCTGACCTTGTCGCCGATATCAACCAGAACATCGGCCGACACTCCGTCGGTCCCACCATGGACCCATCAATCCTACGAGTCGAGTCACCACGGCTCGGTGAACCTTGGAACGTGGAACTAGGATCAGATACCATTGCCGTTTCTTTCCAAGTAGCGAAGCCCGAGTCAATCGCTTCTAGCCAGTTTCAACCATCCGTCTTCCGAGTTAATAAGCTCAGAATACCTGAAGGCTCGATTGCATTAGGTCCCATGGGCCAAAAGACATTGTTTGTTGGTGGTATTTACACTGTTGTGTACCCAGGAGACTACCCGCCACTCCCAAACGCACGCCAGTACATGATCCGCAGCATTGTATCTAAGGACATGCTGCGAATGGGTCCACTACGCATGGAACCGTCACCGGAGGAGGAAGACGCGGACGACGTTGGTGTATCAGCATTGGATAAGAACATTGATAGTACCTCGATTTGGGATCAGGACTTAGATTTAAGTCCCAAGCCAATGTTCACCGATGCTTCTTTCGATGCCCCAAGTCCCAGACTGGAGGGAGCTGGGTTCACAGCTGAGGAGGACCTAGAAAGTAATGGTCTGCTACAGCCATCTACTCACAGCCAACTTTCATCACCCCATCGCGACGCTTCTCCATACTTCCTCCCCGAGCAAATGACTTTTCTGGAGTACTTAGGCGACGCGGAACTGGGTGCAGACTCTGATGAAGAACGAGTGTTTCTTGACGACGTGTTACTCTATGACTCGGATGAGGAGCACCCTCTGGAGAGAAACGACTTAGATGATTCCACGTCCGAACCCACGACGGAGAATCGAGTGAGCACGGGATGTAGTCCCATTTTTCAAGTCCGATTTCCCCATCAATATTATCTGATGGACCCGAATGGGTACTTCATGAATCTGGACACCCCGCAGACTTGTATTGAGCATGGGCTCAGCCCCCCGGGGTACGGAGGGGAGTACATGATCATTCCCCCTGGCCAAGAGATCGACCAAGGGGATTTAGAAGGCACGGAATTGTTCCGAATGACGTTCAATGAACCTATGGGATTCTTCGAGGATGGCGTTATGTCGTCTACGCTATTAAAGGAGGGCTTTCATTATTTTAAGCTCAGAAGCACTGGCCAGAAGACGGACTTGGAGGTATCCTGCCAATCTGGTGCCTATGATCTCAAGAGACCACTGAGAATCAATGAAACGCATGGTCTCGAACAGAGACTTCTTAATCCATCTGCACCGAGCGGCGCCACCAAGGAAGCCCTTCTGCCGCTTGTGTCGCAAGAGGTCGCCCAGCGAGCTGTTCCGCCGTATGCACCGCGGAGACTCCCTCAACAAGCTGCTTGGACTGAGCCCGAAAAACTTCTTCTCCCAGCTGCTGGCGTTGAGCCCAATCACCCCAACAACAAGCGCAAGTCGCCACCTGCTTCTGTCGAGCCTCCGCGCCGAAAAAGGGGTCGACCCAGGAAGATAAGGCCAGAGGATTCAGGCGCGGAAGGTCAGCTTAACCCCAAACCAAGACTCAATACAGAAGCGAAACTAACACTTTAATCGAGCAGGAACTACAGCTGCCCCTAGAAAGCCCCCCAAGACCGCAAACCGAGCGCCATCTCAGCGCGAACCGCAACCTCGGATTAAAGGAAGGTTTACATTCAAGAACCCACCTGCGCAACCGCAGCCGCAACCGCAGCCGCAACCGCAGCCACTACCGCAGCTGCAACTACAACCGCAACCGCAGCTGGAATTGCAACCGAAACCGCAATCCTAAGAAGCTGCTATAGCTTTGGCAACCTCGAGTAAAGATGGCTACGATTACAACTCGATACCTCGCTGGAAGATAGCTTGGTCCCGTCTCAGGCTTAGCCTAGTATAAACAACTTGTATGTAACTTGGAAAGTATTGATTAATCTATAACCCACACTAACAAATCGCAAACAGAGTCCATTTCTATATCCCCGACTTAAATCCTAGTCTTGAAACCCGTATCGACCGCCGACTTCATCTCGACTCCGCTTGAGACTTGAGATCCGGAACGCAATATTCGATCGGGCACTGAATTCCGTGTATTCTCAGCCGGCATTTGAGAGGCACATTTGATTTTCTGTCTTTTTCCTTTTCGATGAACATGTACGAACATGTTCCACCGTCCGAGAGACGGTGATACTGAACGTTTGCTGTGGAGTTAACTGGCTTGGACGCGCACTTGCATCATGACAAATGTACCTAATTTCACTGTTTTTTCTTTTCTTTTCTTCTTCCCTTCTGGAACTTTCGACACGTTGAAAGAACTGGATTGGAATCCTATTTCACAAATTACGGCTTTTTACAATACATGATGGAAGTTTGCTATTGCAGTTCAGTACGGAGTTATGATCACCGCCTTACGTAATCAGGGGAATGCTTCTGAAGTATTCGCCCGCAAAGTAATGAAACTTCGCGCCGACATTCCGAAGTTGTTGAAACCCTCAACTTTACTGAAACGAACCAAAGTCTTAGTACAACCATTCTGATATTTCTCCATGCCATATCTTTAGCAAATTTGCTCATGAAGATGGTGCCCCGGACACCTGCTGATTAGGTAAGCATTGGTGATTACTAACACACCACAATGCCACGATGTGATTCTGAGGCCTATTCATCCAGGTTCACATTATAAATAGGGAACTTATCCCATAACTATGGAACCTTCTCACAGGCTAGGCCGATGATCCTGGTATCTCTTTGAATCTATAGATTGAAGTCCAAACTCCGGTAGTTCGCTTACAGCCACCCCGAAGGAGTGGCCCGAGCTCCCACGAAGATTACGTCCCGACCGGCCGGGAGGCTTTTCGGAAATGACCGGGAAGAAGTGGGCATATTTCCTAAAGGGGCAATTTTTTCGGAGGAATGTGAGACACTCTTGCTAGGAAAATTCGTAATAGTAGGACCCCACAAAATTCGGATTGTCGAAGAACATAAATCTAACCTATAGGGAATGTAGGAAAACTTCTTCACATTAGAAGATGCTAGGATGTGTGGCTGAATTTTTGGGAGGAGGTTTGGATACACGTTAAACATGGGGATAACCCCATGGGTTTGTGAGGTTAGAAACTCAGTAATATTGATGCATACCTATATACAATTATTCTCTTGCGAAGATGCTAACCTAACACTTAGACTAACTCATCGACGCTTGGGTAACAACTTTGCACTTTGCCCTCCTCAAATATCAGGGCAACACGGGCTCCGAAGTTAAACGGATCTCCTTCATAGACCACAAAGTCCCGGCTGCGCGGGAGCTGCAAGATATCCTCGATGTTCTTGGAAACGAGGTCGAGCGCCAAGCTCCGGTTTCCCGGACCGGCAACCCAGCCAGCTTCCCAGATGCTGTTCCGGATGTGGTTGTTCTTGTCCTCCCAGTTGGAGATACCAACCTTGACACCGGCGTCGATCAATACTTGCGGGCCGAGCCGGTCCGTGAGCGGCGGGCCCGGAAGGCAGTTGCGCCCGTCCCAGAACAGAGGTTCGCATCCCCAAAACGGCGCGACGATCACTGGCACGTCGGCCTCCGCGAGCTCAGAGGCTATCAGGTGGGCTTCTGCGCCGCCCATGATGGCGATATGAGCGCCGGTTTCCTGTTTCAGGGCCACCATGTGAGCGATGACGTCTTTGTTGTTCGTGTGAATAACTACCGCGATTTCGCCGTTCGCCGCGCTTTCGTAGATGGGGTGGAGGTGCTTGTCTACGGTAAGTAGGTCACGCAGTTTACTTATCTGAGACGTGATAGATGGCGTTTGAGGTGCTAATGATTATGTGAGATTTCTTCTCGCGATGCATATGGTTAGAGAGAAGATGAATGGGAGCTTACATTTTGCGTCATGTCCGATTGTGAAATGAAGAGCGGCGCTGGGCTCGACGATTGCGCCGTCATCAAGTACTACAAACAGTTAGCATCCTGGCAAAGCTCCCTAAACGACTGAAATCACGAGGAAATAGTCAGACATACCACTTTTAGCCCCTGAGCGGAACAGGGTGCTAATTCCATGAAAGAAGCCGGTCGTCAGCGGCGGTGTTATAACTCGAGTGACACCACTACGGTATGCCCTCCCCAGATGTATTCCATCAAATTTAATTCCGAATCTGCTTGATAAAGGGTTTGCGTATTCCTCGCCTGCGGAGGCGCCATCCGAGGTTGATGGTTCTTGATGCATTTCGGTCAAGCCGTGCTGGCGAGTGACGATCGTAAGGCCCTAAGGGAACTTCCGTTAGACACCTTCTTTGCTATTAGTTAAATTTTTAGACTTACGGGAAGCATATATCCATCTTGCAAGTCGATTGAGGGAATACTATCTTCGACTGCTTGTTTCGCAGAAGTCTCGCACTTGCTTCCACCGACGCATACAATGCGACCTTCGCGTACAACAACGGTAACGTTTCCCGTCTCAGGCTCTTCGCTCCGTATGCCATCGTCGCCGATGAAGCTCACCTTTAAGCCATGCACGACGATGTCAGACTGACCTGACTTGCATTCATTTCCAGGAATGTCGTCAGACCGCGAGGGAGGTGCTTCCTTCGTAAAGGCCGCAGATTCCGAAGCCTTCCATACGCTTTCGGAAGCGCGAGCTACGCTGACTCCATCGATATACACCTCAAGGGGTGTAGCGCCAACTTGTAGAAGGTGTCGATCCCAAACCACGAGATCGGCATCGTAGCCAGGTCTCACGAATCCAAGTCTGTACAGGCCATTAGTTCTGAACAATGCTATCAGTTACAACATACCCATGTAGTACTTACCTATTATCCAGACCAATAAGACGAGCAGGATGTCCAATAATAGACTTCACAGTATCCTCAGCGCTCAAGCCATAATGATGCGCAATCTGCGCCTCGTAAATCAACCACTGGCCATGCTCCGCGGGATGGTCGCGCGTCAGCACCATCGGAATGCCACTCTCCGCGACCCTCGCAGGTAAGTACGAGCTGACATTATACAACTCCTTCTTATCGCCCCAGATATCCGAGAACCCGACGACGGCGATATCGCGGGCCTTGATCTGGTCTATCAACAGATCGGCGTGCAGCGCGTGGTGCAGGGCCGTGATGTTAAACCCGAACTCGTCGGCGTGGTCGAACATGGCGAGCACGTCCTCGGTCTCGTACCCGTGCACGTTGACGCGCAGGTCGCCGCGTAGCACGTCGACGAGCGTCTGCCACTCCAGCGACCGCGGGTACTCGCGCGACACCAGCCCGCGCCCCCCTGTCGACGCCGCCGCCGCCTCGCACCACCGGTCCTGCTCGCGCTTCACGCGCGCCGCCGTGTCGTACGCCTTGCGGAACCAGTACGACTCGCCGAGCCGCGTCGCGGGGCCGCCCGCCACGTTCTCGAACTGGCGCTTCTGGTTCTCGCCCATAGCCATCTTGAGGTAGCGCTGGGGCTTTCCCTTAACCCCCACGCTCCCCTTTGCTTCAGGGGCATCGAGCAGCATACCGAGAACAGAGTCGGCCCGCTTCATCTTGATGACGAAGCCCTCGCCCGAGATGGGGTTCTTGGCGCCGGTGAGCACGAGCGAAGTCGTCACGCCGCCGCTGGCGATGACGGGGATGGCGGCGTCGTGCGGCTTGAAGCCGTCGATGGCGCGGGCCCACGGCGTCAGCGGCGCCGAGATCTCCGTCACGTCCTCGGTGGCCCAGAGCTGCGGCGTCTCGCGCACGCCCGCGTGCGAGTGCATGTCCACGAGCCCCGGCGTCACGACGCGGCCGCGCAGGTCGACGACCACCACGTCCCCGGACTCGGGGGAGGGGGGAGGGGTTAGGGATGATGATGAGGAGGAGGTGCTGGAGACGGAGGTGAAGATCCCATCCTGGATGACGATGACGGTGTCGTGCGTCACGGTGCCGTCGCCGTTGATGAGCGTGGCGTTGTGCAGGATCGTCCGCTTACCGGTGCTGGAACGGGAGGCTGCTAGCCGCGAGCTGGCTAGGTTGTAGTCTACGACGGGACGTTGCTGGTTCAGCGCGCATTGCGCAAGGCCGTATTCCAGGTCCGCTGCGTTGAGCTGGTACTCGGCGTGGGGATGCTCATGATAAGGGGACGGCGCATGCCATTGGCTAGAAAGGAAAAATGTCGTGATAACGGCAACGAGGACCGCTAGGATTATATCTTTCTTCACGCCGAGAAAACTTGCACCTTCATGACGATGGTGGCGCTGGCGACGGGACCTTTCCTGCCATTCTACCTTCTCCATGTTCATGCTATATTACTCGGATCCTATCCGAGAGAGCTGGAGAAGACGTTGGTGCTCTACGTTACAACAACTCGATTCCCATCTATGATATACATACCTATTCCATGGTGCATATAGCACGGAAATAAGAAATAAAAGGAATACCCAGTAGGGCCCATTATGAACCTCCAATTGGTAAAGCCTTTTTGCCTGCCGCATAGAATAGTCCTCTAAGATAGGTAGATATAACCCTCGCCGAAGATGTTCCTGATTAGGAAGTCCATGAACCGAGCATATCGGCAAACTGCTATAGGTAGATTTGAGTAGGGTGGCCCAGCTGACCCGGGGCTCTGGATCGTCCGGGGTTGAGCGGGACCTGATTAGTTCGCGGACAAGCCGTGCCTCTCGCTTAACGATATGCATTACGATAGGATACTACCGTCTCCACGGAGATACATGTTGGTTGTCAAGCATTCGGTCCTTTCGAGATCTGTCTTGCAGTGCATCTGAGGAATGGCATGTGTAGGCTTGGAAAAGAAAATGCGATTTCCTAGTAATGGGTGCTTCGCGACTTATGATTATCGTCGAGATTGGACGGAAGACAAAGATATTGGTTCGTCGGATGTAACGAATATTTTCATAATCATCGCACATCTCCTATCTTTGAATTACGAACTTAAGCCTTAAAAATCCCGAAAAGCGCAAAACCCTGCCATATGCTTTCATATACGGAGATAAACATTGATCATATCCGGATTCTCCGTCCAAAAATAACTCTATAGTGAATATTGCTCCATCTAAAGAACATAGCGGAAAACGAGCTTCTGTTCTTTATCGGTGAGGTCGAGAAACTCGTCATCAGAATGACTTAGCTCGCCCTGTGCGGAGGCTAGGCTATCGCGTCTCTTATTTTCCCAGATGAGGTAGAATCGCAGAACGATGCTAAATACGATACATAAGGCGAAGCAGACGAAAGCGGCGAGGAAAGCACTTTTGTATCCTGGAGCCTCCTTTGCGAGGAAAAGCTGAGGAGCGACAACTTGTCCGACACAAAATGCAATATACATCATAGATGATGCAGTAGCTTTCTTTGTGTATCCGGCGAAATTGCTAGCGACCAAGGACATAGTAAGCGTCGATACTATGCCGTGAGTTTGGACTACATAGTAAGAGCCTAGTAGTCCACGTTGGTTCTCTCGGGGTAGGGTGTAGAGTAAAACGGCGCCAATTAGAGCCGGTATTTGGCAACCTAGAATATGATTAGTAAAATAAGGGGCAGGTAAAGGTTACGTCGAGGACATACCAGCAACCAACCATAAGCGGATGTTTTGAAAGCGTCTGGTTAGGAAGCCACCGATGAGAACACAGATAGCTTGAATGACGCCTAAGGGTACTAGCAGGAGTGTCGAGTAAAGTGCACTGAACCCAAATCCCTTAACGACGATGCTACCGAAAGAAGCGACTCCGCCGGCTGGGATATCATCGAGGAAAAATGTGGCGACCAGAATCCAACACTGTACATCAAAAATGCACTCCTTGAATTGGGACCATTTCCACACATGGTTCTCTACACCTGTACGATTGCTCCGAACACGCTCGATAGCTAAGGCTCGGTCCTGTTCCGAAAGCCAGCGAGCAGTTAATGGGGAGTCTGGGAGGTAATAGAATAAGAAGCCGCCGTAGAGTATGGTAAAGGCGCCAAAGATCAGGAAGAACCAGGCCCAATTGGGAACATTGTGGTTGGTGATATGAGCTATGCCGTAGCCGAGAAGGCCACCGCAGACCTGACCGATGGAGTTACCGATGTACCAATACGAGATGCGTAGGGGCTGTTCTTCGCGAGTCCACCACTGGGAAGAGATGACAATAAAGGCCGGGTTGATACATGACTCCATACATCCCAGGATGGCACGAATAACCATTAGGCTGGCGAAGGAGCGGGATGCAGCCGTAGTCATCAACACGGCCCCCCAGAGCATGGTCGCAATAGCGACGAAGCGACCGATGGGAAAGCGCACGATCAAGCGAGCAACAATAGGTTGAGAGACCATATAGGCAAGGTAGAAAATTGAGCCGGAAGCCCAGCTGTACTGGTTCCCGGCTAGGTGCTAAGGGGTAAAAAGATCAGCGCCATAATGGGCGAAGAATTGAGTTGCGCTGCACTCACATTATCCGTGAGAAGACCAAAATTGGCGGAATAAGAGAGCGCATTCTTGTCCATGAAATTGAGAGTATACGTGATAACCATCTATCATAGAGAATTAGTACACTTGATTATGACGATCTCAGGGGTTAATGGTAGTTGCGTATATACCAATGGTAGGAGGTGGTTGTCAATCTTGCGCAAGACGCGCTTGTTCTCTGCCTCGGTCAGGGGTCCAACAGCGTGCTGTCTGGCGAACTCATAGGCCTTGTCAACATCGTCTTGCCTCCCCTCTTGGACGGACGTGGCCGTGGTCTTCTCATCGTGCTTCTCCATCTTGAACTCTATGGACTGTCCCTTATTCCTCAAGTTCGCGGATGATAGAAAAGCGAGAGTTGTCGAGGTTGTCGAAGTTGTCGAGATGGCCGTGGTTGCATCGCGTCGTCTTCAGTCATCTTTTATTAAACCCTGGACAATTATGATTATGCGCCTTATCTCCAACAGCTCTCTTTACATAGGTGAGCATTGGCGAGGGCCGGCGAAAATCAGGTTGTTGGAACTAGTTGGGTTTAGTTTTCGGGTTAGTCCTCGCCAAATCTCACTAGCTGATGCGACTCTACTTATCTCCAGCTATCGATAATATCGTTAGTATGGCTACGCTGGCTGCGATCACTCTTGCCTTTGCCGAAAAGAGCACCGAATATAGAAGGGGAAATTGCGAGCAGCTCACGCGTCATCACGTGGCACCCCTGTCCTTATCAGTCAAGGCTCAGCTACCAATCTGCCAATGTACGTAGTACTTACCTATCCTCGGTCCCCTCGTTCTCCGCAGACTCCACCGTTCCCTTCCAAAGGTAATCCAGGCCCTAGATATCCATTTGATCCGATCTATTTGTCCCAACTCCTCGGTCTCCTCTTTCCGGCTCTCGGGTTTTCCTTTCTGGGTCTCAGGTCTCTATCTCCAATTGTCGACGAGCCATTCCTAATGCAACTATTACCTTATACAACTCAACTCATTGACTCATCACGCATTCCTACACATGAATCGAAGTCGGCCGGTAAGGTCCAAGACTGGCTGCTCTAGCTGTCGCCGACGAAAAGTACGGTGTGATGAGGCGAAACCTGTCTGCAATGCCTGCACGCGTCTAGGTCTCACGTGTTCGTATGAGCCAGCCCGTGCCGCAAATTCCGCCGAAGCTCTCCGGTATCGTGTGCGCTTCGTCAATTCCCGCTACACCAGAACAGAGCCAGAGCCAGATGAGAGTAGGAGTAATCAGTCCCAGTCCCAATCCCAATCCCAATCCCAATCCCGGGCTCCGCTGCCTGGGAGTCCTCCACAGCCTGCTGCCCCAAAGACAGAGAGCAGTTGCGAATTATCCAAAGACGTAGAGCTGAGTTCAACCGAGCAGCAAAGCAAGATCGTTTCAGACAACTCCACCATGTCACATCTACCATCACATCTACCGTCACATCTGCCCTCACATCATGCACTTCCTGCACTTCCCGCACTTCCTCCACACTCCTCCCCCATCCCCTCCCATGTTCTTACCGGACATACACCTCAACCGAGCACCTCGCCTGCGGCCATCCCGGACCCCGGCGCGTTTGCTCTGACCTCACAGATGCATGCATACGAGGCTCAAATAGGCCCCGGCTACGTGCCAGCCTTCTTCGATCCGAACATGAATTTCGATTTACTTGGCGAAGATTGGTTATCACCCCAGACACCCGGAGACGCATCCCAGGATTCGGAATCAACCCGAAATGACATCCCCGAATCAAGCTCGTGCACTCAGGAAGCCACCGTGATCATCGGCCCGGATGACCCCAGACTTATTCAGCATTTCCTGAACGTGATGACAGGTTTTGCTAAAATACGCTGTTCGGGAGATGAAAATGTTTATAGCCACATATTCAGTAATATGGCATTATTTTATGCGCCTCTATACGATGCCTTGATGGCCTGGACGGCCTTGCACCTCGGTCAGACGAGGTCGGACCCCGACCTAATACGGAAAGCCGAGGAGCGATACACACATGCCGTCTCCTTAACACATCGGGATCAGAATGTCGCCGTACATTTCGAGCTTTCTATTGTAACCATCTGGTTCGCGCTGCAATATGAGCTTCTGGCAGCTCAGGGTATTGAATCCTTCTGTCGACACTTAGAATTTGCTGCCGACCTAGTTGAGGCTCACCGACGTCACCAAAAGGCTGGTGGAGAGGCAACTCCTCTCGGTCATATTGGCTCTCGTATGTTGGTCTGGTTAGGTGCATACGATAGCCGGGCGTCTCGTATCGGAGGCACAGGACGCCTTTTGCAAAATCTCGAGGCATTCGCCGCAGACTACGACTTCATTGATGCCGCATACCCTAATTTACCTACTAATACCGAAGACCTAAAACCTGCCTTACGCCTGTCTCTGGAGCTCGACTACATGGAGAGCCGGATTGTGCAGTCATATCGTAGTTCAGCCACCGCCTCTGTCGCAACATGGTCGAATTTACAGTCAGGTCTCATCATGATTTACGAGCGATTCGAAAATGATCCTTCGGTCGCTCCAATCATAGCTTCCCTCACTAAACCATCACGCTCTCTTAATAGTAGGATTACCACAAGGCGCTTCAACTGTTTGCTACTCTTAGCAACGTTTTATAGTGTTGTAATAAGCTTCCATAGGTTGATACCTGTCCCTTTAGCCTCGAGTCTGCCGGATAAGCTTATATCGGCCGAAGTCGCGGCAACCAGCATCATTCGTCTGGCATCTTGGGTCTGTCGATTTCGACCACCGTCGCCGCAGAATATTTGGCCACGTATTTTGTTCCTAGCCGGTATCGAAACCACAGACTTGGTGTATCAAGACTGGGTGGTGAAAGCGCTCACCGAGGCCGAGGTTTGGGGAGCCAATTTTCAGAAGACCCGGATGCTGCTCGAGAAAGTTATCAAGATTCAGAGCGCCGGAGGAAACAGAATCGACTATATCGATGTCATGAAGCAAGATATGGGATTGTTCATTATTTGACCAAGATATGTGTAAGGGAAATTTGAACTTTAGGAGTTTTGGGAAAGCGAGCTCACGAGATCAATGTACTATGATAGCACAGGATTCTTTCAGTGGTTATGAGGTATCTACCATTACGTTTCTTAACTGTATACCTTGATGGCAATGGAAATGTAGTCGAGCCGTTATTTATCCACTCGGCTAGATTCTTCCGGATTAGGCAAGTCCATCGATTGTCTAGTATGACATAGGTCACCTCGATATATCGATATATTATCTGCCGATGAAATGTAGCACTGTTACTACCACTATTCATTTGTCTAGGTGTGCAAAGATGGAAAAATCGCAAGGAAATATCCCGCATGAGCAGAGAAAACCCTGTAACAGGCGCAGGAACTTGTTGCTCTGTTCAGTGCTTTTCCTCTCTTTAATATTCTTTTACTTCAGCCCATCTTTGCGTTTATGGGCCGGACACTGCTTGAAATCATCGTCAGGTAGCCGTCTTTCTCGTGGTGACCCGGAGAAATGGTGCCCCCTGCCGAATATCACTTCCCCGGAAGAAGATGGCCTTAAGTCAAGCGAACATTTTATGGACTCTCGGGAATTCCAATTGGCAGTGGAACGGCTCTCAGCAGCAGTGCGCGTTCCGACCGAGAGTTTCGATGACAACGGTGACGTCGATGAGGATCCTCGTTGGGCAACGTTCGATGACTTACACCAAGTCTTGGAGCAACTATTCCCGCTCGTGTGAGGACCCCGCTATTATCCCTTGCCGGCTGAATTATAGCTAGTACTAATCTTCATATGCCTCCTTCCCTTACTGCTGTATTCTAATTTTGCCACTGTAGACACTCACGACTAGAACTTCGCAAGGTGAATCGATATGGCCTCCAATATACGTTCAGGGGCACAGATCCCTCGCTCAAGCCCATCCTATTGACGGGACACCAAGACGTCGTCCCTGCTGGCACAGCTTCTCGTTGGACCTATCCACCGTTCGACGGACATTTCGACGGAACCTTCGTATGGGGCCGAGGGGCGGCTGATTGCAAGAGCGTTGTCATTGGGATCCTTTCGACCATTGAGGACCTACTCTCGCAATCGTTTAAGCCACATCGCACTATTGTGCTTGCTTTCGGCTTCGACGAAGAGACAGGTGGTCTCAGAGGAGCAGCTTCTTTAAACGAGTCTCTGATTCAGGAATGGGGACGGGACTCCTTCTTGTTTATTTTGGATGAAGGTGGAATGGGTATCCAGAATCAGGGAGACGACATCATCTATGCCTACCCTAGTGTAGGTGAGAAGGGTTACTACGACATTCAACTAACTCTTGAGGTGAATGGCGGGCATAGCTCAAGGCCGCCAAAACACACGGGAATTGGTATCATGGCGGATGCAATTGTGGCCTTGGAGAGCAACCCGTACTCCCCGCAACTAACGCAATCCAACCCCTTCCGAAGAGTATTGGAGTGCAGAGCGAGATACTCTCCAGACGACGTACAACCGTGGCTGCGTGACGAACTCCTTAGCGGGAACGAGAAGGAAATTGCCCAGAAGATCGCGGACGAGGGAACAGACGATCAATGGCTGCTGAAAACAAGTCAAGCCATCGATGTAATTACTGGTGGAGTCAAGGTCAACGCTCTCCCCGAAAATATCGAGCTACAAGTCAACCATCGAGTAGCGCTTCATGATTCGGCCGAATACATCAACAAGCACATCCAAGAAGTGCTGACCCCCGTGGCGCGGAAATACGGGTTCCAGTTTGAAGGTTTTAATACCTCAGTTTCTCAAGACTCTGGTTTAGACACTGCTTCATTTAGCATCTTAAGAGCGCGATCCCTGCAGATCATCTACCCATCCCCTACCGCGCCAACCGACAATGATGTGTGGGCGATCTTCAGCGGCACTATAAGACATGTATTCGAGACTACGCAGACTGCAGAGGGCAGGACTGTTGTCCCAGTTGGGAATATCATGACGGGCAATTCAGACACAGTAAATTATTGGGACCTAACTAGGAACATATATAGGTTCACTCCTTCAAGGAATGGTACAAGAATGAACCAGCATGGAATCGACGAAAGAATGGGAATTACTGCTCATCTAGAAGGCATGAGATTATACTATGGTAAGTCGTTCTCCACTTGAAGAATCACGGCGTGCTGATTATTTGATAGACTTGATTCGCAACTTCGACAGCTGGAAGGATGAATAAACTAAGCAAACCACTAGTAGATTGTAAATCTTATATTTGGAGATGTTGAATGGTTGCCTATGATCTGATACGTTAGGAATGAAGCAATTAACTTGATGAAAATAGCCGAATAGCACCAAAATAAGAATAAAACATTCGATATCTGCCTACATTTCTGCACTAGTTATGTAGCTACTTGCATTAGACGATAGTTGCATGCTGCAGATACAACGGAAATACCAGTGGCCAGGATTATGGAACCACTACTCTGATCTTGCATCTTGCCTGAACTTGGGTGCCTCGCTTCGCTTGCAGAGCGGCAATCTACCCGAATGTCGAGATATGTACGTAATACTTAGGATTAACCTGGTTTGCGACTCTGATCCTCACAACGACCTCTGATGACCTGCAAGGCAAAGGCAACGGATTACGTTTGTAATTGTGTGCCCGGTTTTACGCCGTAACGGCCCCTATATCGGCTCACAAGTTTCCTAATTAGGAAGTATGTCGCCTTTTTAGTGGAATCTCCATCGCTCTCCAGGTGCTCGCAGCCAATAATGCACCATACCGACGAATTTTACGCCTTGAGGGACACTAATTGCGGCTACTATTTTTCCCTTGCGGCTGTTTTGTAAGAGCTTTTTGCCTTCCTTCGAAAGAACATGGCTACTATCCGAGGAATAATAACATACTACTTGACGCGGTCGTATAATCTAGTCTTTTATAGATGGCTCAAGACCAGACGCAAAAAATCCGCCATTGGACTCGCAGAAAAGTTCGCCTCCGCGCTCATTTCCTGAACATGAACGAGCGTGCTCGACGGCCCAGAACATGAACATGGATCAAAGTCTTCTTCAGCACCCTATGAGTTCCCAAGATGTGCTGCACGTCCCAATCGACTTCCGGATCCTATCGGCCGAGCTTCTAAGGAGGTATGTAATTATATAGCGATATTCTTTGGGTACTTACAGGTTTCTAACTTCTTTCAAGGGAGATATGGCTACACCGCGCTGTTAGCCTATCTAATTTCATAGCAGCCGGTTATCTGTATCTTGTATTGGTTGTGGCGTCCCTTCTTTTCCTGCTAGTTTCCATCCTTTTGTCTAATGGACTATCCGGTCGCAAAATCAAACCCCATGCCTCCGTAGAATCGTCCAAAGCCACACGTAGATTACACACGCCGCTCAAATATTCCATCACGCAAATAATTGTCTTTTCCGCAGCACTAGCCCTAGCATCTGTCTCTGCGTCTCAAGATGGAGTTTGGACGGAATCGGCTGTTTTGGGCTACGTGCTCCTCCTTGGAGTGTTGCAGTTCGTCTGGAAATCGAGCACTGTCAGCCTTCTGCTGAATCGACAAACAAACTCACTGATAGCGACGATCACCATTCTGGAAGCGATCAGATTATTGCTACCTGTTGCGATAATTGGTTCTGATAAAAGGCCATCGGGTGTTGAATCTGCTAAGCTCGGTTGCTTGGCATTTACGCTCATAGTGTCGTTCATCACGCCCCGGGAGATCCGAAGCAAAGAGCGCAACCCCGAGAGTTCGATTCCGGAGGAATTGAACGAGAAGTACTCTCCCGAGGAGACTTGCTCGTGGTATTCTTACTACATGTCATACGGATGGCTCACGTATCTCACGGTCAGGGGTTTCTTTCGGGATTTATCTATCGACGATCTTCCTCCCCTACCAACATATGATGCGCCAACGGCATGGCTGCAACGTATGCGCGAAGCCCGTCTCAAAGGCGGACGAACTCTGCGAACTCTTTGTCTTGCATTTCGAAACGATATCAAGACAATAATGATCTGGTCAGTCACAACTGCGATGGCCGAGTATCTTGCACCATGTGCCATGTACAACCTCCTAGGTTATTTAGAGAAGCCCGGTGAGAGCACCGCAGTTGTACATCCTTTCGTGTGGATTGCGCTTCTCTTCATAGGCCCCATGGCTCGTTCTGTCTGCTACCAAAGATCTATATTCATGGGAACAAGACTGCTTGTCCGGGTTAAAGCCACCATGATTCTGGAGATATATCAAACGATGATGAGGTCGCAGGTGGAGGACACTTTACAGGCACAGGCTGACCCAGACAACCAGGACCGGAGTATAGACAAATCTGGCGATACTTCGACGAACGGTGTACGGGCGCATTCGGCCAAGATGGAGAGTCTGTTATCTTATGATGCCGATGCGATTTCTAATGCGACCGATATATTCTACGCCTTAACAGCGAGTACGATATCAGCTACGATTGCTATGACATTCCTATACCAGTTATTAGGGTGGCCATCGCTAATTGGTGTTGGCGTTCTGCTATCCCTTAGCCCTCTCCCTGCCCTGTTTTCCGGACGTCAATCGCGATTACACAGATACGTGATGGAAACGACCGACTCTCGACTTTCTAAGATTTCCGAATATTTACACTCGATTCGAACCTTGAAATTCTTCGCTTGGGAGGATGTGGCATCTAAGACGATCAACGCTATTCGCGCTACCGAACAACAGCGCATCTGGAAACGTAACATAACTTCCATGCTCATTTCCATGACCGGCGACATGCTCTCTCTTGTCAGCCTCTTGGCTATGTTCACATCACTTGTACTCTTCACAGACACGCCGCTACGAGCTCCAACAGCCTTCACAGCGCTGACCCTCACGGAAACCTTGCGCGCGCAGTTTGTATGGCTCTCTAAGGTGGCCCAATGGGTAGCACAGGCCCATGAGTCGATACAACGAGTCGACAAATTCTTCGACTCGGCCGTGGAGATGAAACGTCATCCAGCTGGCCCACCTGAATTCACAAATGCGACTTTCCGCCTTAGTCCATCGTCCAGCTTTCGACTTCGGGACCTCTCCATTTCGTTTCACGAGAAGGCGCTCAATATTGTAACGGGACCCACTGGTAGTGGGAAGACGGCCTTGCTATTATCGCTGTTAGGCGAAACGAGTCTTGAAAGTGGAGCGGCCGCTTGTCCGCCAGATGTGTCTTACGTGCCCCAAACGGCGTGGCTCCAGAATAACACCATCCGCCAGAATATTTTATTCTATACCCCTTACGACGAGCGTCGTTATAAGCAAATCCTTCATGCTTGCGATCTTGTCGAAGACATAACACAAATGCCACTAGGCGACCTGACGCATGTTGGCGAGCAAGGATCCAGCTTGTCAGGGGGTCAAAAACAAAGAATATCGCTAGCCAGAGCCTTATACTCGCCCTCGTCGACATTACTCCTCGACGATATCTTTTCAGCACTCGACGCCCACACCACTCTCAGGGTTTACGAGCGATGTTTCCGTAGTGGATTATTAAGCGATCGCACAGTTATTCTCGTCACACATTTCTCCACCGCTGTAGATGATGCCGAGGTGCTCGTCTCATTGGCTCAGGGGGAAGTATCGTTTACGAAGATAAACGCCGGTCGCTCATCCAGCTACATTAAATCTTCTTGGGTAACGCATACCGAAGAAGTCGAAGCCGATAGTAGCTCGCTTTCAACCGCAAGCCCACAATTAGGGGTATTTTTTACACAAGGCGAGCTTACGGACATATCACTCCCCGAAGAGAACCTAGATGGAGTAGAAGTTGACGAAAAGAGGGCATCGGGACGTGTTCCACGTAGTTTCAGTAAGTTGTCAAGTAATATGTATGGAAAGTTATCAATTCTAACAGCCTGGACAGTTATTCGATACATGCTTCTTTTCGGAGGCTATTCGGCCGCGACCCTCACAATTATCAACACCATCCTGGTGCAACTCGCTTATTTCTCAATCACATTTTGGCTCTCCATATGGACGGGATTATCCGACCGCGACGACTACCCTTCCAAAGCGATACCCTACCTGCTCGTCTACATCGGTACGGTCACGGCGTTCATATCCCTCCAGTTCCTCAACAACTACATCTACCAAAGGGGCGGGTGGAAGGCGGCAAAGACGATGCACGAGCGACTAGTTTCCGCAATCCTAGGAGCCCCTATTTCCTGGTACGACAACACCCCCGTCGGCCGCATCATCAACCGCTTCGGCGTGGACATCCAGTCCCTGGACAGCGCGCTAGTCGACTGGCTGCGCATGAGTCTCGACAACGGCATCCGGCTGGCCCTGCGTCTCGCGGGCATCGCATCCATCATGCCCATCTTCGCGCTGCCGGCCGGCGTCTTCTGCATGCTCGGCTTCGCGACGGGCGAGGTGTACGCGCGCGCGCAGATATCCATCAAGCGCCTGTGCGCGGTGAAGATCTCGCCCGTGTTCTCGCACTTCAGCGACACGACGGGCGGGCTCGCCGTCATCCGCGCCCGCGCGCCCGTGGACGCCGTGTTTCAGACGCTGCTCGCCGACAAGCTCGCCGTGTACATGCGCGCGCTGGAGGCGCAGTACAACACGAACCGCTGGGTGTCGATCCGCTCCGACTTCTGCGCCGCCACCGTCGCCGTCTCCGCCGGCTGCATCGCGTACTGGAAGTCCGGCGCGCCCGGGCTCGTCGGCTTCTCGCTCACGAACGCTATTGGTCTCAGCCAGACTATCTTAACGTTGGTAAGGAATATGAACGAGCTCGAGGTCGAGCTCAACTCGTTCCAGCGCGTGTCCGAGTACGCGGATATCGAGCCCGAGGCTAGTCCCGAGGAAGAGGAGGTGAAGGCGGGGAAGGTGCCGGCGGCTTGGCCGGCGACTGGCATGATGGAGTTCCGGAATGTGACGGCGCGGTACGCGGAGGAGGGTCCGGATATCTTACGCGACGTGTCGTTTCGCGCGAAGCCGGGGCAGCGGGTGGCTATTATCGGTCGCACTGGCAGTGGGAAGAGTACTGTGACGCGTTCCATACTACGGTCCACGCATGTTGTTTCCGGGGGCATCACGATCGACGGCATCGACGTGCGCAACATCCCCCTGAAGCGGCTCCGAGAAAGCATCAGCTTCGTGCCTCAGGACGCGGTGATCTTCTCCGGGGACACCCAGTCGAATCTCGATCCCGAGGGCAACCTCGACGAGACCGAGCTCCAGGCCGTTCTCACGGCATGCAACTTGGTCCAGACCCGCGATCCAGATAGCCGGGCACCGGGTTCGGGGCTCTCGGTACATTCCCAAGTCGCGAGCGGCGGCACGAACTTCAGCAACGGACAAAGGCAGATCTTGGGGCTTGCGCGGGCTATGTGTCGACGCTCTAAGGTCGTCATATTGGACGAGGCGACGGCTTCCGTGGACCATGAGACGGACGTGCGGATGCAGGAACTCATCCGCTCGGAGTTTGCCGGGTCTACGATTATTACGATTGCCCACCGTTTACGGACTATTATAGATTACGACCAGGTTATTGTGATGGAGGAAGGGAAGGTTCTAGAGTACGTTACCCCCTAACTTATAGCTATTGCGCCTTTTTTCTCTTCCCTTTTTTCTTTTTTATTTCTTTTGCTCTTGGCTCCTTGCTGACATATTGATAGGACGGGATCCCCCGCAGAGTTGGTTGATAAAAAGGGTGCCTTTTGGGGAATGTTGAAAAACAGTGGCGAGTACGAAGAATTGATCTCTTTTGCGAGGCAAGGAAACCGCTAATGATATTGTAAATACCTACCTATTTCGTGCTGTGAAAAGGGGGCATACGCGTGTTGAATATATGATGACCGTCATCTGCGGCGATTTTGCAGAATATCCCGAAAGAGCATTCCATAATAAAGAAGTAAAAAAGTGATTTTATCGTTTTTGAGCTGGTCCGTGAGGAGAAATTTACCGTGAGAATCAATCATGTCCCCCTCCTTGCCCACCTAGTAGCTAAGTAGTTTCTGTCAAGGTTGTGGCCCGTTGCTAAAGATCGTGTCACAGAGTGAGTGATAATAGCAGGAAGCTCGCCTTTGGCTCACTTGTATGTAATGATAGAGCTTGACTAACGCCTACCCCTTTCCTAGAACCCTCTAGGGCCTCCGGCCCCTTATATGTTCATCCTAAACGTTACACAGGCTGCAGCTAACTACATAGGTAGCTGCTATTTACCCACTTGCTCTCAGCCCCTGACAGCTTCATAGAATTCAATTTTGATCGTGTTGGATTATTCGATGTTCGTTTGGTGAGTACATTACGTGCGGTGCAAGGTGGTGGCCCGTAAATCTCAAGTCCTTCTCCAGGAGTGAAATGAAGGAACTAAGGGTTCCATCTAACTCTTCCCTTTGATCTTGGATGAGAGCTCGTACGTGCGTGGCAAATGTACTCCTGTCAGTCCGCTCCATCGGAAATTCTCCATCTCGCCATGCTTTAAATATGGCGTACTCATTATACTCCTTGCAATGACTATCATCGCTGAGCTTATCCTCAAGGAGAACTTTATCTCCTAATCGCCAGCTCACTGTACCATCACCTCGGGTCTCTGTTGTCCACTTCCGAAGTAATTTAGATTTATTCCGCCCTTCAGCCATCGTTAGGCGGGCTGTGAAGTGAACCAACTGAAGATTTGGACGATGGTCATCGGTCTGCAGATAACCCCTTCGGGGTTTTAGTCCTGAAAGCCACCAGTACCATGATGGCTTTGATGTACGGCCTGGCAGACGTTAGCATATTATAAAACATTACCTAGACAGCTAATATTGGTATACCAACCTGAGTTTGCTATGTCGGATAAGATCGCGGTTTCTTTGATTTGGTGAAAAAATTCGTTGATATGGAAGTCCCATTCTAGGAACCTATGCTTGAGGTGCTTCATTATCTCTGTTCTGTTGAAAGTCGCATTTGTGTTCGCTTGTAGTTGTCCAATAGTCCAAATAAGTGCCACAGCTCCAAGGACTGCGTCTCCATTCCCACCAACGTCGGCATGTGACCCAAGAAACCAGCATTGCTTGGCATATGTCCCCTCTCCTTCTTTGGAACGCCATATGCATGGCTTGAACTGTGCCCTCCTCTCGTCGAGTGCCAAAACTTGGAAAGCATTCTCGATAGCTTCTGGAATTGCCCTTCCGACAAAAGAAAGGGGTCTTGGCCAGGGGGTTGGGAGCCCAAGTGCATTGACCGTGTCCCAGACCACGCATGCCTTGATTCTCACTTGATGTAATAGTCCTTCATTGTAGAAATTTCTGACATAATCGTCTAATTTCTCTTTGACTGGACGTCGTTCGCCACTTCCCACACGCTTGAAGCTCTGGTTTTTCCACAGCGCAAACAATCCACGTAGGTAATATAAATGTTGCTTTTGGAATAATCCAGTCTGGCTGATGAATGAAGCAAGACATTGAACAGCAAAGGCTCCACGGGAGAATCCAACAAGAAATATTTCATCTTGATTATGGCTGAAGTTGTAATTGTGAGAAAGAAAACTGTAAGCGTTTCTGATCTTGACCGATATACCTGCTAAGCATTAACCTCCGAATATATGGCCAGAGTTGGATTTACGTTACCTCTCCCAGTTGCTCCATCAATAAGTCTAGAAGGTAAACTAGTTGCGTTGCCAACCCCGTTGTCATAGTAGACAGTCTGTATATAGTTGTCTTCAGATATACCCTCAAGACAACGAGCGAGTGTAGCAACGTTCGTTAAGCGGCGCTTCTTATTAACACCATCCTGCCAAGTACCATCACAAAATATGAATAACCTTTTTCGTACTTGATCATCGGAAATAACGGGTTCTGGGTTTGAGGCTTCTGAGGTGCTGGGATCAGAGATCTGCGAGTGACTGTCCATTTGGAGGCGCTTGGGTAATAAGAGCCCAACGATTTGTGCGAATGTCTGAGAGGATGGTATCTAGTTAACGAGGAAGACAATCTAATTAATATCTAGGCCACAGGTAAATAGAAAGCACTCGAGGTGTATGACAGTGTGTCGAGCCTAATAGCATTGGCGTTGGGCTCGCAATATAACGAATTGTAATATCATAGAACTTCCAATGATTCAGAGACAAGTCAACCATTCCACAAACGGTCACATACTTATTCAAGCCCCCAACCGCGAATCGTGCCAACGCAGAATGTTAACGGCTATGGTATATACAACGGAATAATGAAGCATTATGGTGTTGTGACTATTCGATAGGTAAATAACCAAAGCATAAACTCGTAAGATGTGATATACATATGTTGCTCAATAGGAACGAGTTTGCCTTAGAGGGCAGTGCAAGTACCTACCTACCCATAGATTATAATAGTGGGGTTAATCCAAGCCCCCTAACATAATGGATCTTATTAATTTCACAGCCATCGCCTGCCTGTAGACTTTTTGCTTCCTTAAGGTCTCTTTTCGTCTCCATTCCGAGAAAAGCTTTACTCCGATGAAATCTGCGGCTAGGTAATGTTAAGTTTCTGAACGATATCCCTTTTATTTACCTAACTTACATCGGTATTCAGTTTCGGGGTTTAGCCCAAGCGAGCTGTCGGATTGCATACGACCTTCGGAATATAAGATATCAATCCTACCTATCAAGTGAAAGGACCAAAAAGAGAAGAGGGGAATCGGCGCTGCAGCCAGCCATGGATTTACATCTCTCGACTGATGCCAATGCCCTGGTGGGGCATTGCTAAGCGAGATACTACATAAAAGGGGCGTCCGCGCCCTTCGAGAAAGGCTTGGGTGTTAACACGGTACATATTATCATTGTGTACCTACCTTTCTGTGACTCAGCTAACAGGGACCCCTACAACTGATCGGGAAATTTTGCCCCTAGTAATTTCGAGGCTAGCTGAGAAAATACGTATCTCGCACGCCAACTCGACTATGCATGTATACGCACGGGAATGGCGATGGCACGGGGAATGCAACAAATCAAGAGTTACCCCAACACACGGATAGACCTTACATATGCAGTCTACAGGGAGGTTGAGTTCACCGAAGGACGGGCATGTCATGCGGACAATATTACATGCATACTGAACTAATTAGTGATTGTTGCCTAATCGTGTCTTATTTTCTTGGTACGCTTCATCGTCTACCTTGATGATATTGAGGCTAGTGGGCTGCTAACCCACACCGAAAAAGGGTCTTATACTATATGACCGGGAGTTGTAAGTATGTGGAGGTATTCAAGCGACGATATGGCAGGTAGGTAGGTAGGCAGGCTGGAGGCAACGTAGTAGATAGGCCTGCATATGCATACGCCACTCAGAGTAACTGACATAACGTTGAGAATAACGAAACTAAGGAGCCTCATCAGAGCCTTGCTATATGAAGCCCATTGAATCCCCAGTACTCACCGTTTTGGTATGTGAACATGGGCTCCGGAAGCTGCGACAAATCGCAAACATTATCTCTGTCTGGTTCTCATCCGCGGAAAAGTCACTCTTGTCTCAATGGCTACTCGTCTATGGAGCCTCTTCAGTGTTCCTACTCGCATTTACACGTGGATAAATGAGTCAGTCATGAATATTTCAAGCCGTATTCTACCTGATGATCAGGACGACGACGACGACAAAAAAAGGCAGTTATATTCTATGAAGAATTTACTGCCTAATAACATCACCACCGAGGAGTTCAAAGCCCATCTTGATAGATATCCCAATTATATTCGTGATGTATACCAGCGGGCTGAGAAAGAGCGGTTTGTGTCCATACCGCAAAGGCTTGAAGATCGGAAGAAGCGGTTCCTGACAAAGGAGGAGTTGATATATTTAGACCAATGGATACAGTATTTCACTCTCGGTAAATTAACGATAGTATCTGAGAACTGATATATGAAACTCTGTTCAGGAAACGCGGCACTGCGCTTAAAAAGGAGGCACACGTAGCTAATGCGAAACAAATAAATAGAAACAGCGACGCCACGGTTAAGAAGCGTACCGAAGAAGCCTATAAGCACTATGACAAGACTGGAGACATTATTCAGACATTTGAAATTCTAAAGGAATTACGAGGAGTCAGTTATGCTAGAGCGTCTCTTTTGCTCTCGGTAGCATACCCTGAGACCTTGCCCTTTTTTTCCCGACCCCTATACCAATGGACTCACTGGGATAAGAAGAACGGCTGGGAGCAAGAATTCACTTGGACAGAAGACACCTATCACCAGGTACTTCAGAAAGTGAAGGACTTGAAAGACAAACACTCTAGAAATGGTCTTATGGTGAAGGCCATTGATGTCGAGAAGGTAGTATTTGTGTTGAAGCACGAAACTTTGATTAGGGGTAATTATTGCGATGTATAAGTCAATATCTGTCATGACTCCATCACTAACGCTATATAGCTCTCCGAATCAAAAAGATCAAGGAGTCTCTTACCAAAGACGAGAACAGGATCAACGATACGGGACAAGCATTCGTTCATAGAGTCCCGAGGAAATGTCTAGGTAAGGGGGATGGAAGTGTGGTCGTCAAAAGGATACCCAAAACCCCGCAAGTTCTGAACTCTAGAAATAGGTTCCTTGCGGAGGTATCGTCTTCGCATATATTATCAAAGGTATGGACGGATCCTTGAGATATGTCTACTAGAAGGTTTATCTAAGTCGGTCAGAAAAACCAAGATTATTTTGTTGAATTCCTTGGATGGAATGAGGACAAGCATAATCTTTTCATTGCAATGGAATACGTCGAATACGGTAATCTGGAACAGAACCTCGGGCGGGGTCCCTGGAAGGAGAAAGACATCAAGGAAACGACAAGGCAACTACTGAATGGTTTAAAAATAATGCATGATCACGGTATTGTTCATCGAGATCTGAAGCCTCAGGTAATTCCCCGTCTCTATTGCTAGTCGTCACGGTGAAATATATGTTAATAGGGCCCCAGAATATCCTGGTCGTCTCTAATTCACCAGGAATGATTCAGGTTAAAATTACGGATTTCGGGATTTCGAAACGACTTTCCGACAGAAAAACTACAGTGCTAGCAACCGTTAATATCGGCACCCCAGGTTACAAAGCTCCAGAAGTGGTTCAACGTTGGGATGTCGAGGACGGCCAGCATCAAGTAGCTAACATCGATTCTCGGTACTCGTATACCCACAAGGCGGACCTCTGGTCTCTTGGATGCATAATCTTCAGAATGGCCAAGGGGAAACCCTTGTTCGATAGCGATACTGAAGTACTCAATGAAAAAAAGCTGAAACGTCGGGTTACAGCCGTCAACGGACTTCTGACAGAGATGTCTCCATCCATGGGAACCGGTGGAGTTGGTTTTGTACAGAAATTGATTGTAGTTAAAGCTAGTTCCCGTTATGATGCAGACACAGCTCTAGAAGGATTGGCTCAGTGGGTCATATCTGATCACCGGCCGAGGAGTAGCCTACGAGAGAGGCGATAGATACCTAGGTATCTAGTTTATCGATTTGAATCAGAAACACGGAATAATTGGGAATAGAGCTAGGCAAAAAACTCATATTTTAATGAAACGAGTTTGTTAACTTTCCGTGGCACTTATCCCCTTTTCACCTTTTCGTTTCCCCTTGTGGCGTTTAGTGAAATCTAGATACCGTTAGATGATGTATACATACCTGGTAGTTGTATCAATTAACAAAGTGACAATGTCGAATTCAAAGAGAACTATCAGGTTTCACAGCTACTAGGCTCTTGCTCAATGCGAATCTATTCCTACCTTGTAGGAGGGTAGTAATTAATCAATCAATGCCGAATTAGGTAGTCTCTGGAAGCTAAGGTTTTGACCTTTTAGTGACTTCTTCGCTAAAATTTGGTGGATAATCGCTGTGGCTTAGGGTACTCAGCCACTAAAGAAAAGCGCCCCACAGTGAACCGGGATGCCAAGGGCCAATTCACTTATTGATTTCCAAGGGGTCAAGAATAGGGGGATGTGAGTGCCACGCTGCCAATTTCCAAATTTGCTATTAAAGTCGAAATCTAGTCATTTTGAGACAGACGCAGGTTATGAGTGTCATTATTGCATTTGAAGGTTGAGTTACTAGCCCTGAGTAGAGGTCCATAGATAGTACACATACCCCTGAGATACACCGCGTAGGACCATAGGCTTCCAGCCACCTAATATTCTAACAAGGCATATGGTAGATATCATGTACAAAACACCTAGATTGCCTAATTGATGATTAGTGTTCGTGTTTCGTAAAGCTGGCTGCCACCATTCCCCAGATATCTACCCGTCTTGAAGCTACCGAATAGTGTCGTTAGCATTCCAACCCCGTCAGGAGTTGCAGTTGTGGCCATTCAGCTTACCTCCAGTGTAGATTCCCCAGTGCTGCATCGCGGCATGCTTCCACAAACCGGAGCACAGACCGGTCTGTCTTTTCTCCCCAGATCGGCATGTTGGCCAGAGCTACGTAATACCGTTTATAGCATTCATTGATCATGTCGGAAATCCTATTCAGAGCTTGCTGAGCGGATAATCCCTGATTCATCAAGAGTATGATGATATTCTGATCGACGCCCATTGCCTGGTAACAAGATTTAGTATAAACAGCAAGCCATTCCTTGTTAAGGGGCCTTACTATATCTTTCTTATACGACAAGATATCGTTGGCACTTCCATGGTATTAGAACGTGTTGCTTTTTTGTGTGGTTACCGCTGGGGGGACCACTTACAGAAGTGCGAGATCCGCCGAGACGCACATGCATTCTTGCAGAGAAGGATGTTTCAAGATATTCAGAGGAAGTTCTATTCCTTGGGCATACCTACATTTGTGAGTTAGTAAGTTTAGAGCTCCGCCCAGTAACGTTCAGTAGGACTTTGAACTGTCATCTTACTCAATAAGGGAGATACCCGGATATATACCGATAGTTCCTCTCCGCAAATGCAGATACTCTTCTATGCTGAGAGCCAAAGTCTTTTGGCTTTCTGTAGCTCTTACTTGCTCAATTAGACCATCAAAGAACCTTTTGTGCATTTCCTTCGAGTGCTGTTGCAGTTCTTCCACAGTTTAGTACTAAATGTCATTCCTATTTGAATGCTTCCTATAAACATACCTCCAGATGACCTCTGTTGGTATAGTGTTAGCGTATATGTTAGAAGCATCAGACCTTTCTGTGAAAGTTAGGTATGGAATGGTACCTTTCTTATACGTTCCCATGCTGTTTGGAATATATATCTTATGGGACTTTCTTCAGGGACATACTGCTTTTGTGTCCCTTCCATTATCTCTATAGCAATTCCAATCTCCTCTCGTGCTGCCAAAAGGTCTTTGCTGAGGTGTCCTTCATCAAATTCTTAATGTAAACCATATATTAGTATGCCACGATAATTACAATCCAGCGTGGAAGTGAGTTCACATACGGTCGTCGAAATAGGATGCCTAAGGTATTGGAATTAGCATATACTCTTTTCACCTCATGTCATGTCAAATTGGAGAACAAACCCAATGCATCCAGTCAACTATCGTTCGTAGAGCCTCTTCATCACATGTTGGTGCCCACATTGAAGCTAAGTACGCATAGTCTGTTTTGGAGTTTTTAGTCGCCCATTTTCCACTTTGTCCAAATGTCCTATTTGAAATATCAGTTTGCTCTAATTTGGAGACCGAAATGTTTACTAGGTAATCTACCTAGACTTCAGTTTGTAGACGTACCTTGCAAGCCACGCATCAGCGTGAGGTTTCACGGAGAAATAATTTGGATTCACGGTAGGCTTTGCAGACATGATCGATGAGAACATATCAGGTACATAAACCTGGATTTTGTTGATCGCAGACTGTGGGAATGAGCTGATATTTTGATCAGGATTAGGGTTGAAGTATAAGAGCGGTGTCCCATCCGAAGTCAACTTTGTCAAAGGTGAGTCCATTGACTCGGATTCTTGACCCTTCTCCCGAATTTCTAGGCCCATAATGAACGGCTTTTGGTGTACCAAGTGAATATTGCTTCAGCTTCTAGAGAATTGAAGAATTTGCAAGCCGAGAGGCCATGAAGGTATATATATTGGTTAGGTGCAACCTTTCACAGCGACAAGGCCGTGTGGGTAGGATGTGTAAGACGAGTACCAAGACATGCATACCTATTTACCTAGAATGGGTTATTCAGCCCAACAAACATGCATGTGAAATATATTCCGTCCAACATCGAGCAAACTTTGCACATGAAATGACTTACGCCACTTTGTGGATGCCGAAATAGATGCCGCCGTATCTATGAACCCACGAACCCCTATTGGCTCCATGTATCTCACATCGTGTAATATTCCAGTTGTTGGTCGTCTTAGTTCAATAAAAGGCTGTATATTGTTGCGCCTTCTTCCTCAACCCAACCTATAAGGACAATGAAGACGTTATCTTACTCGATATCATGTATGCGATGTAATCTCCAGTGACATTCTCCAGCCCCCTTTTCCAAAAGTCCACATAGGTCACAACAGGACAGAATATCACCCCAGAACTGTCTTTTACAATCAGGAAAACAACCGTCCGCAGATACTTTGGGGGCCAAAATTGAATAGCAAGTGATCATGCTCTTATTTCAATAGCAATGGGATATATTTCGGCTAAGACATGATTGTTCTATCTTAATTTCCACTTTGATCAGGTATTGTTCCCGGCCAAGATCATTACGGGATAAGTTACCTACCTACCTAGGTACCCAATATTTACATATAAAACATCATAGGTCAACCCGCCATCAATGCTTTATATAAAGATGTTTGTTTTAACAGTGGCCCTATCCTGATATATCACAGAATTGTCGGCAGAACTTCGATTAGATGATCTCATGACAGTTGGCGAGGGGCCGTCCTAGGATAGAGTGTGGCTTTTCTTAAATTAATCATAGTCTCGGCCTAGATGCGCTCAGCCAGAAGACTTAATCAATCTTGCGGGGGTTCAGGCGTATGTTTAAGGGTGGCTTCTCCCACAAGCCGAACATCCGCTGATTCTGCATCCAGTCCGTCTCTTGCTTTTCAGCCAACGAAATGTCATAGTTCCAGACAAGCCTGGCCAAAATTAATCTCATCTCAGCATATGCAAGGCTGTTAAGACTCATTAGAATTCTGCAAGTCTCACGAAGCCTCGAGGCATGTACGTACTTTTTTCCGAGACAGTTCCGTGCTCCAGTGGAAAAGGGCTGGAAAGCGTCCTTCTTATCGTTTGCAAAACGCGGGTCACCCATCCATCGCTCAGGTATGAATGACTCTGACAACGCAAAGTTACTTGGGTTATGGTACATGGACCAGTGCCAAATGTCGACGATGGTCTTAGTTCGCTAGGGTCAGCTTGACGATTGTCAACGTTTGGAATCCGGTCATCTACTTACCTCTTCGGGAAGATATTTTCCACAGACCACCTCGCCTCCTCGGTGAATCAAGCGGGGAACTGAAGCAGGCGCAGCTGGGTATATGCGCATACCCTCATCGATCACTGCCGCCATATATCGCAGCCTCTGTGCGCTGAGAAGAGTGATTTCGGCTTCAGTGTCAAACGTCGATCGTACTTCCTTGCACAATTTATCCAAAACGTCTCGGTGCGTGCAGAGCAGGTATGTCACGCCGCAGAGCCTTTACAATAATTAATCCGTCAGTATTCCCGATCTTCGTAGCGCCATATCCAAGGATTGACTCACGTTGTCGCAGTGGTCTCAGAGCCAGCAATGATCAATAAATCCGCGTTGTGATGGAGCTCCTTGAGGGTCATTTTCTGACGGGACATCAATATACTTGACTGGTGAGCAGTAGCATATCACCCCTGCATTCGTGGATATTAAAGCGTACCTGTTTTCCGTCTGTATCGGATGAAGTCATGGCGTCCATAAAGTCGTGACGATTTGATCCAAGGGACAACCGTTTTGCAACTTTAGTCTCTGTAAGTTGTGTGTGTTCCCGTATCTTATCAGCAACGAACAACAGTAGAAGCGGGCTGATGAGGGACTCAAGGGTCGGATAGGCTCTTCGGATCTGCAGTAAAATCTGTTTCTGTTTGAATTGATCAAATATGATAGCCACCCAGGCATGGTAGCTTGATGAGTTTAAACAGCCAAATGATTCTCCAAAGGCCAAGTCTCCAATGACATCGAACGTAGTGTAGTTATACCACTTGGCCATATCCACAGGTCGACCGCTGATGCTGTGTTCCCTCATACGCTCGAATAGGAGATCGATGTAACCACGAATCATTGGTTCCTGTTTGCTCATCTCTTGTGCTGAGAAGCCATGCGCAAGTATTCGACGCATTCGACTGTGATTCTCCGAATCCGCAGCAATGACCGCCTGGCTGACATCTCTGAAGAACCCAGGGTCCTTGAGATTCTCGGGCTGTCCTGACTTGCGATGGCCGTACACCTCCTTCCATGCCAGAGGGTTGAGAAACGAGACCGATCGTGGGCCAGTGCGAACCGCATCGCCATACTTCTGGTGTAGGGCGAGGACCTTTTTATGAGGCCTTCCGGAAAATTGCATGAGAGCTTGAGGGAGAGGTGAAATTGCCCATAGTATCGGGCCAGGTACTTTTCGAAGAGGGCTGAGGAAAAGATTATAAATCACAGACCACAGAAAATAACCAGCGACCTACTAAATGTTAGTCACATTCACCACTTCAAGGTTTCTATTTCCATTCAGTTGTAAGGAGGGTTCTTACAGCGCACAGGGCAAGGATCATCAACCGTGACGACGCCGAAGGTTTATCGACAAGGAGATCTGCAATTTCAAGTTGAGGGGCCATGATCAGTGATTGATCATAGATCTAGGGGAGTTGGTATGAGAGGAGTGAAACTATCGTGTTCTCATGCCAATGAAAGGTAATGCAATTTATGTTCTAAGCAGCAAGAAATGTGTCCATCTAAAATACCATCCACCTTAAATAACCCGCTTCGTTTCGTTTTGTGTCTTTAAAGCTAAAGAGGCCTAGATTCTACGGAGTTGTCGCACCAGCCGACAACTGACGGATCGCATAGTAATAACAGCCCGAGCCCGAACCCTGATACGATCCGCCGGTATTTAAAATCTTGATGTTACCTTTTGCATGATCTCATCCCTGCACATGGGGATATTCCAGGTTTCGGACGGGCGATTACGTGACCAATATCTGACAAAGTCCCAAGGACATCAACTTCGCCTGAAACATCACCTGCATACCTAGCACATACTATTCAACAAGACTATATCGATATCAATTAAATCTCCATCAACGGGTTCAATCGCTTGTGAATAATCCTAGAGGTTCTCCTCGTACTTCTTATCCCGGTAGACCATACTTACTGGGGTATTGACTCAATACATAGGCATACGACCCACTGCGAAAGGGGAGCTGTGTGATTTTATACAAATTTCTTCATTCTGCTGGTCTGCAGTGTGATTGGCTTAATTTACAAGGTAGCTTACACGGTATTATCCCATATATCGTTGTCTTCTTTCTCGTGCGCCGTCAAATCATCACGCAGCATTCGTCGTGCGAAAGTGCGCAGCGGTCCCCGCTTAGAATCCACTATGGGCATCAACCATTCCAACTTGTTCTCTTTGCCATCCTCGGAAGGTTTGGAGATCGGAACTGTTGTGGCGCCGAAGCCCAGTGGTTTACAGTTGAGATAGATGTTCTCAAAGTGCCCCTTGGGCGCTATGTATGTCTCATGGAAGACAGACAGATGCGGATACTTTTTGCCGGCACCCTGCGACCACCATCGCAGACCCGCCATATGTTCAGGCCCATGAGCATAGTTGTGAAGACTCTCGATATTCTTCCAATACATGATGAACATTATCATGTTATTGGCATGCTCGGTAGTACCCTGCCACTGCGACCAACCCAACAAGCCTTTCTTATCATAGTAGTCGTCCAGCGCCTTGGCGATCTGATTTTGATAGTACCGGTTTTCAGTGAGGCCTGGTGCCATAAACCCCAAGGGATGGTTTACTTGTTGACCAACGAAAAAGACGACAACAGATTCATCGGCAGGCTTCGAGCTTAAGGTGCCGTCTGCATGCGGAAGCTGGACGCCCCACTTCTTGCGGATAGCTCCGTCCATATAACGATTATGTGTTATGCCGAGGGCCATGGAGAGATGATCGATTGTTCGTAGGACAAGGAGAACTATGACTGGGATGGTTGCCCGAAAGCCGAAGTACGCGACAGCAGCTGTCTGAAGCAGGCCGCCAATGCAAAGCCAGGTACTCAATTGGAAGTAGTCTTTGGCTGCCACGAAATGTAGGCTCCTAGTACGAATAGCCTTGGTGAAGTGCCATTCTGGTCGTTCTTTGAACGGTTTGAAGAGTAGTTCGAATGAGGGTGCCATTGTGGACAGAAACAATCGAAGGCTTACGATATGCTTGATTCGGATAATAATGACTTGAAAGGCTATTCTATAGATTTCATAGACATGAGTTGGCTGGTCCCTGAGGCGGTATTATATATCCTCTGGCCGAGCCAGGTTGACGACAGGCTTGAATGCCCAGACTGCATACCTTGTATAGGACGAACCTATGTATAGGATGTATGAAACTCGGAGCCAGCATGAACACCGATGGTCCGTTAGGCGCTACAGACATGCTGGGTATGATATCAAACAAAAGTTTTGGAACGCTGTCACGTGCCGGTAGGTCTTACTAAACTATTCACTATATTGGATCTGGTTAAGTATGTCTACTGAAGCCTATAAGAAGACCCATTGCACCCTTAATGAGTAAAGGCTAGTGGAACATCAGCTCGACTTGCCAGCCTTAGACTTGACAAGGTGTTAAAATATGATATACCCCTCCGTACTACCATTATTAGTAGCACTGATCGCTGCATAAGTTCCTTCCTAGGGCCGTTAGGTTCCATTGCAGCGGCAATATATGGTTTCCAAGAAACGGTTCTTTTAAGGTTAGCCCCCATTAAGTCAATTCTTTGTAAGTTACGTAAAGTGCTTCTTCGATATTGACCAATCAAAGAAAGCGACTAACAGCCGTTCTTGAAAAGAGATCCGTTTAAGGCCTAAACCCCGTCTTACAACCGTTAGATAACTGTTGTTTCAAACCAGCCATTGCCGCTTGCCAAGGCATTAGTACCGTTGTGCGCTTGCGCTATCCCACATTATGTCAGGCCTTGTTTACTTAGCTAGCGGCTTTGCATATAAGCTAGCCAATTAAAGCGAGGCCATTCACAACTAAGATAACTGCCGATAAACTGAGCTTCACCTTCAACAGACCATTGACATACTAGTATCTTAGTTGTCAATCCCCACGATTCCCCAGCTTACCCCAGAATCGACTCCCTCCCCACGTTTCCCGTCATCAGCTTCATTCTGGGCTGTGTAGAAGTGGGCAATCTCCGGACAAGTGGAAGTTGATCAATGATCTACTTGTCGGCATAAGGTATCGACCAGTAGAATCTGCAAGATCTCTCAAATTAGGGGACTTAGGACTAGTATCAACGTTCCAACAGGACTCAAAAAGGCGCAAGTAGTTTCATGCAGTCAAGGCTATTAGCTTTCCTAACTCTTCAGGTTATGCGGGTCGGCATTTGAATGCGGGTTTTGATATTTATAGATATCAACTTACTATGTAGTAATATCACTAGATATGAATGAGATAACTTACACGTGCTACAGTTACACTTACACGTCGTGTCTCCCAGTGCCCGGATCAACTCAATCAACTCCGTGAACGTGTCTTGTGGAGTTGATAGATCCTAATCCATGAAGCCCTTTCGTGGAGTTAGCAATGATGTAAGCCAATGTACACCAAAAAGAAAGGTGTATTTATGAACTCCATGATCATACGACCCTTAATTCTGGAGTTGTGGGGCCCCTTATACTACGCTATTACTACGTAGTAGTAGTTGTTGCACTTACGGGGCAGGAAGAGAGGTCGAAGGGAGTCTAGATTCTTTGCACCTTAGCTGAATAGCAGTGCGCCAAAAACTAACTATGGGACGGTGCAACTAGGTGGCCTCGTGACAGGAGTGTCCGTGCCTTAGATTTGAAGTTATCTAGGTACCTAGGCATTCACACTTGCGTCATTGTCTTCTATAAGGGTAGGAAAAAAAGGGTTACATCCCAGGTTACCCCTAAATTTATTGACGAGCGTACAAGGTTCAACATCTGCCGATAACCTTAGCATCGATGGCGCTTGTGAAGGACTTCGGAGTTACCAATTGTCTTAACATGTAGTAATAGCTAACAAAGGACTAGCATCATGAAGTATCCACAGTCAGCGCAACTAACCCATCAACTCAACTCATATGTCCCTTTCGTCGAGTCGGCCACCTATGTAATAGCTAAGGCATTGATGGAGTTGAGTTGATTGAGTTGATGTAACCTTCGGTGTAGGTAGATTGGTCCGAACACTTATCTCTCTTTGATTAGGTAGGTAGTTATCGGCCGAGTCAATTAGATGCTAAGGTATAGAACTTATTGTCTACTAAGTAAGGAAGGATTTCTCCCTTTGTGCATTTATCTTGGTATTCCTCTGAGCTGTACTCTGCAAGGGCTGAGTCAGTCTTAAGTAGCGCTTGACCAGAATTCAGCAAAGCAACAAGAGATGGTGCAGAAGATTAGGGGTCGGCGAGGGCAGCTCTCCGAGGATGCAACGGCCTTACCCGCTCATATCACATGAACCCACTGCATCAGGTATGTTCGATAGCATGCAAATAACTAACAAGCTCATACATTGTGCTATATAATAGTATCTCTACAAAGTCGGAGGCTAGAACTCAACGCAGATTAGTCAAATATGACCCGCCCTCGGTCTCTAGGAATAGTACCGAAGAGTCGAAAACCGTCTCATTGGCCAACTCTGTCGAAACTTGTCGAACACTTGCCTGTCAAAACTGACAATCACCTCCAAGCCTTCATCACCGGCGGGGTTGGCCGGCACCCTAGGTAGGACGATTGGGTACCTTTTATACATCAATTTCGGCAGTCTAACGGCATCGCATGTTCCCACAATGTCACCCCAGTCCAGTCCGTATATATTCTGGTCGGCCCACGAAACAATGGATACGCCGTCATGACGCGGCCCTAGTGTAATTGGTGGATGATCCCCTGACGCACCATCCAAATATAGCAACACATTTCTAACTCTTTCCTCGTCGATGCTATGAAGGGAGGCACGAATTATAGAAGCAATGTCGGCGAGCTTTGAAATTGAAGCGGAATCCAATGGCTCATCATCATTTGAGGAACCAGCGTGGAAGGAGAGGGAAATGAGATCATCGCGTGAAGCCGTAGCAGTAGTCATGATAAAGGCAGTACCCAGATAGTCTGGAGGTAAAGGTGGGTTGAATCGTGAGCGAAAGTTCACGGGGAAGCCTATCGTGTTGCTACCCTTGCGATCGCTCATCGGATCTGATTCGGCTGATAGTACTGCGCTCCAAAGTAGTGCCGTGAGTATATCACTTGAGGAGACCCAGCCCCCATTCCCCCACGAAGCAATGTGCTTGTTTACTGCATGCTTCAAGGCTTGCAGAGTTTTCTGTGGGAAGAAAAACACGCCCGTCGTGGGATCGCTGGGTTGCGACGCCAAAGCGGCGATTTTAGTCAACTCATCGGGACCCTTGACATGAAGAAGCTCAGGAATTGAAGCTGGCGTTGGCCTATTGGAAGTATCCGGTCGCTCGAGCAGGGCTTTGCGGTTCAGCCAGGCTGGGTCGAATCCAGCTGCCGCTGATGCGCCTGTCCGACAGTGTGAGGCCCAGAGTTTAAGCAAGGCCCCGAATCCAGTGATGTCAGTTGTGCAATGGTGAACTGCAACACACAAGATGAGCCCTCCTTTAACGAGCGATAACTTCGTCCGAAATACAGGTGTTGGGTTTGGGAATGGTGGCTGGGTATCAGTAGGTATGATTCCGGGCCCGGCGAATGATGAAGGTGGGAAATGATGCTGCTTTATGACGACGTAGTCGATCGCATCTGAAATGTCTTGCTCCGAATAGAGATCCTCAAGAGTTTGATAACATTCACTGAGGGAAACATGTTTGCGATCCTCGCTAGTGATGATGCCTGCCAGTAGGTAAGGGACGTCAGCTAGAACTCTAGCTAAGCCAGTTTTGAGTGTGTGAGAAACCTCTGCGCTTGTCGAAGGAAAACACAGCATCTGGCGAACATAGCCTCGAGGCATGAGCTTATCAAGTGGAGAGAGTGCCGTCATATTGAAATTGGTAACTATAAATATCTGTTGTCGAGTTAGACTTCATTGATCTTGGCGAGACTCAGTTCAATGAGGAGCAGCTATATACCTATATCGCTCTTTCTCGGTGCCTGTACGTGTACCTGGATGCCTGTTAGCAGACCATCCCATTGATATATTCTCTACCTCAGGGACCTCGACAGTCGAATACGCCATATCAACCTTGTGGAGAGGTATCAAATCCTACTGCGACGATATCGTCATCAATGATGCATCTCAAAGCGAGATAATTGCTAATCACTAGTTTTACGGTGTTATCGGTAATATGAACTATACCCAAATTATCCCCGAAGGCATCCAAGAACATACTACGTAATAGTCAGTCAGCCGTCAGAAGCAGTCCAGGTAGATAGAGTCGCATAATAGAGCAGGCAGCACGTTTTTGAAGTGAAAGAAAAACCAACCGTAAGTTAATATACAACCCGATGAAATTTGAATATGAGCGACGATGACTTGGAATGGAATCTTAAATTCTTGAATGCTGACTTGAATATTATTGGACTTGATGCTGTCCACGGTCTGGGTTAGTCAGCGACCACTTTACACGTACCCACACGTGCAACGCGTACTGAATCTTAAGACCAATGGTTAAAAACAACAAGTAAAATGGACGCGTCAAGGGGGGATGACAACTTTGTTAAGCTATCAGGGAAATTGGATTGGAAATAATATTTGGATCGTTTATATGATGAGACTTAATATTATATCATATTATAGCTACAAGCAGAAGGAATATCAAGTATTAAGAAAGATGGCTCGGAGATTAGGTACCGTGGATAAATGGATGCGACTTGTTCCCCTTAATGCGGTTTGGAAAAGTCTAATAAAACATGGCAACCTTGGTTGAGATAGGTACTTGTATGCTCAGGTGTTTTCAAGATGTTGCTTGAGAATTTTTTGGTTGCTCTGCAGAAAAGGATTTGCTTTTGAAGTCAATCATTGGAAGCGACACTGATAACTTGATATCCATCTAGTGCGCGGTGGTTGCTAGGACATCGACGTTGAATCTTGAATTGATGGAAGATGATCCAAGTTAAAACGCGACTAACCCACAGTGTAGTACAGTTTCATGGATCAGGGGTCCTTATTAGCCACACTAGTAGGGATGGCTGGACACAGACGCTATCAAATATAGCTGACTGGCTTCATGATGTGGCTTTTAGCGGGGTACTTGGGGGCTTTTCGAACCTAAAGCGACATATCAGCCACAGCAGTCTGTGCGTACCGTTTATTGATACTGTGAGGCCTTGTCGATAGCGACCATACGTAAACAGGGACATTGGAAATCTATCGACAAACAACATCGGGGGGAGGCCTGTAATTCAACCCGTTGCATCACCCCATAAACATGGGCGTATCTTCTTGAGTCAAACCCCAATATCAAGTTGGGCTTTGCTACTTTCGTACATACAGAATACAAGATACGCGAATCCGCACATACTCAAAAATTCCATTCTAATTTGGGCGAATAGCCAAATAATGAGAGAAGCCAGAAATTCTCTAGACTCAGACTTCAATTACCTTTTTCGACGCTGTTTTCTTACTTGTCTTACTTTAAGCGAAGCGAGCCGTAGCCTAAAAATACTCTCCATCTGACAATTGACAACGATTGTGCCGCGCCTAGATGACATAGCCCTGCTATTCTATTTGACACCGAATTACACGATCGCTTCGAACCGACCAAAACACCAGAAAACACAAAGCGCATTACCTGCCAAATCTATTATCTACAAACACAAACGAAAACCCGGGCAGACAACACTGTACCTTGCAGTACCACGCAACGTCCTAAACTATTCAAGACCAACAGAAATGAGAAATGCCCAGTCGATTGCAAAAACCTCGACCACGTCCTACGCCCAGTCGCGATCCTTCGGATCCCCTACAGGAGGACATTGAAAACCGTGAGTGCAGTCTAGTTCATGTCTAGCATACAATGCATAGGGTCTCTTATGTTTTAGAACAATCTCCTAAAAGAGAGACAGGCAGCACTTTGTCTCTGCCTTGTTCATTTCGAGTTCTCAGGACAAAGCGAAACCTTCATTATGTTCCGACGCCAATTATGAGAGAATATCTGTTAACCCGTATTTATAGAGTCCGCATACCTATATACTGCACCGTCAGATGCTAGTCCTAGAACAAAGCCGGCGTATGCTTCCTACGGCCTGACAAACACAATGAATACCTTCAGCACGACCCCCGAATCCAAATACAACCCCTATGCTAATCCTAGCTTCTCACCTAACGGCAACAAGATCCCCTCGACTATTCGAACCGTTCCCAGCTTCGAGGCGCCCTCGGATGCCTCTTCGTTAGACTCCCCATCTGCACGAAACAGCGGGTTCTCTAGTTCCGTCAATAGCAATGTTAGCGGCACATCATACCATTCTCAACAACCAACGCAAAGTACCTCCACCGTCAGATTAAAACCGCAGTCGCCTGGCCTGTCGCCACCGTTGCCGATATCGCAAAGTGGAAGTTCATACATGTCTACAAGCGATGCGACTTCTGGGGAGATGGAGATGACAGACGAGCCGGCCCTCTCTTTACAGGTCCCTGAGACCAACATGCTTGACGACCGGTCAAATAGAGCTCTCGATAGCTCGCCGCAATGGGACGGCGCTGTAGGCAAAGCCGGTCTGGGGAAGACGGGCCGGGTCATTAATAAGCTCGTGTCCGACAACGAGGCGTTAAAGCGGGATATTCAGATCGAGAGGTTAAAGGCTGAGGAGGCAAGACAAGCCGCGAAATTAATCGAGGATAAGATGGAAAGAATGGTGGCGGACTACGAAACTCGGTTATTAGAGGCCAACGTAACCAAGACGCTGCTAAGTCGCAAGGAGCGTCAGGTAGAGCACCTACAATCGGCAGTCGAATTGGAGAAAAAACGAACGGCAGATGCTCAAGAGCGCGAGCGGATATGGCGCGAAGAAGTGGAAAAGAGCCGCCGTGATACAAAGGTTCAAGTAGAGGAGGCTAACATGCACGCGGCGCTGATGGACGGCAGATACAATGCCATCTCGTCACACTGGAAAGATCAAGGTGACGAAGTGAAGCGGGCGATGGCAGGCCTCGATGACAAGATTAAATCATTGGTCAATGAGCGCAAGACGGACGATGAAAAGATCAATGTTCTCCGCGATTTATGCGACCAGCAAGACGGAAACATTCGAGACCTCCAAAGGCAAAAGGAGGAAATCGCTCGGCAATTCGAGGCTTACAAACGTGAACAAGAACAAGCATTGAGGGACATCAAGACGAAGGCACGAGAAAGAGAAGATGAGCAGCAGAGATCACTTGAAGAAGCGAAACGGGTACTTGGTCAACTCAAATGGGCGTTGAACGTGAAGCAAACCGTGAAGGATGCCCAATAATAGATTACCCAGCCCGCCGCACCTCTTCCAATCACCCGAACGATGTGGACGTATCATGGATTTCACGGGCTTATAGCTTTCCTTCGGGCCAATTTTCTTTTCTCTGTATCGTGTCTAGTGGAATTACGGCTTTGAAATTGCAATACCCTTTTCATTTCTTGGTGTACCTCCAAGCGCATCGGAAAGGCGCTAGGAAGAGGCTATCACTTAATCACTCTGGATCGCTTCTTGCCTCTTATGGCAACTATGATGATTCCTTCTTTACCGAATGCACAACCCAACCCTGATGCTTGATCGAATAGAGTGGCTAGGAGCAGGTCAGGAAAAGGCGCTCGAAAAGAGCTCTGGTCTGGATATGTTACGATACTTGGACTGGCGTTGTGGCGAACAAGTTTTTATATGGTCTGAAGTTAGAGTCAAACTCTGCAGGTCGTGGCATTATCACTTCATCAGGCACTTCATTGGTCAGGAGGGCAGAGAAAGACCCTCGGTTGGCATAGCAAAATATGTACGAATACTTACATTCACGACCCTCCCTTCTCATACCCTTTTATGTTGCATATACCCGGGTTACCAACTTATAGAAAGTTTTTTTTTCGTTGAGCATTTTCTCGATATTTTACATCTGTCTAGAATCAAAATTGAGTAACCGCAGTGATGAATACCTTTGATGTTGGTCTAACTCCAGTCTCTTGCTCTTCAGAGATGCTTGATATGTATAACGCAAACTTTTTATTGTCCTTTTCCCATCCTGCACTTGTCGGGAGGAAGGGATTACAACTGTTGAAATACCACTTAATAGATGAAACGTGAACCGAATAGATTATTGTACAATTAGATGTTGAGCAGCTCTCATGTGAAGGGCACCTATGAATACATGCCTTATTCAAACCAAAGATCCCCCGACACGTATTTCCAAGTGTCAAATGACTGCTTTACCGTGCTATTAACAATAGACATTACCAAGTCCACGAACACATTTCTACATATAAATTCGTAGGCGACAAAGGTTGCACCATAAAGCCTGTGGTGGTGGAAATGCAAGATTGATATTCCTCATGTTTTGAAAGTATTCTCATACTTCCTTCCGTTCAATAATGGGCTACCGCACGCACACCCAAGAGCATCAATGTCTTATTCCCAAACAAGCTGCTTTTTCCATGCAACTTACCTAGTACTTTCAGCGGTATCATAAGTACTTGGCTTATCAAATATGCGTGCCACAGACAATGTCAGGTCTAATCACAATGTTAAAACAGCCGACAATTCACTGATTACCTTCATGACATTGATACAAAAATTGCTATAAGACTCCGATCTCCTATCCTACCAAGTCTCCCCCTATTTCGGATATTTTTCGGATAATTATAACAACCCCTTTATACTTAGTAGGTGATCTACTACAACAATCATTTACAGTATGCTATCCTCAACCATAGTAATAGTATCTATTTTTATTAATTGGGTATGTTTAAATACTTGACGGGTTAGCCTTTGGCCTCCTGATCTGCCTGAGGTTTGGTCGGATCGAGGCTCAGTTCATGGAATTACTTATGCCTAGGTGCTATGTTATAATTTAGCTTCAGAGCACTTCCAATGAGCCTCAAGCTTCTCACATGATAACATTGCTATAACCATACTATTAAGCCTACCTTACAACACTGAGATTGAACTTCCTTGGTTGTTCTCAGTGCAAGTGCAAATATCATCGTCGAAATACCTATCCATAGGGACCATGATTGGTACCATGCAATTTTGTGTTGGTTGGATCAACATAATCTATGTTTCTAAGTCTCATCACTTCAGTAAAGAGCATACCCTCTTCATTCACTTATTTATCTAAATGACGGGATGCTTATAGGTAATATTAGACTTGCTAGCCAGACAATCAAACTCACAAATCTTCAGTATAAAGGCACTTGGTAGCTTAATCTATTATTGGATGTCTAGATAAGTAGGTATTTATCTGAATAGATCTTTCTAGAACTACCTAGAGGTCCTAACATCAGTTTAGGTGGGGGCCTTAAAAACTAGCTAAGTCTATACCTATCTATTCAAGCGAACCATCTAAACAACATAGACGTCTTGTACAGGCAGTTTACCTACTGATATGTAGTACTTCCTGCTTATATAGTAGGCACCTATATAAGTTTATATGGCAAGTTCATTTATATACCTAGTATTCAGGTAACATCCCCCTATTCTGTGTACACATCCTATTTACCCGTACCTACAGATAGATATAGACACACAGGTAGGTAGGTAGATACCATTTGGCGAGGGGTATGTCATGGATAGTAGCTTCCTACATATAGAGCTTGATAAAAATGAACTCATATTGAAGTCATTCCTGAAAAGGACCTACTACATACATAAAGATGCCCCAAGCACTAGGTTCGATATGATGTCGCCTACTTAAGAGCATGCTTGGAGTCATAGGAAGGTGCATATCGGCGACATGATGATGACGGGAAGGTCCTCCGAACTTCAATATCCACTTACCCTTACAAATCACCGAACTCTCTCGGTTGCTCCCGCCCTGGAGAATCCGCTCATGGGATAAACAGAACCTAATAGTACAGTGACACTAGTACCATTGGAGTGAAGAGTACATATACTTTATTTTCAATCTTCATCAATTCACTATACTATAGTTATGTATTGTACACAAAGTAGAGCAACCTAGGTACGCCTTTGATTAGTACTTGGGCTTTCAAAGGTCACTAGACCTAATAAGGTCGTGTTGTTCTGTTTATCCCACTACTTGCACATGGATCACACTGACGCCCCTGTTTAGGGAAGCCTGCCTTTGCAGAGTTGTCACTAGCACACTACCCACTACCTACCTACACCACTACCCAGGCACAGGGCTAACACGAGTCGTCAGGTCCCCCGAGTCTCAGTTACGCTTTGGGGTCTCTAAGTTGATATCTTTCAGAACTTCATCGTGAATCTCCAGTCGTCCCAACCCAACTTCATCAAAATCTTTCTGTCCACCTTACTTCATCCACACTACTCCGTTTCGCCTTACTTCGTGTACAAGACTTCGTCCATACCACACCTCATCATTGATCTCTTTTCGCCTATGTCTTTTCGTTCAGATCTCTTCGCACCGTATCTCACCGTCGTCTTCGAACTCGAGTTCGGATTCTGCGACTTTTCATTCTCTACACTTTATTCCTGTTCTCCTCTGCTCTGGTAAGTTCCATCTTTCCTATTTTTCATCTGGATTTGTTTTCATCCATACACTTGAAAAATCAAACCTTCCCTACCTCGTACCCAACTCAAGAAAATTACTACCTGTTCTACACTGGACATTGCACATTATCTGAGCCCTTCAGCCACAAAACTCTTCCTATCACTGAATGATCTGATTGATTTGATTTGACTGGGGTATCTTGATTAGAGTAGCTTTCAAAGCTATACTTTGGCCTACTCTTACTGGTAAATACGCGTCCCATTCACGTGGATTGCTTACCATACTCCCATCAACGTCATCTCGCCTACACTTCAATCACTTAATCACCATTTTTCATCTTCTTTTCCCTCGATTTAGTGCCTTGAACACACCTTGGTGCTTCCTTATACACATCTTCTCTACAGTACCTGCTGGAAGTTACCAGCAATTTTACAGGTCGATAATATAGTGATTGACACTGTATATACGTAAGAAATTTGCTGTTTTCTTGCACACTTTACCAAGGCGAGTCATCTATGATATCAACTGAGCTTAAAATTGTTTCCTTGTTTGTTCCCGCGCATGGACTCCCTCATATTACCTTCTGAAGATTACCCTGAAATCAGCATCAGAGACTAACATATCCCTTCATAGGAGTGATGACATCCAAAATGTCTCTGCTACAGCACCATGATCGGGGCGAAGCCTCCGTTTCCCCTCGGGTGTTGGAAAAGGTACGCAGCCAGTTTCCTGGCTGGGCAGCTGCAACCCGCTCTCGTGGAGCTACTGCCGCCGACGACAATGGACAGTCCGAATTCCTTCTAGCATCGAACTGGATGCTACGATCAGAAGGCCTTGCGGAGTTGTCTGATGGACTCGAGAAGGATATTGAAGTAAGTTTTCATTCGAAATCAATAACGTTACATTTCCATTTCTGATTAATTTACACTTGACTTTTATGCTGACTTAACCATAGGGAGTCCAAATCACCTACGATTCCCGACTTTCTTCGCTCCGTATCCGATGCTTAGCATCTGAGGAGGACACTGTTATGGCAAAATGCCAATCTTTACTGGACAAGATTGTCCAACGTGAACTCAAGGGAGGCTTGGTAAGTAACATATTGATATTATACTCAAGGTAGTATCTAACCATCTCATAGGCTATTCCCAAGCATGTCACTACTCCTGAGCAATGGCGTGAGGGCGCCTATGGTGCTTCTCAATCGGAGAAGAAGGACTCTGTAATGGCTTTGGCCCCCTCAGATATTCGAGGCTCCGTGTGCCGAACGGCATGGATCATGCCCGACAGCCTGGCACAGAAGGGCATTGTGGTATCGAAACTTATCACCAGCAAAGCCTTTGCGAAGCTACAACACCTCACAGGCTGCACAATGATGATCAGCAGCGATGGTCTCTCTATCCATATTGGGGCCAAGTTAGAAGAAAAGGTTCTTATGGCCGAGCGTAAACTTACTACACTGGCCAAGTACGCTGTGAGTTTAGTCATTTTCTACTTATGATAGATACATGTAATCTAATAATTCTCTAGGCAATCCCTTCTGAAGCCAACCTCCGTTGCGAGAGCTTTATTTATGCAGAGGACCAGCAAGGTGGACTTGCCAAGTTCACATACATGGTACACGGAGCAAAACAGAGTCTAAAGACTTTCTTCTTGGATCGCATGATTTACTCGCTGGCTGAGGGAAAATCCGCTTATGGAAGTGTCTTTGAGAAAGGAGTAGTTGTGACTCTATCCGGCGGTGCCACCACACCAACTCCTAAAGGAATAGGTGTCACTCCAGCGATCCTTTCCAAGGACAGAGATGAGCCTTACAAGGCCTTCTCGTCTGAATGGCGCTATAAAGCTAAGGAGGCATCCTCTGATGCAGCTTCGTCGGTTCCATTCGATCCTAACCCGCGTGTCACTTCATGGATTACGAAGTTGCCTACACCAGAGCTTATGTTACCTCACGGTGATGAGAAGAACACCACTGACCCGGACTCAGGTATTAGCAACAATCGCTCAAAAATAGCCGGTAGCTACGATGGCGAGCGCGATCTGACACAGAAAGAGATCCATGAGCAGCAGAGCAAACTGCTTCCTCATCAAATCAGCCAGGTAATCCCAACTTTGCCGAAGTCAAGCCATGAGGATTCCGTGCCGCTACCAGTACAAGAGGTTATCTATGAGCAACGAAACCGAACCCCTCATCAGGTCAACCAAGCTCCCAACACCGTGCCAGAGTTAAAACAAGAGGAAGCACAGAAGACCACGCTGCACTCATCGCAAGAGGGCATGTCTGAGCAACAGAGATCAGGAACTCCCCGAGGTGCCCATGCAACGACTACGAGGGTTAAAAGAGGAAATACTGGTCGGAGGCAGGGTGGTAGAAGGCAAAATGGCCGCCAAGACCAGCGTAGGCGTAGCAACCGTGGTCGACGACCTTACCAGCAGCGTCCTACTGAACAACGGCGCATGAATTCAAGAAATGCCACAGGTCACGTAGCAAATGGAACGCCTGCACGCTTTCCGGAACAGAGTCAGGCTCAGGATCATGGCAATACTGCTCATTTGAACACTCAAGGCTCTACTTCGGCCCGTTATGTCCCACCCCATCTCAGGTACTTGCACCCCGTTAGTCAGACAAGTGTACCTAAGCAAGCATCTCAAGAAACTCCTGAAGTGCGCGAGGGTATCCTCATAGTCTTGGACTCCGATGAATCAGACCACGAAGAAAAGAGATTGGAGGAACTTCGGACCACAATTGACAAGCTGGCTGAAGAGACTACGACCGAAGCAGGAGAAACCAACTCTCTTTCAACCCAATCCACAGCGATGCCCGCTAACTCTTTCGTTGATACCTGGAATATGCACTGCCTACAACAATGCCTGCCCTCGATTGAAACTGACAATCAGAATCATGGCGGCCTAGCTGATAGCAGCAAAAGCCCGACCTTCCACAGTACAATGAGACAACAGGCAAGTGCTCGAACTACTCGACGACTTAATCCATCGCTGGGTAAGGTGAAGGCGTCTGAGGACCCAGCTCCCCAGTTGATTGGAGCCATGAGCCAGAAGATTGTCCGTATGATGAGCTCATTAGAAGTATTCCATGGCAGAGTTTCTCTGAAAGCTGAGATTGGACGGTTCTGCCTCACAAAGATCAATCGAGGTTATGTACAGGCACAGGGTCAGGGTGAGCCCCTACAGGATATCAAGGTGGCCCTGGACAAGCATCACACTAACCCCCGAGATGTTATGTTCACAAACGTGCTTACCGCAGAGGGAGCAGATGCAAATTACATTGCATTCATGAAAGACAGCCTCGGAAAGAGAATCTGGACCGGCGACACTCGTCGCACCGTCTACGAGATCACCTGCTGTGCTCTGACCGCAGATAATAAGTATTGCAGATTCGTTATCGAGGTTGACGGTGATGATTTCACCTGTCAAGTCCGCCCGTTCCCTACCGACTCGTGCTCCCTCTTCGTGCACTGTCCCAAGAGATCGTGGGACTTCAAAGTTGCTCTAGCTAAGTCTCAAGACTTAGGTGAGGACTTTGCTGGGTTCGCAAAGGACCTTATTCGCAGCATGCGTGTCGCGTAAGTGAGAATGCTACCACGATTCTTTTTTACATATTAACTAACACCGTGCAATAGGCCTCAACCATCAGGAGTACCCTTCGTGGAGTTTACCATCAAAAAGGCCTACAATGTTGAGATGTTGGCACTCCGCACACGCAACATCGCGTCTTACACCAAGTTCAACACTACACCAGACGTGATGGAGATCTGCGAGGTTCATGATATGGGCCCATCCGACATCACAGAGGATGACAGCAAGCTTACCGTTGTGTTCCAACAACGTCCCGCATATCAGCAACTTGGCCAACTAGGAACCTGGTATGAGGTTTCAATGCAGTCAAAGACGGTTAACAAGGCGCTTCAGCAGAACCGCGACCTCGAGTTAGGAGAAGAAGTTGACTGGTCTCCGGAGAAACTCCAGGAATCTGGTGCGTTTGACGAGCTGATCCGTTCTACGATGGACGTGGTCAAGAACATCGATGGAGTGGGTTATTGGGGTGATAATTACCAGGACACAATGATCCATGGTATGCCTCTAACTGGTTCTACGGCATTTTCGCAGATGAGCGGCACTGCGATCTCTAAACTTTCAGTTTGGTAATTTCCTCAGAAGTTTCGTTTCAGTATCGCGATTCTTTCTTACCTGGAAAATCTTCTTTTTCCGAACCTATAAATAAGGACGACGTATAGGGGGTTTGAGGAGGTTTATATCAACAGTCCCGTTTCCTTTCTCTATCAAGGTTTCACTATAGCCTAGGAACCCAGTTATTAAGGTGGTGGTTGACATGTTGGGCTATGCTTTTCGACTTTCTTGCTTCTTGCAAGCTCGGAGAATCTCGCAAGTAGTCAAACAAGACTACCAGCCCCTACAGATAGTCAGATAGGTACACGGCAATCGTAATGGCTTTTACATGGAATTGAACTGTGTTCTGTGTGTTCGTGAATCCCGTAGGTTTCTACACAACACGAAACTCATAAGGTACTGTATCGCCCTCCGCCTCGCGCTATTCCCTTCAAGTTGACATGATATATGCCAAAAGCAAGCCAACTCCAAGACTTCGTATTGTAAACGAGTAAATGAAAACATGGCTACACGATACTTAATTAATAAAGAATTAACTTACCGGAGGACGTATGTCCGTAAAGTACCTAGTTAAGAGCACGACGGCAAGACGCACCAGGACTACTGACGAGACCCAAACTCATATCGACTGGAAAATGCTTGCATTTCTAATGGGTATTCTATCGTAGAGGCGGAACACACGTACACACATACATACATGCATAAACACGCGCGGAGGAACGTGGTGCGAACAGTAAGCAAGGCCCATCGTCCTCGAAGCTTGAACGGAACTTCAGCTTCATCACCTTCACCCCCCGACTTCCTCCAGGTTAAGTCTTTAGCTAACCTACTAACTTACCAAGGTACCCAGACAGGCAGGTAGGGAACCGACAACACTTCACCAACGGATATTCAACCAACCCTCCTTCTCCCTCTCTTTTTCCTTCTCTTTCTCCCCATCCTTCTTCATCCTCACCTCCCTATTCTCCCTCGCCTCTTTCCTCACCCCACCTCTCTCCCTGTTATCCCCCCTCTCGTTACCGTCATCAACCCCCCCTTCTCTTACCACTCCTACTCCCGCCACCGCTCCCGTCCCCCCAAGCACCCCACGTATCCTAGCAACAGTACTCCGACTCCGTCGCTGACGCCCGCCGTCCTAAAGCGCGCTCAGGTCGAGGGGAACGCTGCTGCCGCGGCCGGCCCGGTACTTGCGGGGCCCGCCGTGGAAGTGGCGGGGCTTGGGGAACTCGGCCTCGTCCTTAAAGCGCCATCGGCTGTCCTGCACGATGTACCGCTCCCGCGGCTCGCGCGGGCTGGCCACCCCGCTGCCCGTCGGCGTCGGGCTCGGGCTCTTGCTGCTGCCGTTCGGCGCGAGCGTGTACGAGCTCGGGTCCAGCATCGAGCGCAGGGTCGAGCCGGCGCGGTTGCGCGTCGACGCTTCTCTCGTGAGCGAGGTTTGCGGAGGTGCGGATGCGGGAGGAGGCGGTGGAGGCATGGAGGTTGGCGAGGAGCGACCTCCCGTTGCGGTTGCGCGCATGGCGGCTTGGAGGGCGATGTTTGGTGGTGATGGGGCGTTTGAAGGCGCTGCTGATGGCGGCGGCGGTGGAGGTTGTGAGCGCGCCGGCGCGACAGGCGGAGCAGGTGGTCTCGGAGCCGCGGCTGGAGGTGGAGGAGGCGCCGAAGGTACAGAGGGCGCGGATACGGGTGGCGGGGGTGGCGGCGCAGGGGCCGCGGACGGTGGTGGTGGTGGAGGCGCTGGGGGAGCCGGTGCTGCTGTTGGGGGAAGCGGTGGAGCTGGCGGTGCATGCGACCCGGGTAAAGGGGGCGGATGAGGAGGGTGAGAGTGAGACGACAAGGACGCAGGTTTCCTCGATCCGGGAGGTGGGGGCGGTTTCTTCCCAACCGGCGGTGGGGGGCCTTTCGAAGAGGACAGTGATACGGATGAGATCGGGCGTGGAACGTCGCTATGTATCTTTCTGAGGTTTGCTACAGAAGCGTGGGTGCCTGCTGTCGGGGGCGCCGGCACTGCACGTCCTGGCAGCGTGGGCACGGCCGGAGCTGACCCGATGGGCGGTCTGGGTGCCGACGGTGGCTTTGGTGACGATTCGGAGTCGGATAGGTAAGACGCGTTTTGGTTTGCTGTGTGGATGGTGAGTAATCTATATCCTTAAACTGAATTAACCCATTAACTTACCCCCAGTATCTACACCTCCACCACGTTTCTTCAACTTCGGCATGCCGCCCGCGAACAAGCCTGCCAACTGGGGCGCCGGCTCTGCCGACGCTCCATTATCACGGCCTACAAAATCGCTATTGCTTCTTGCTCGGTTGTGTCCTGGCATCCCTGGAACCGGTGGTGCACCACTCGGAACCGCAGGAGGCCTACCCAGGCCCGGAACAGGGGGTGCTCCGCCAATAGGCGGCCCTCCTCCGCCTCCCCCTGACGAACCTGCGACTATAGGAGCGGATCGATCGTTCGTAACGGTCTTCTTTAAAGCTCTTCCCTTCGTTATGTCGGTGAGCAGGGCACCTCGACCAGCACCGGATGCTGGTGGTCGTGCTGGTAATCCTCCGGGCGGTGGAGGAGGCGGTGGCGGTCCTCCCATGCCTGGGAGCGGCGGCGGTGGAGGAGGTGGTGGAGGCATTTTGGAGTATTAGCTCCCGTTCTCTTAAGTTGTCGATACTATCAGTCTCGTAGGCAGGGTATCAAAGTATCGAGTCGATGAGGGTTGGCAAAGGATAGGAAGATAGCCTGATGGGCCGTCACCATGCGTGGGTATACAACTGTAAGAAGATATGGCAAAACCGTACAAGTTTCCCGAATAAGGTAAAATGAAGTAGCGATGTATGGATATCTAGCTTCTGACTACAATGGTGTCTTAGTACAAGAAGGGAGCAATCGTAAGGACACACGATGCAATTCAATGGCAGAAATGACAGACTGGTGCCTTATCGGTGGATGGTTTAGGAGGCAGAAGGATAAGTGAATCAATTTATGGGGCGACGTTGGAATTACTGGTCGTAACCTGGAAGCTTTTCAGCCGCCCGCTGTCGTCACATTGTGGCGCAAGTTGCCCCGCCAGGCGCTTATCGATACGCGACTTGTAATTCAGACATGCGATCCTTGTCATTACGAGTAACAGAGCATTGTGTGCTCGCTCTTTCTATTCTGCCGTTTTCCACCAGTGAGATAAATTTTTATTTAGAGTGATAGCAATTGCCGTATCACGAAATAGAATTCAAGACGAAGTCTCTTGGGGTACCCACCAATGATAAGGGATGGAAGGAGCCTACTACATGGTAGTTTCTGCCATATCCTATAGAAGCATGTTTTCAATTTCCTTTTATATGCATTCACTATCGCCATAACGGTGTTCTGCAGTTAAAAGCAATTCCATATCCAATGAGAATAGATTTTACTAATTAGCATGTCTCAATTGAACATCTTTCGCAGCATCATCCCTCATCGCGTCAAGTTATCCTTTCCACCCTTCATCATACTTCTATTGCTTGTCGCCGAGTCTCAAACTCGGCAATTATTGTAGCAATGCCTCGACCTGCTCCCGTCCCTCGAGCACGGACGGTATGCCAAATCTGTGATTCGGTCGTCGGCCGTCGCTCATACTCTACAAACCCCACATTGAAACCTCACAATGCCGCTGCTAGGCCTCGAACTCAAATACAAAGAAGTATCTTGAAGACAAATGCAGTCCAGAAGCGCCTGCTAGTCTCAGGTATATTCCCAACTGAAAAGCCCAGTGCCAGTTCCACATATACTCGCAGTACTCTGGCTGAAGATGATAACAAAATTAAACCAACACCTAAGAAAGCAAGAGAGGAACTGTCATCTGTCACAAATATGATGACGTATATCGAAAGAAGCAAATCCAAAGTGCTCACAAATCGAGGTATACCATCGGAAGCAGACGTGGACACAGCTCTCCAAGCGTGCTGGGTCGTAGCGGATTACATTATGGACGATACTGTACAACCACAAATCACCCATATGGTGAATGAGCTCGACTCGACTGCATCCGAACTTCTGTCGTTAGATCGCACAAGCAATTCTCGCCCTTCTAAGTCACCAGAAACCCCCAGCATCAGCATGACGGCCCAGGTCAAACAGATCACTGACAAGATATCTCATAACGCTTATGCGGTAATATCTCACCCACCTGTCTTCATCACGCCTAAGCTGCTTGAGAAATATGTCAAAGTTCAAGCCCGTCTAGGAAAACCGGAAACGCTCCCTAGAGTGTTCCAGATGTATGCGTCGAAACCTATGCCCCGCGAATCTAAAGGATCAATCAACTACGTAAAGCAGAATCCGAACAAGGTAGCAAATGCCATCGACCCAGCGGTGATCGAGAAGGCGCTAGACACCGCGATTGAAAATAAGAATCTAGATGCGGCGGTTGCTATTATAGAAAACAGTTATGCTACGAAGGCCTTTGTTCGAAATAAGCTCTTGCGCAAAGGCCTAGTACCAGGGGGAACATTGGCGGCGACACCAGTGGCAGCTTACCTCTTGGCTACAAGTTTCTCTAATATACAAAACACCATGGACGCCACATTTGCGACCAATATAGCATTTGCCGGAATTTTAGCCTACGTAGGTTTCACGGGTTCCCTCGGTATGGTTGCTTTGACGACAGCCAACGACCAGATGAATCGTGTCACCTGGGCTCAGGGAGTGCCTTTACGATCGCGATGGATAAGGGAAGAGGAGAGAGCGGCGTTAGATAAGATCGCTTGCGCGTGGGGTTTCCAAGAGAAATGGCGTCAAGGCGAAGAGGAAGGGCCGGATTGGGATGCCTTGCGGGAGTATATTAGTACGAAGGGCATGGTCCTAGATCGAACCGAGCTGATGGAAGGGATGGAATAGTAGATCTATGAGACTAATAATACTCCCGAGATCTACCTACATGACAAGTAGCACGAGATAACGACTCCACTAGGGGCATCATACTAGACGAAATGACGACTATGTTCAAGGATCGATTTTCGCCAAGGAGTTGACCAACGAGGTTGTTTCACTCCATCGGACGTGAGAAGCCAGAGAATTTGGTGTGCGGATTGTGGGAACCGTCTGAATGAGAGGTCATGATAAGCATGCCCCTATTAAGTTTGCTTCGGCATTACACTAACCCTGCGACCCTCCACATCTAGTCTCCCGTCTCGGTCTTGAGTCGAGAATCCACTGGCTCTTCCAGCCCAGGCCCTAGGAACCGATCCGTACGGGGGAGGGGTGTTGTACCAACTATTGCGCGCATCGCCAACGTACTCCGCCTCTTTATCACTTTCACGGCGCTTTGTAAAAACGCTCTAGATATACTTGGCATTCCTTTCTTTTCTTACCAACATATAGTGAGAAATATTCCTAAGCTCGAAGGTGCCCAAGGATGGATATCCACTATAGCCCAATGGACGGCTTCTTGGCACCCGAGTCAGGCTATCATTATATCAAGAACAAGATCAACCTTCGTCCGCCCTGGTTGCCCATAGGTTCATTCACGCACAGCTACGATTTATCTCTATCTCTAATTCAGAATGGGCGGACAGTTCTCCCCAAAAGATCCCATGAGATGTCCGCATTACGCCCGTTTTGCGGCTCACCTCGAGAGACCACAGTTTGACGGTATCTATTGGACATTCTTTTTCTCGGTAATATTTATCCTATTCGTCTCGTCATGGATATACCAATCGTAAGTGGCAAACAAACTCAAAAACAGAATCCCGAGTTACGTATTTTATTAACTATTTATCGCGTGTAGGACGATGAGATACCGAGAAAAACCAGAAAACTGCGAACACACGTTTAGGAGGAAGCTCAAGATTTCACTCGCATGGTGCACGGCGCTGTTCTTCCTTGCCGCCATCCTCCTAATATTCGAGGTTTTTGCCCTTCTAGCGCTACAATTTTGCGATGGGGAGGACCTCATGTCGCTCTATTGGTCTACGTGGACTATGCTCCAGCTCGGGTCCGAGATTGCGATCCTGGGCATCAACCTGGCTATGTGGCATCAACTGTTTAATGTCCGGCAGCCGTAAGTTCCCTCGTCTACTATTTTAATGAGTATCTATTCTGTTTCATAAATAAACCGCTAATAAACCCTTTAGGCTCTGGGCACTTGCATTGGGCACCCCGGTTCTTGTCGTTGCGGGGATCGGTCACATCATTCACCTTGCTCTCCGGATGTTTTATAAGAAGGCCAAGAAGAGTAGACGGGCAAGTAAGGATGTCCGTGGAGAAATGACAGAAGTCTCTGCGTCTTCCTCTTCAGCGTATGTCCCCACCGAATAATATACGTCACAGACGCCGGGTACTAATTACGAAATTACCTATCTTAGACCAACCATTAAGCCCGAGCGCGAACACGTTGACCAAGCAAGCACACCCGCAACCGGGGAATCCATGTGTTTCGCGATAGATGTGGGTGATGACGAACGGGTAAGGCAGTGGCCATCTTTCGTCAGGATGTCAGACGGCAAGGCAATCGTGCGGCTGACTGCGATACATGCCTGAAACAACCATTTAATAGGTAGCCAGGCTCAATGATAGTTACGAATCTAATTTATAAACGATATTTCTTATACTCTTGACCAGCCGGAAATTGTGGCCAAGCGGTGTAGCTGTGCCAAACTGGTAGGTCCCAAGCTGATAAGGGGAGGCGGAAGACCTCGCCGCACAACGAAACGTCTTCTCATGGCTGGAACCCTAGCACGTCCAAGAGTTTACCTGCCCCAGATTGGTGGGGATCTTCATGAAGCCCAGGCCGGCTTTATCTAAACCTGGTGAAATAAGCGTCCTAAGTGGAAATTCAACGTATGCGCATGGGCATGTGAAGGTTCGTTAGTTTGGTATCTGTAGATTTGCCAAGGTGAGATCTTTTTCTAAAAGGGGGTGGTGGAGTGGGAAGGACCGGGCTTGTCTACCCGGCCGAAACGTGCAGATCCCAGGTTGGCCCTCGTAAAAGCAGAGCGGCTCAGCCGGTATATGTCATATACCAAGCATATACCAAGCGCGGCCAAGCTAAGCGTTCAAGGTTCATAGTTGAAATTTTTCGTAACGAGTCATTTCGTCACTTATAACTCTTTATATGTAGGTAAGATTAGTGATTTAGGCAGGTATGTACCTACTTCTGGACAATTCGATTGGGTATTCTAGAACACTGGCACGTTACACAAATGTTTGAGTTGGATAGCGACGAGCAAATTGGAGCAGAAAACGTCAGCCATAGATAGGGCTATAGGAAACATGCTTTTCCTCGCTACTTGGTAATTAAACGTGTAAGAGAACAGACCTTCCCATGGTCTTGGGCCGAAAGTTTCTCTGAAAAGCGTGCGCGTCACACCGAATAAGAAAGTGGGCAATGATATTCGGATGGGGTCCCCATAGCGGAGAGATCCTAGAGTCCGAACATTGGCATGGTATAGGATTACGGGGTTATTCTTTAGGTAACTTGACGTCTTCATGTTTATTCAGGTGTGAGACTACCTACGCTATATTAGAAATTCCGAGAACAAATTGGTTTGTAATCAGAAATGCCTAAAGCGAGATTTGGATTTTTAGTAGCCGTTCGGATTGCTTTATGTCGTTGGTCCCGGACGAGGGAGGGGTTAAGATCAGCGCAGGGATTAGGGCAGGCGCTTGCAGATATGCCGGTCAATGCTATGCTATGTTGGTTGCTTTGTCCCAAACTCATAGATCCCCTGGACCCATGAATGCGATGGATGAAACGAATTGGAATGTAGCGTAGTTTTGACTCGGCCGACTACACACGACCCGCGCGCCCGACCTGCAAGATCTCTCCCGTCAACCTCTCGTCGCTCCGTAGAACCGGCCAACTCGCGCCATCTGCCTTGTACAGGCTCACTTCTAGCTTCGTGCCCAGGATCTTATACGTGGACTTCTCCGCGTCGATCTGGCCGAACAGCGGAACGCTAGTTCTGTAACGCTTGGGCTGCGCATCGCTTGTGGGTAGGTCGAGCGCGATCGCCTGGGGCTCGAACTTGACTGTGGCGTTGTCCTTATCGATCTTCTTGAGGAAGAAAGATGCGATTACCGTCGAGGGCGTCTGGTAGAAATCGTGTCGCACAGTTTCTAGCAACTCCTCCCCGTTCTCGGTCGTCGAGGAATTTGCCGTCTTGGACTTGCTCTTCTGCTGGCCAGATCCGATGAATAAGTGTCTAGGTGATGTTTTACAGCCTTCAATCTTCATGAATTGGTCGAACTCTAGCACCCGTCGCTTGCAACAGCTGTATCCTTTGCTCCCTTCATGGAAGATAGGGGCGCCCGGGTGATGAATGCATTTCTCATCCTCTGATCGATCTTGGCCTTTCTTATAGGCCGCATTGCAGCCTTTCCGTCGGCAAACCTTCCCATCTGGGATCTCGAGAGACGGATTGTCGTCTTCGGATTCTGGGGGTGGTGGGGGCGCGGTAGGGGCTGGTTGGGGAGTTAGAGGTGCGCGAGTAGGCGCTGACACGGCTTCAGCAAGTTTGTTCGCGAGAGATTGCGAAGCTGGATCGAGGTTCTCGGGCGCCTTCTTCTCGATCTCGGGTGGTAAGTCCGTTGTACTGTGCTTGCCTTCCGTACAAGGTGGGATCTCGAGAAACTCGTCGAAGGTCAGGACTCTTGGTTTGCAGCATTTCCAGCCTTGAAAGTACCAAAAGTGCGTATTAGAGAATTTCCTGGCATTTCCCTCTAGTGAAATAACTGGACCACATACCTTTTTGCCCCTCATGAAAGATTGGAGGACCCGGATGGTAGACACAGACCTCGTCCGGATCGGTGAAGACCTTGCCGCAACCTTTGTGGACACATTTCTGGGCCATTATCGCGCACACGTACGATATTGTAACAAAATTTCGAAGCTCGATCGGCGGCTTAGTAAATCAGGCGAGTTTGGACTCGTCTTTGTTTTTGGATAATGCGGATAATTCATAAAATCACACACGGTTCGCAGGTGAAGCTGGTGGAAGCTACGAGAGCCTTGAGCTTCTCACCGCCTTCCCTTTTCGGTAGCTTTGTACTTGCCTCTGCAAAAGTCCCACACAGAAACCTCTAAGTATCTAGGTACCTATGACGTACCGACGTTCGATTGTCGGTATGCGAGAGTCGTCTATCGCGGTATAATTCTCCCTATTATTAAAAACTGTTGAGAAAATTGCTTTACTTGATAACTCTCCGATTGGTAGTCAGAGTACCGGTTGTACTTGAAATCGTGATGCGAGAAATCTGTTTGACTTTATGTAGACTTAAACTTATTGGACTCTATTTGCGACTGCCATTCTGCTCAAGGAAACAATAACAGTTGATAAACCGGAAGTCCATTTTTAGTTACCTCTCCATGTGGGGCGGCAGAATTTGAGCCCCGCTTAGTGGGGAAAGCTGAGATATTCAGTAATGAACAATATTCTCTTATGATATGTAATATGCAGGTACGATAGGTATCTCCGTACTAGATTATACCTCCCGGCAAGTTGGTTTAATTCACCTAATTTCATACCTACCTATGACTTAGCTTATACGACCATTTATGATAGATCCAAATAGAAACGAATTTCTCACGGATTTATAGCTCTTCGTCTTTGTATCCAGTCGACACTTCAAAATCGAAAATGCGAGCTACTTGTCGATTGCTTCAAGCCTGTAGGATCACGCTCTTCACGCGTGAAAACTGCGGGCTCTGTACCACAGCCAGGTCAGTTCTATCTGACGTCTGGGACACCCGGCCCTTCCAATTCAAGGAGGTCGACATCATAAAATCCGAATCTAAACCTAGTTGGCGAGATCTATATGAGTTTGACGTTCCCGTGGTATGTAAGTAGAATAAGTCTAAAAGACGTATCCCGACCTGATACATCCCTTTCATAGATACATATCAGCAAGTCTTCAGCACCGGAAGAGCATCCGCAGTCAGCTTCGAAAGCTATTAAACTCATGCATCGATTCACTACCGACCAAGTAAAGGCTAAGATGGATCTAGCCGAGAAAGCTTAATTAAGATGGCCTGCTAGATGGCCTCACTTATCTACAAAGTCAACATCTTATTCAGACACATAGATCCAAGTAAATCCTTTCACTGTCCGTCACGAGCAGGGACAGGGAAATATTAGCCCGCTCTAACTCCTTGCTCTCCAGGGACCCCCAAGGGGCCCCTAGTATCTACCACCAGTCTTCGGCGCCTGCTGTCCGCGGGCAGCACTCAGCGCCACGCCCAGCGAGGCCTGTAACAGCGTCGTGTCGAGCGCTGCGCTGATCATGTGGAAGCCCTTATCCGCGTACTCTTTAGCCTGCTCTCCGCTCGTGGCAAAGAAAGCGCACTTCTTGCCCGCCTTCTTCGTCGCCTCCAGGATCCGGTCCATAGCCTGCTCTAGCTCGGGCTTGATGACACCATTTAAGATAGGATGACCGATATTATTCCCCAAGTCAAATGGACCTATGAATAGGACGTCGACACCGGGAACAGCGGCTATCTCTTCGACGGCGTCCAGCGCTTCTTGCGTCTCTATTTGCACCATGGTTAAGAGCGAGTCGTTGGCTTGTTGCAGATATTCCGTCATGGACGGCACCGGGTTAAATCGTTCCATGGCAAACGGAGATCCTAATCCACGTTGGCCTTGGGGTGGGAATTTGGCCGCGGCGACAATTTTCTTGGCGTCTTCGACGGAACGAAGCAGTGGAATTAGAATCTAGCTTGTCAGTGCCCTTGTGTCCTAATAGCTCGCGCGTTACGTACACCATGTGCTCCAGCATCCAGAGCCCCTTTTTAGGCGTCAGTTACACAATATCAATGGACTATACATAAACGCTTACGCTTGATCATCCAGCCCTGCATATCGGGAAGTCTCACGATGGGACTGACGCCGCAGCTTGCAATGGCTGGAACAGCTTCGTGCATTGCAGCATCTACGAATTTGTCAGCTTTTAAACGCTATAAAAAGGAAAAGGGGTTATACCGTCAATGTTCCCGTGCTCGCAGTCTACCATAACCCAATCCACGCCAGCTCGTGCCAGCACCCTCGAGACATTCTGACCGGGCAACGTTTGCCAGAGTCCTATGCTAGGGGTTTCATTCTTAACGAAGGCATTTTTTAGTACGCACCCTTGAAGCATTTTAGAATATGGTCTTTTCAAAGGTAGTGTTTTGGAATGAGAGCAAAGATTGGATTTTCTAGGACTTAATAGCAAGGTACGGCTGGCGGAAGTAGCACACCGAGATATAGGTGGCATTAGTCTTACTATACCAGACATCTGACCCAAAAGCAAGGTTGTGTCGTAACGAGGTTATCGGGAATTCGTATTATCTTTCTCCAACCTCAGGATCTTCAAAGGAGGAGAATCGGATTCCTTCCCCCCTCGTTCATGTCGTATATAGCAAACTACCGAGAGCGGGGTAGTTAGTATCTATCTAAGATCCAGCATCCTTTGAAACATGCACTACTTCCATGTCTTAGGTAGTATCATACTGAAGATTACTCGGATTAACTGTGTAAATTATAGAACCATCCCACAATAGATTAGGAACAGTCGAAATCTCGAATACTGCAATTTTCTTATTTGTCATCGTCTGTTGCTTGTTGAAATATGCAATTGGTTTAGATTCATGTACGGTTACATCATCCCGGTTGAGGCTCATGATTTATATTACTTAGGAGGTATATATAAGCTTTCCTTAGGCGGGGAAGCATTTCATATAGACTTAATACAACTCTTACCTAGGTAGGTATAAGTGAAACAGCCAATGATGTTACTTAAGGAAGTTAAACGGCATGCCTTCCGGTCATACCGTCTCCGATCCGTGGCTTCAATTGTCCCACTTTTCCCGGGAGTGCTCCGAGTCGTGGCTGCGGATGAGTACCTACCTTAGTGCTTATTTACACAAGCAATGCGAGATTCTCCTAGAGTATATAGTGTATTTATTCTCAGATCATAGAGTCGAGGGACGTGAGGAAGACTTGTTCTTAATATAGAATTCAGATATGGTTTCCAGTATATTATCTGGAAACCGGTGTGCTACCTATGGTGGTACACCTTGTAAGTTATAAGTTACCTTTTGCCATAACCCTTTCCCATCGACTCACCTCGTTCCACATATCTGTGTTACAATGGCGGAGCGGGGATATACCTTATGCTAGCGTGTGTGTACATGCCATCGTCCTTTCTATATATGCCCTAACATTGAATCCATCCCAAATCATACTGAGTTTCCCTCGCTAGTGGAATGAACAACGCCGTTTCGCCCTGATCGCTAGTGACCTTCAGTTTCTAGAACCGCGATTACGCCGGAGGTATGGATGCCAACTTGGTACTTAGACGCCATAATTCGCCATCTTAGCCCATAGTACTCGCACCCTCTGAATGGACAGCTTAACACCGGTGTCTATAAAACCCCCACGAACCCCTGGCTATGGGGTGGATAATCATGCTGATAAGTAAATGCATATTTCAAATATTGCGAGATGCGAGTAGCATTTGATTCGACATGGTTGGACAATGCACGGCAGAGTGGAGAGGGTGAAGCTGGTAAAATCGTGACTCGTCCCAGTGATGCTCAATAACAGCTACTTCGTGCTCCTCATATTTCAAGGGGATGGGCGCGCGGTGTTGTCGATTAACGCGCTGGGATCGAGTGTTCTAGAGTGCGACATAAAAGTTTGACGGGCGGCGAGGTCTAAAGCTGCCGTTCCCCCGGGCATATTCTGCATGGCGGTGAACATTTGACTCAGGAGCTCGATGTGACTGACAAAGTTACCATTGTGGCTGGCTTCTTCTAAGAGCGCCGTCTCGGCCGCCCAATCCGCGCCCCAGACGTCCGGCGGTATGACATCCCCCTCGTATAGCGCGATTCGAAGCGGCCATTGCAGACGCGGCCACCATTCTTCGTCATCCGGGTTGAATAGCGATATGATGCCCATAACTTCGCGGCGCGATACCCCTTTCAACCACCAGACGCTATCCAGACATTTGAGCAGGCCAAAATAGCTGGCAAGGATGGCGAGAGCGCGGGGACGCCGGATTTCGAGCAATTCCACAAAGCGACGCGAAACAGTGGCGAGAAATACGAGCGGGGCACCAGTATGAGGTATCTTATGAGCCCAATCCAGAACTGCGACGGCGTGCCGGTACGCTTGACGCGTTAACTCCTGACTCTCCGGGTCGTCATCCATACTCATAATCTCCTCTTCGGCACCATCTAGGAGATGTCCGAAGAAATTCGCATTCTGTCCCGAAAGATCGAGGTTCAGGGCCGGTTGGGACTCTATTATCGGGACCACGATACCACTGTGACGTAGCCATTGCCAACTAGCAGCAACGACGGCTTTCACGCCTTGAAAGGAATGGAACCATGATAGCGGCAGGACATATCCGTCAGACCGGTCCTTAAGGTCACCACTATCATCGCGAGAGAAAATGCGGGATGCCGTAGACTGGAAGGCGATGAGAGCCGCGGTAAGAAATAGCGCTTCGGCGTTCGATTCGTTGATACCCTTGCTTAGACTTGCGCCGTATTCGGATAGGGTAGATGCCATATACGCGTGGCTGGCGCGCACTAATTCTTGGTCCTGTGGTGAATTATATCGTAAATGGAGAGCGGAAACGGCGAGAAGGGCATCGGCCAAGAAATTGGCGCCGGAAAAGGCCAGGTTCGGAACGGTATTCCTCCATATCCTCTCGCTTACCGGCGACGATATGGCGAGGGTTTCGCAGGTGATGGTTGTATAATGGTGAAGCAGCTTAAGTTCCATCATGCGACTGCTTTTGGTGTTTGTCGTCAGGGGGAGGGATTCCGGATTTCGGTACAGGGGAAGAGGTGTTTCTGCGTCTACGGATGGTGTTGGTGGAAGAGTACTCGTCGACGGGCTGTCGCAATTGCTGGTGGATGTCGTTGGACGGGGGGTTTCGGCGGGAGTAAGGGAGTCGGCGACGCCAGGGTGTTCGAAGTCGCAAGCAACGCCATGTTTTGTACAATTACCACATCTAGGATGAACTTCATCGCACTGCAAATAGTGGTCAGGAACTGTCAGTTCTGCGCCGACCCCTTTTCGAATGTGACTGTTCAAGGCTACGTACCTTTATCTTCCTGGCCTTACATCTCCGACATCCAGCACGGGATTTCTTATGGGATCTCCTTGGAGGCATTGTCACGCAAGATCATAACTGCTGACGAATGATAAATCTATTATTTCTCCTATAAGGGCATATGAACGAAGCCATCGAGGTTGACGTCGATGTCGATTTCGATGTCGATGCCGATGTCGTTTCTAATCCACATGTGCAAGTAACAAGTTTACAAGCATTAGATTTCCGGATGCCGAGCGGGATACTCCCAAGGTTGTGACCAGTCGACCGGTGACTATCTGCAAGGTCGAAAGGCAGATACGGATTTTGCGGGTTTGCGGGATTCGATTGGGGCTTTGTGGGGCGCCGCGGGTCAGGTACCGTCAATTCCATTCCTGCCATTCCAACTTTCAATTGTACGTGCAGGTGCCAGGTGGGTTTCCTTCCTGCCTTCAATACCTTACTACCACATGCTAAGCCACTCGTCAAAAGTTCGCGGCAGATCCGGGGGTTAATTATCAGCCAACCGTTCTTGTTTCATTATCTTAGCGGGGCACTTTATAATCTTCCAAACAAGGATTCTTCAACGCAATGTATGTAGTACGTATATGTACGCCCAATACGCGTATAAATCATACCTAGCCCACCATACATAGCCCTAGCGACAAATTTGCATAGGTACCTACCTAGGTATCCATGGATGTCACATATGCCACCACAGATGCACTAATATCAGGCAGCCACATTCCCATCCGTCCAGCCGTCCGTCCTCCCCTTTCCCACTTCGGATGGTGTTACTCGCATGAGCCACAGGTTACGATCTCATTCGGTTCGGCTTTCTTACCCCCTCCGAGTTGCCGAACCTATCGTTACAAGGCATTCCGGCAAACAACCTCTCGGCACCCAAATTGTCCCTTTTACATCACCAAGCCCGGAAACATATGCAGCCGTTAGATTGCCCGAGAAGACTCTGGTAGTCTACCTGTCTGCCTGCTCGACACAGAGCATGATACGACCTGATTCTCACGTAAGCCTCAGTCAGGGGTAACCGTGAATCAGACCCTTCTTGGTTACGAGTGCCTAAATCTAAGAGCCGCATCATATGATCGCCTTTGTTGCTCCTTCGTCGAAGCTTAATTCTTTCCATAGAATTCTTTCGATATGGCGATCTACATTAAGCGATTAACGTGGCTCGGCCTCTTCGTCGCATTTTGCTTCGCACTCTTCTGGAGCCGAACATTTTATGGAACGACGAGACTGTCTGACCAATTATGCTCTATTGTAGATGTTTGTCGAACTGATCCACCGGATCTCTTTTCGGTTGAAAGTACTCCCGTCGCCCTCGAAGGATATGGAAACTTCACCGGAACCACCATAAAGACTACATTGAGTGGTGTTGCGCTTCCAGCCCCAGTTGACGCTTGGCTCGGTATCGACTACGCCACTCAGCCTATTGGTGAAGGCCGTTTTAGACCCGTTGACTGGCCCGCTCCATTCGACGGTGTGAAGCCAGCTGCATCATATGGGAAAGCATGTACACAAGATACCAAGTATGTCAATATAGAGGCTCAAGGAGAGGCATGTCTAAATTTCAACGTATATCGGACGCAGGGCGTTCCGTTGAGCAAGAAACTTCCGGTTTTTGTCTACATCCATGGCGGAAGTTTCAACTTTGGAAGCAGTAAAAGTTTAGATGGGGCTGCCTTCGTGGCATCATCTAAGGAGCCAGTAATGGTCGTGAGTTTTCATTATCGCTTGAACTCCCTTGGTTTCCTCCCCTCGGCAATGTTCAGTCAGGAGGGCCTCCTCAACCTCGGATTGCGAGATCAGTACTTCTTTTTGAAGCATTTTGTGCAGAAGCATATCGCCTCCTTTGGAGGTAACCCGGAAGCTGTCACGCTTGGTGGTCGCTCTGCCGGCGCTCATTCTGTGGGCATTCACTACTTTCATAATTATGGCCAGGACGCCGGAAAGCCTTACATGGCCAGAACTATCCTTCAGTCTGGATCCGTCACTGCACGGACATTCCCAAATGCCACTTATCCCTTATACATTCGGCAATTTGAGGAATATATGACATTTCTTGGCTGTCCTATTAATGATAATGCCGCCGCCTTAGCCTGTCTCCGGTCCGCTAAACTCGCTGATATCAGAAAGATTAGCAGCAAGATGTATGATGACTTCCTGTACAATAACACGTGGCCATTCCAACCAACACAAGGGGGCCCAATGCTGGAAAAGTTTGGCTCTCAGTCTGGTTATGATGAGACTTTCTTTCATGTGCCAACACTCACCACCACTGTCACAAACGAGGGAAGATGGACAGTTCCAGGCGACAAGAAGACAAATGAAGAGTTCATAGAATATATGCACACAGGTACCCCGCTTCTAACCAATGACGATCTAGAGTTGCTAGCATCCTTATACCCAGACCCAATAACGAATATCAAGTCCCCTTTCAAAGATTCCCCGAAAGAGAAGGAGGCGCAATATGCCCGACTATCTGCCGCCTGGAGTGATTACGCGTATATCTGTCCCGGGCAGGAGACTGCGTATAGGGTGTCAACCGCTGGCGTGCCGACTTGGAAAGGTCGGTTCAACACGAATAATAGCTACCCGGCTTGGAAGGGCATTCCTCACGCGGCTGACGGGAAGTATACATGGCCCGAACCAAAGACCCAATACCCGGAGATAGGCCACGTGCTCCATGGATACTTGTCAAGCTTCGTCACGGCTGGGGACCCGAACACACACAGATACCCAGGATCTCCCGAGTGGCCAAGATATACGCCAGAAGGATACGGCCTCGATTCAAAACCGGCGCACCAGCTTGTTATCCAGCCCCATGATACCAAGGTCGAGACGGACGACATTCGCCGCGAGGCTTGTCTGTTTTGGAGAGATCCTGAGAGAGCGCCCCGACTGAATAAGTAATTGGATAGAGAAGACCCCGATTATCACCTCAATATACCTATATTCATATATTCATATCGAACTCCTATATCACGTATAACCGGAAGCTATTCGCCTACGTCGGCACGTGATCCGATGATGTGGAGTCAATTCGACCCCGAGCCGCTTGGAGAAGAGGAGTTGGGATTGATGGTTGGAATGACGTGATTCACGCTTCAACCGTATTGGTGGAAGTGCCAGGGGTCTCTTCTTAACTAAGTTTCCTTCACCGGACCTAAGATCCTCTGCCTTATATTAGGTTCCTTATTTAGAAATACTTTCTTCGGGTCGATCGCATCTCACTGCACCAATTCAAGACGATGGCGACTTCATTCAGTGAAATCCCGGTCATAGACCTCTCGCAAGCGAACCATAACTCGACCACCAAACGCGAACTACTAAATAATCTCCGCTATGCCCTTACAGAAGTTGGGTTTCTGTATGTGTCAAATCACAGTGTCCCATCGGCAGTGGTTGACGAGTTAGTAAATGCGCTGCCTGCGCTTTTTGAGCTAGAGGATGAGGTTAAGAAATCTGTCGCATTGGAGAATTCGCCACATTTTCTTGGTTATAGTGGTGTTGGCAGCGAGAATACAGGCGGTAAGACGGACAGGAGAGAGCAGTTCGAGTTTGCGACAGAGTTGACGGCAATTTGGCAACCCGGCCTTCCCCTATATGAGCGTCTACGAGGCCCTAACCAGGTAGATAAACAATTTTAATATTAGATTTTCAGTGCAGCGCTGATGCTTTATAAGTGGCCGGAAGGACACCCAAAGCTTCGCGCCGTCGTGGAGGCTTATATACAGGAGCTCACAAGACTTGGCGAACGTTTCCTAGACCTAGTTGCTCAGGCTCTTTCACTTCCTTCCGGTACTTTCCAGCCTTTTTTATCAGACCAACATCGTCTGAAGTTGGTGCACTATCCAGCGCTCCCGATTGATGATCCTACCATCTCGCAACAGGGTGTTGGTCCGCATAAAGACTCCTCGGGCTGGTGGACATTCCTACTTCAAGCATCGCCTCCCGAGGTCAAGGGTTTGCAAGTTCTCAACAAAGCAGGGGCATGGGTGGACGTACCCGTAGTACCGGGCACTTTCGTAGTCAACATCGGGCAGGCCTTCGAAGTCGTTACGAATGGCGTATGTAAAGCGACGACGCACCGAGTCCTCTCGGGTCCGCATGAGCGATACAGCGTGCCATTCTTCCAGGGCGTCCGTCGAAATCTCACCAAAGCCGAGGCCATCGGGTCTTTACAATCGCACTTCAGCACGCTTAATATCAGCAAGGAGTCCGATGAAGGTCATGCGGTCGACTCGGCTTTCCTTAAGGGTAGGTATGATACCTGGGGAGAGTCGCAGCTACGAACCAAAGTGCGCAGCCATCGCGAAAACGGCAAGAAGTTCTATCCTGAGGTCTTCGATCAATACATTCACGACGATGCTTGAAAAGACGGATTGGAAGTGCTCCGACCTCAAGGTCTTGGCAGGGGTAAACAAGCGAGATCATCATAGCATATTAGCATCAATTCGATTTACTGCTGCCTATTAACCAGATACATTTAATCGTAATACTTGGCCGCTTTGCCACCGATGATGACCTGCTCAGACACATCACTCCTCGGCTTATCTCTAGTGACTCCCCTCGCCACACGCGCCTTCACCCACTCTCCCGCCGTGATCCCAACCGCACTACCATCCGTCGTCTTATCATATCCCAGCCGCGCCAACACGTCGCTCACTACGGGCCGCAACTCGAGGCTGTCCTCCGGCCTCACGAAGTACAAGACGCCTAGGCGGTCTATGTCCGCCTGGTCCGGAGGCGGAGCCACCACGCGGTGGATGCTGCTCTTCAGGAACCCGTTGGTCAGGAACTCGAGCGAGTCGGCGAGGTTCACCGTGATCGACTCCGGGTAGGGTTTCACCCATTTCCACTCTCCCTCGGGGGTCCGGACTTGCAGCGCGCTGACGGGCTGTCTGAAGAGGAGCGTTAAACTGCCGAAATCGGTGTGGCCCTTTACCTGCGCGTTTGAAAATATACGTGTTAGCGACATGATGCTTAGTATCCGAGGAGGAGGGTAAGAGTAGGGACGTTCTATACATACCCACACATTATCCAGGATGCGATTCTGCTCTTCGGTGCGGTGGTGGTACTTCATGTATCGCAGGTGGCAGTCGCTCTTCTCCTCGTACCGGTGCCGCTGTAGGAAATAGTCCTCCGGCAGCTCTAGGATGATGGCAAATAGGACGAGAAGCTTGTTGACAATCCCGTCGTTGATGTGTCGAGCGAAACCTTCTATCTCATCTCGGTTCTGGTTGATGACCTCTGGATGTGGTCTTTCAAAAGCGGGGATGAACTTGGGAATGTTGTAGATCTCGGTGTTATCATATACCCCGGGCTTCACTTGCTACCGACTATATGAGAAGTTATATATAAGGGGCCTGGAAAAAAGACACTTACGCGAAGCCCCAGGGGCTTATAGCCATTGTAGCCCCCATTCTCAAGGTCCGCCCGATATTTCAGCTTCTCCTCGGTTGGCAGTTGGAATACCTCCTTTCCAATAGCGAACTGTCGGTCGACTTGTTCTTGAGTTAGGCCGAAATTGATGATGTAGAAGAATCCAATCTTCTGGATGGCATCGAAAAGTTGTGCCGCAAGCTTCTGCTTTCCACCCGGCTCGTCGAATTGGGAGAGATCCAATGTTACAAGATCCGCCCAGTCAACTATAGTGGTATGAAGTTAGCATATAACTTTCACTGCGGGAAGATTCGTGAAACTTTCTTACGCTCATATTTCGTTTCGGGAATCTGGCTATAGGTTGGTATACTTGTCTTCCCCTGGGGAATGTTAGCAGCGACGACGGCCATCTTTGTGTAATTGATGTATAGATCTACGTATTTCGGTTTAACTACTTATAATATGATCTTTGACTTAGGCTTTTCATGATTACACACGATCATCACGACCCAGGGGTATGGATCGATATATGCGTGCCACGAGTAACCAAGGCATCGGATCCGATGCCGACGATTTCCACGATGGCGTGATACAATTACCAACGTCGATTCCAAATGCATTCATGGGTTTATGAAGGCGAAGAGAGGGGACGATCGGTTCCAAGTTTCCGGGTTTCTACCGTCGTGGGTAGTTCGCGGGAGCTTATGCGAAGCTAAGCGAAGTCGTGATCATCCCGGGCGATGACGAATCCCGGAGGACACGATTTGATCGGTCGAGAGCTCCCAACTCTACCTCCCATAACTCCTAACCCCTACAATATTATCGGAAGAGCTTCCGGAAATAAAAATTTCCAGCACGTGGGTATTGTTTTGCTATCGAAGACATGAACGCGATGGGTTTAGTTCTGTAGAAACACGTCTTCTATCTAAGCTATTTCATCCACAGATACCTAGTAATAACAAGGTTCATTGCTTCTTATCGAACTGATACATACCTAGATATTCGTGATTATAGTGGGCAATGACTGTATATCGCCTGGCGGGTCCTTTCCAAATTGGTCCTCTGTTCGTTGATATGCTCTTCTCTTAAAAGACCCGTCCGTCTGGAACACCGCTGCATTGCATCGATAGTATATCTTGACGACTAGAATTTTCCGATCAAGAGCGGCCATCTGGTCATCCAACAAGCATGGCAACCGCTAAGACGCCCGATATCAAGACCTCGGAGGCGATAGGAGACTCTGGTTCTAGTAGCGTTGATGATGGGTTTCATCACGCCCGCAGAGGAGAAATAATCGACGATGTATCTGGTAGTGAAATTATTAATGGATACGAAGCGGAGCGTATGCGAGCGAGAACGGCTTTGACGGCGGACGAAGAGAGAAAGCTGATTCGACGTATCGACTGGCACCTCATGCCGTTATGTTCACTTATTTTCATGTTCAAGAATCTGGATTCCGATAATGTAAGTATCCTTTCCAGCATCCGCACATTACTCTATGATGGTAGACACAGCTAACTGGTAGCTAAAGATCTCGAATGCTCGTATTATGAATAAAGGAACTTCTCAAAATATCATGACACAGTTGGCATTAACATCTGATGAATATGCCTTGGTTACTGTTCTTTATTATGTAAGTTTAAGATAATTAGTTTCAGGCGGAAATGATAGCTTACAGTACATAATAGATACCGTATATCGTGGGAGAGGCGCCTTCTAACCTGCTTCTTAAGAAATTCTCTCCTTCGCATTGGCAAGCAAGGATTGTAAGTCTCTTTCGCATTACGCATCTTAACCAGAGGTTGAAGCTGATACTAATGATTACCGTAGATGGTTACTTGGGGGATAATGTTAGCGTGCAATGTTGCAGTCAAGAATAAGGAGGGATTATATGTTACGAGATTTCTTCTCGGGCTCGGTAGGAATCCCCTAAGCATCACTCGGGATTATGCTGATCAGTATTATAGCCGAAGCTGGAATGTTTCCGGGAATTATCCTACAAATGACATATTGGTACCGACCGGATGAGATGTCTCTAAGGCTTCTCTACTTTTGTATGTGCCAGTAAGACATATCGAGCTTCGATGGTGCTAACAAGGGACTTAGATATATGGGGAAATCTCAGTGGGATATTTAGTGGCATACTCGCATTCGCTTTCGACTATGCTTCAGGGGCAGGAGGTTTGTCTGGATGGCAATGGTAAGGTCCTACAAATCCGTACCCTCGCATCAGAATTTTAAGAAAAATACAGGTTATTTCTTACCGAGGCAATAGCGACGATCCTCTTCGGAGTCGCCATTTGGTTTCTATTACCGGATTGTAAGAAATCGTGTACAGAGTGACACTCATAGCACTGGAAACTGACAATCCATACTCCAATAGTTCCTCAGACATCATCCTGGCTTACGGATAAGGAGAAAGCATTCATCCAAGCACGCCTGCCCTCAAACGCACCAAGAGCCGCAGAACAGGACTTTAAACTGAGCGAGATTATCTCGTCATTGAAAGATAAGAGGTTATGGCTCTTCACTTTTATATGGGCATTCTTCACAGTCGGCACTTCTGGCGTACGCTTCTATCAACCAACGGTCATCGCGGACCTTGGCTTCACGTAAGTACCATACCTACCCCTGGTCGACGAAATTTCCCCCCGATGAAGATAGGGGCTCTCTGTTTCTAACAAACCTCATTTCTATAGAACGATCGCACAGGCACAACTCCTCAACCTCCCCATCACCATCCTCGGGCTCATCGTGATCGGCGTGACCGGCGTATTCGCCGACAACGGGCGCGTACCGCGGCCCGTATTCCCGCTCGTCTTCTTGACCATTATCCTGGCGTGCTACGGCGTCATGGTAGCGTACCCGAGCAACGCGGCCGTGTACGCGGCGACGATGATCGGCAACGCCGTGACGGCGGCTTGGTTCCCGATGATGTGGCCGTGGCGCGTGCAGACGACGAGCCGGGCGACCGGGTCCGCCTTCTCGATCGGCTTCGTGAATAGCTACGGGCAGATCGGCGGCGCCATCGGCCCCCAGATCTTCCGGTCCGCGTACGCGCCCCGCTACCAGGTCTCGTTCGCCGCCGCCATGGTGCTCGTCGGCTGCTGCATGGCGACCACCCTGGTCACCTGGTGGGTCACCCGCCGGACCGAGCGGGACACGCGGAGGCTCAAGCTCGCGAGGATCGCGGCGGCGAAAAGGGACGATGCGATTTTGGATGATGTGGTGGATAATGACTTGAGGAAGAAGGCTGACGGTCCCGCGGAGGTTTGATTTTCCCTTGGAAAATGAGATAGAAGCCCGGAATGTGTCCCTGGTTAATAGGTGTTGATTGCAACCCTTAGGATCGTGACTAGAAGATAAAAGGATCGGCTCAACCAAGAAATAGAAGAATCTAAAATCGAGATATCCCCTTCGAAATCCCACCTTTTTTACTAATCTCGTTAAAGCAGATGCTAAGCTAGAGTGTATTCTTTAGGCTTCGTCGGAACTTCTGGATGTAGTCGTAAGGCCCTATGTTAGTCAAAACCTTTTCGGAGGACCGTACCGGAAATCTGATGCAGATAACCCAATGCACCCAACTCCATTCACAGAATTATGGATCTATCTATACCGCATATATGGACTATACTTATGCAAGGGAGGAATCTATGTTCTCGCACAATTCTTGGTTGATTGGACAGCGGTCCATCCGCACCGAATATTGGGAATTGGGAGGGCAAGTCTCGGACGACCCCTGAATTGTCGAAATGGAGAATATCACCCTTCGGGGACGCTCGACACGGATGCGTCCTACTCCTGCGCACACAATAAGAGTCTCCACGTTCGTAAAGCGGTCTATCCCGAAGTTCTGATACTGCGTATAATATAGGTTAAGATTTCCCAGCCTCTAAGCCTACCCACACTTGCTCTTCTCGTGGGTATGTTGTATGGCCACCGGGGCTTCGGGCGCCAACCCGCCGCCCCAGCGACTCCAAAACCGCACATAATGACGACTCCGCGCATCTACTTGCAAACTTTGATGCCCTCGCAAACCACATCGAGGAGAAGGTGCTTTCGAAGAAGCGAGCTTATCGTCGGGCGAAAAGGTCCAGATTGCCGCATCAGAGTTTACCTTATGCACACCTATCACGGGTAGCCAGCCAATCACGTCGCCGATGTGGTTCCCATTACTTAAAAGGTGACCGTTACCACACCTCCGAAGACGTCTTTCGCGTCGTACACGTTCCACACTCCATAGCTCAAAAGCTGCACACCACGGACCCAAGACCTACATATCTAGGTACCATACTTCATGTTGTTCAGGCTATTACCTACCTCACCTACGCAGGCTCCATCGAATCAATATCAGACACAAAAGGATATATGTACGTAGGTGGGTGTGTGGACGGGATAGACAGTGCGTGAGCTGTCCTGTGCATAACAAACCCCAGAGAAGCACATCTGCGATATTGCCATAGGGTTATTTCCATCTTTCTCCACGCGCACATAGATGATGGATAGAACGTCAAATACCAGCTAAGAGAGAAGGCGGTCCACGGCTTCGTCCATACATCCCTACCTATGGGTGTATTAGCCGCGCTCCCTTCCTTCGACTTATCTCCCAGCTCGTGCTATACTCGGACGACTGATACTCGCAGCACGAGGAAACAGACGAGTAAGAAGCATGTGGGACGCCGTTCGCGAGTCCAGCATCGGACAAATCGTACGCATCGTGTTCCGCCGCCCGGACCTCTTGCCCTATCCGGAGGAGCTCGATTCCTTCGAACTGCCGGCCAGCCTAAGCCAGAGCCCTAGCATCGTGCTAGACAGCAAACTAGAAAATGAGCTGAAGAAGCAGGAAGGTCAATCCCGCTGCGTAGAGCAGTCCGTCTTCTCCACAGGCACGGCAACGCCTTCAGACGAGAAAGACCTCGAAGCCGGCGTCTTGGACGGCAACCCAACCATAGTAATAGCAGTACCCGTACCCGCCGCAGCATCGACGCCCGTCGAAGGCACGCCCCGTAATATCGACGGCCCACAGACCCAAGATCCCGCAGCGGTGGTAGTAGTAGTAGGCTGGTACTCGGCCTCCGACCCAGCGAACCCGCAGAACTGGTCCTTCGCCAAGAAAGTCTGGATCACAACGCAGATGGGACTCTACACATTCGCCGTGTACATCGGATCATCGCTGTACGCGCCGAGCGAGGCGGCAGTCATGTCCTCCTTCGACACATCCTACGAGGCCGCGGCCCTCGGCATCGCGCTCTACGTAGCCGGCTACGGCCTCGGCCCCCTCCTCTGGGCCCCGCTCTCCGAGATCCCAGCCGTAGGCCGTACGACGATCTACGCCACAACACTCTTCGTCTTCGCGTGCCTCGCGCTCGGCGCCGCCGTCGTCGAAAGCTTCGCGGCGCTTCTCGCGCTGCGCTTCCTGCTCGGCTTCTTCGGGTCGCCGTGCCTGGCCGCCGTGGGCGCGACCCTCGACGACATGTTCGCGCCCTGGAAGCTGCCGTACGTGCTGACCATCTGGTCGGCGTCGGCGACGCTGGGACCCGCCCTGGGGCCCGTCGTCTCCGGCTTCGCCGTCGCGGGGATGGGCTGGCGCTGGAGCGCCTGGGAGCTCGCTTGGCTCGCCGCGCCCGTCTGGCTCCTAATCTTCCTGACCCTGCCCGAGACGAACCCGGACGCGATCCTGCACCGCCGCGCCGCGCGGCTGCGGGCGCGTGCGGGACGCTCCGATCTGACGCTGACGTGCGAGGCCGATCTCAGGCGCGCCCATATGCTGACCACGCGGCAGATCGTCGTCGACGCGCTCATCAAGCCGTGGGAGATCAACGCCCTGGACCCGGCGGTTCTGTATACGACGATCTACTCCTCGGTGTTGTACGGGACGTACTATTCCTTCTTCGAAGCGTTTCCGCTGGTATTCACCGACATGCACGGGTTCAATCTCGGGGAGTCCGGGCTACCGTTCCTAGCGTTCATGCCGGGCTTGGTGATCGCTATTTCGGGGTATATAATCTGGTTTCGGCTTAACGTGGAGCCTAAGATGCACGAGGAAGCCCCGCCTTTGTACGGGGATCCGGAGAGTAGGTTGTTTCCTGCGGTGGCGACGACGATGCTCGGTCCGATTGGATTGTTCATTTTTGGTGAGTTTAAACTTAACCCCTACCTTGTGCAGCCGTCACGAAAACTCGTAATATCCCGTGATCTGAGGCCCGATGCTAATAAATTATCCTGGTTAGCATGGACTTCGCGTCCCGATATCCACTGGATCGTACCTATTATAGGCCTCATGGTGCTCTTCGTCTGCTTCGTGATCGCTTTCCAGTGCATGAATTTTTATATCGCGCGGTGTTACCCGAGATATTCAGCTTCCATATTCGCCGCCAACACCTTTGCCCGGAGTTGCTTCGCCGCAGGTTCCATCTTGTTCTCCAGACCAATGTACGAGAAACTCGGCGTCGGTGGCGGCGTAAGCCTGCTAGGAGGGCTTTCGGTACTCTGCGCTGGTGGTATGGTTTTTCTTTGGCGCTACGGCGAGAAATTAAGACTTAGGAGTAGGTTCGCTCAATCTTGACTATCGGGGTGGGTAGTCAGAATACGAGGCGTGTGTATATAAATAGCAAGTTTACGGACATCGCTCTAATATCTAGAATAAAATAAGTAAAGGGACTTGACCAGGCTTTAAGGTGGATTGAGTGTATGTGAAAGGCACTGAACTCAAATTGAAGCCACTATCGACCATGCTGTATAACCCGTGCTGGCGGATAGTATAATACAATGCTATAATACAAGCCGATGCTGATGTGCTAGACCGTGGGGTCTCCCTTCCGAAGGTGCACCTTTAACGTATATATTCGAAGCATAACGCGCGGTTGCGAGCTGGGCCTGTCAGGTCGAGCGCGTCGGTATATCCGCCAACCTCGCCGCATCCGTCTACGTAGATTGCCTCCAGCCTACTGAAGGTATCCACTCCTCTGAAATTTATCTCAGTGATCTTCAATCCAGACCCGATACACAACAGGGAAAATGGAGAAATGCAATGGTATTGTGGAGTCCTTAGTGAATAGATGACAATTTCCTCTCAACGCCTTAAAACGATTCCAATGTGAAGAAAACGAATGCCGCCGACCCTTTTTTGGATTGGTACCTATTTAATTCACGAATGCGAAATCCAGTTATCGACCGAGAAATCGAATATACTAAAGGCCCGAAGTGGTAACCCCCTAACTCCTTTCACGTATTGGTTCTTTTTTTGCCCTTAATCCACTACAAATAAGACCACTTAGCATTTCGTAATATGACGCCGTAGCATGCAACTCAGGCTCCCGGGAGATTAAACCTTTGGTATTTTGGAGAACTAGGCCAACTTTCTAAAGCCCTCAACCCCGAGAGCCGGTACTTCGACGTCGCTCAATCCGAGAACACCTTCCTCTCGTCTGCGGTCAACAAAGCTGTTACATTCGGCTACGACGAGGCTCCATTCGGCCAAGGCACGGCCCGCATATTTTACGCCATGAGCAAAGAACCCCTTCGGCTCAACTGGCATGATGATAGGTTCCTGCATAGGGGAAATCGGACTTCGATTTAACGCATCGTCTCTAGTTCGACTAGTAGAGCTCACCGGACTAAGAGGCAAATCGTCATCATGTCTGTCAATGGGACTCGATTGGCCAATGCTCTGTCGGCGGTCAAACGCCATAGATATGCGGTGAGGCGATGGCGGGATCTCGGAGGGATTAGCGTTCTTTGCTGAGTTGACTAGCCCAGGATTGGGGCTTCCGGAAACTGCTCGAGTCGGAGCTGGCCGGCCCGCGGACGGCGGCGGTGGACTTCCTGTTCGTCCTTTTGCGGTCACCCAAGATTGTGCGGGGCTCGGCAGCCGCGGTCGAGTGAGGATGCGATTTGGAGGAGACATAGTGCCGGCGGCGTTCCAAGACAGCGTGAACTTGAAAACATACTGAAGAGCATCATATGTGGGCGACGAGCCTATGCTATCCGAGTCAGAACCGGGCGGAGTGACGTTAGATGAGCCCTTAGGCGGTAAGGTAGGTCGAATGCGCGACGCCGCCGTCTCGCGTCTCACAGCTTCCAGATCATTATTAGTATTGCCTCCGGTAAACGAGAAGAGTTTGCCTAGGATGCTGCCCCTCTTCTTTTGAAAGACAGGTTCAGGGTAGTCGACGGAATCCATTGACTCGAAATCGGTGGCTGGGGTCGCGGGATCGCTCTGCGGAGGTAGGGGGGCAGACGAATCAAACCCCATCATCAACCCGGGTTGTACAGTTGGCAACTCTGTGCGGATGATCATGAATCGTTTCCCAGGAGTTGGGAACGAAGGCGCGGTCGATGGTGGGAATTTGCCTTGTTGCTCAGTCTCATGCTTCAACCAAAGGTAGTGAGACCACACGGTCTTGAGACGCGAGTAAACGGCAAGGAATATCCTCCTGTGACGTAGTTAGTAAAGTAGCAACGTTAAGATTTTGAAAAGGGTTTGAGATCCTTACGTATCCGACTCATTTGCACTACCGGCGTCCCTACATATCCTCCAGCATAGCAGTCGCATGTAGTAAGCCCGGACCATAGGACACCAGTTGTTGAACAACTTATTAAATACCTCCTCTGTGAGCAACCAGTCCAGACATACAGCCTCCTTACGAGACTGATCGCTCGCGATAGCCTCCCATATTGAAAAGATGAATGAGAGCACACGAATCTCAGACATCGTATTGTTGGAGTTCATAACTCTCTTGCAAACCTCAAGCCAGAACGGCCAGTCAACGAAATTCTGGGAATCGACAAAATTCTCGTAAGCCACCAACGATTCTTCGAGGAAGTCACAGATTGTGAAGCATGCATTGTGATCATACTGCGAGGTTCGCTTCGCAGTAGCTCTCATAACGGCCATGAATGATTCCGCAAATGTGTGCCGCGCGTCCACGTAATACATAGATGCGGGGGAAAGCAAATCCTTCAACAGCACTATCAGCCGGTTCTCGCTCATTCCTTTCATGACATTGCTACTCGGGGGAACCGGCAAGGCCATGGCGGACGCATCGGCACCGTGAATTGCGTCGGTAAGTGGAGGCGCTATCATAACGTCCACAGCCGCCTGACGATGTACGGTCGAGTCTAGAATAGTAAGCACCTGAGCGTTTACCAGAACAAAGCCCGGCGCACGGGCTTTTCCAGCCAGCGTCAGTCCCGAGGGCAGGAACTCTTCAACTAATATATAGTAATATTTGCAGAAGATGAAGAACAGGTCAGTATCACGTCCTGCCCACCTAGAAACCCACGGCCCTCGCCAGGGGATCTTGGCTGCGGTAAGTGGTAGTGTAGCAGCCTGCCTAAGCATACTAGTCAAGTCCCTCACGGAAGTCCAACCAAGCTTGTCAACGCAATGAGGAAAATACGCCCCAATGTCATCAAATCCGCGTTCAGTATGCCGCGGTAGGCCGAACTCATCCTTCACTCGGCGTATCCGGTCCGGGGACAAAGACCAGAGCCGCACTAACACGTCGGCAATACCTGGCGCGAAGAAAAAGGCATAAGCACAAGCCTTGCCCGCAAAATTGACGAGACTTAAGGGAGCGTGTCGAAGTGACAGCTTCTCTACCACGATGGCCATTTGTGCTACAAGATTTGTGACAAACATAGTTTTCACATTGTGTCTCGCAGATTCGGCCAAGTAGGCAGAGTCGGTCGAGTCCATGGAGGCCGAGGACTTGTTGCGTCTAAGTCCGGATTGCCCTTGTTGTTGCTCTGCGGAACTTCGATCCACGAGTGGACTGAAGTTGACGGCGCACTGCCGCCATTCTAGCCTCATCATGAGAGAAGTCAAGGCCTCGAGCAGGATAGGCCTGTCAACTCCTGCAACAGGTTGTTGAATCTTTCCCTCAAACAGCTCAAGGAGTCCAGTCCACCATTTATTCAAGATAAGGGCACGCCGTTCAAGGTCTTCGTGGTGTAGCCTTTTATTCGAATAATGATTCGCGTGATTTCTTAAGAACGGCATCAGAACGTTTCGGACCATGCCCATTTTCAGAGCTGTAGACTTCGACTGGAATTTGTGAGATTCTGAATCCAGGGCCTTGAACGCTGACCAAAGAGGGTCTCGGGACTGCGGCAATTTTTTCAGCAAGACGTTGTCCTCTGGGAAGGTACTGTTGCTCGTCTCGGACGTATGCGACTTGCGGGTTTCGGTGGACGGAGGAGCGATGCTAGCTGTCGAGGATGCAGGACTATCGCGGTCATATTGAGCTTTGCCCTTCGCCAACATGCCGGGCTGTCGTTGCTTGATCCTATTAAGATAACTTCCAAATTTACTTAGAGACTCAGTCGACTTATTGCTTTCGCTATCGGCGGGTGACACCGGACGCTTCCGCGAGGACCTCCTAAGCTTCATGATCGAACTGTTACTGGCAGATCGTTCACGACGACCCGGTCGTCCCTCTGGGGTCGTTTCCGTATCGTCCTTCTTGTCACCAGGAGAGGGCGATCGTGATCCCATCCACGAACGCTTCGCAAGAGAAGAAATCGAATCCGAAACGTTTCTATATTTGTCGTGAGACTTTGGTGTTAGGAATCTAGGGTCATTAGTATCCTCTTCATTAGGACGCTCCGTATCCATCGCGTCTCCGGCGTCTTCTACAAGGTGTAGAGATGGCCTAGATGAAGGCATCCATGACTGTGGTCGGCTTATTGTCGCTCTTCGTTTTGGCACCTTAGCTGACCCGGAATCGGGGCCAGCCATACTGTTTTCGCTGTATTCAGGCGTAGGTTTCTCATTGGTACTGCTCTTCACGACATCCTTCGAGAAGGAAAAGCTAGTATCGAGGTCAGTGCCGAAGTCGAAAGAAGGTACATCGAATGAAGGTAGGCTAGGAAGGTTTTTGGCGCTCGATGGTCGATTGTGTAACTTCGAAGCCACGTTCGATTGTGGTTGGAAAGTTTCGGGATTTGACAGCAAATCTGATGTGGAATGCGAAGTAGAGTGACTGGAAGAGCGAAATGGCCTGGTGGGCTCGACGGTTGGCAGGGCCGTAACTGTCAGGGTTGGGCCACTCATCTCATTGCAAGTGTCTTTGCAGCCTGGTGGATCAGCACAGCTGAGGCCAGATGGAATGGCAGTGGACAGATCTGGCGACGCAGATCTGCTTTGTCGGTCGCCCTGGCGATCAAAAGGGGGAAAAAAGCTCACAACCTCAGGGTGACTTATGAGAGCTTAGGGGAGAGGACGAGGGTTAGACGGCTGGAGGGGGCGTCGCTCAAGGTTTCAATCCAACGATGTCACCTCAAGTTATTAGGTTATCTGATGCAGCGAAGAAAAACAAATAATCCCCGCCAAAGATACAATGAAGTTATGTAGAAGAATAGTAAACAATAACGTAGGAAAAAAAATTACCCTCTTTCGACTTTCGTGTGCACCACTATGTATGGAGACAGGATGCTTGAAAAGAGAAGGTTTTAAAAAAATCAGAAGTCACCAAACGAATGTGGGTGAAAGATCAGTTTGTTCAAGACCAAGAAGCGACAGACGGGTCAAGCTAACAAATTGATGTTTCAAAAGCTGAAGGCACGCCCAGGCCCTGTTGGTCCACGGTCCCAAATCGTAGGTACACTAAGAACACTAAATTTGTCTAAGTTGCGCTGCGTAGCACTAACTTAGTACTAATTGGTGGGGGCACAGCAGGTACCTTACTGCCTACAGCACTTGAAAGCACTTAAAAAGTTCGGGTGGCAGCGACGGTCCATAGCGGTAATAAGGCGGCGGCTCAGCCGAGGCGCACTGCAGGTGCAGGCCTTTATTGATAGCCCTATTAGCTGGATGATAGATGTACCTTGTACTGTATGTCACCACATACCTACATCATAATTCAGCTGATGACTTAACGTAACTTAACTCTTTTTGGGGTCCGTCTCCTATATTTCAGATTCGCTATGTTACAGATTCGGCCATCCATAAAATCCCCACGTTTATTCTAACCAACCTATATTTGCATTGGACCATCGCCACTCCTGGCAGTTGTCTAGATCTTTCACATTTGGTTGGTATTAAGACGGTAGAAATGATCATCGAATAAATACACACCTAGGTATGCAAATTGGTAATGATGATGTGACCGCTCATATCCTAAAAGCACGTCCACAAATACGTGTAGACTCAATCGATACACGTACGCTTTTCATAGAGATCGGCAAGCCTGCCCGGTCTATGAACCAGGATGCTCCAATGGGCACAGGACGAAGCGAACCTTTTGCAGCAGGCGTCCTGCATTCCTGCGACTATGAATCAATATTCGTGGCCCGAAAACTCTATGCAAACTATCTGCAGACTTGCGGGGTGGGAAGTTAATTGGAAGACTGAAGGAAGTAAGAGAAAAAAAAATACATCAAGTATTCGAACGGTTGGACAAGAATGACTTTGAAAAACGGTCTTGCGGGAAGTCGGGAAAGTCTTATAAGCGTACAATCCGAGACCCGCATGAGTTTGAGACTCAAGATTGGTTTGACCATCTGCTCTAGCACGATATCTGATCCTGTAGTGTTACTTAAACTGCCAAAACGGCATTCCATTATCACGAACCATATGACGTGCTATCCCACGTTCCAATTGGATATATGTACTAGGTAGTATATAATTTGTTGATCAAATCAATTGATGCATCGCGAACCCGAGCTGCCTTGACCGAGTCTAAATAGTCCGAACAGACCGATCTTTAACCTTTCCTCTCTTCGCCTTCGATTTCGACTATTAACCCGTTCTTTCTATTCGATGTCTTGTCGTATCCTTGCGAATATGCGCAAACATGCAAATATAAAAGCAAGCTTGGAGAAAATATTGACCGTTATTGTTTGCCCCTAACGCCTGCAAACTCACCGTCCAATGATGCCTCTAGTTGCCTACACGCTGATTCACATTTGCCGCTGGTACACATTGTGACTAAGGTGCGCCACACACCTCAGCCAATTACCCCTATTTGTGCCAGCTAAGACCCAAGGACATTGACAAGCTGAGCTTTCCCATCTTCCTAACTTGGATTAGCACTACGTAATTGGCGATTAAACTCGGCACTATCTCCAGGAAAGCCTCAATAGTTGAGACGTCCTAATAAACAACCCTTGCCTATTAGTAAATAAGCCCAGACTACCAAAGCTTGGGAGAGCTAGATACCGAGAACGCCTCGCCGAAGACTGATCACAAATGGTCCAAATTAAGAAAGCTGGAGCACGAAGTTATTACCAGCAGTAGCAGCTGGTCAAAATGATAGAATATACCAACATAATTACACGAGTCATGAAAATGTCAGGTTAGTCATAATGCTTTTATTGGACTGGGCAATTAACCGTTCATTCTGCATGTCACCACGAAAATCACGAAGTGTTATCGATTACTATGACAAAATTCCCTATCCAGGGGTGATGGGATTTCGCATTTCCGACCATGCACGGGCCGATATGACGTGACGTTGCAGGGGTTTAATTACTGGAGGGCACCCCGTCGGGGTACCACAATAACCCGACTTTTAAGGGTTTTTCCGATTTTTTCCCGTGTTCCAAGCGTTTTTTTAAATTTAAAAAATGTAAATTTTATTTAATTTAAATTAATATATTTAATTATTTATTAATTAATTAGTTTTTATTTTTTTATATTTATATTATTAATTTATTATATATATTTTACGTATTTAAAATTAATTTTATTAATTTTTTTATATTATTTATTAATTAATACGAAAGTTTAAAATTTATTTAATATTTATAATTTATAAAAAATAATAAATAAAATTTATTTAAATTAATTATATAAAATAATTAAATATATATAATAATAAAATTTAAATTATTTTTAAATAATTTTTAATTTAAAAAACTTAAAAATTTTATTTTTAATATTATTTTTTAAAATTTAAAATTTATTATTATAAATATCGGTGTAAAAATAAAATTAATTTTTTTAAAAAAATAATTAATTTTTTTTAAAACGTTAATTTTTATAAAAAAAATAAAAAAAACATTATTTTATAAATTAATTAAATATATGTTTTTTATTATTAAAAATAATAATAATATTATTTTTAAAAAACTTATTATTAAAAATATATTATAATTTAAACGAAAAATTAATTAATAAAAATTTAAAATAAATTTTTTAATTATATATTAAATATTATTTATTATTTTTAATTTTTAATAATTATTTTCGGTTATATTTATTAATATTTTTTTTATAAAAATAAAATAAACCGAAACTTTTAATTTCGAATTATTTATAATTTTATATATAATATATAATAATATTAATTTTTTATTTTTCCGAAAAATATAATTTAATAAAAAAATTTATATTTTTTAATTTTTTTTTTTTATAAATATTAAAATTATTTATAAATTAATTACGTGGCGCATTTAATTTAAAAAATAAATTACTTTTAATTTTTTATTTAATTTAATATTATTTATATAAACGAAATAAATATTAAATAAATTCATATTATTAATTATTTATTTTTTATTTTATAACCGGTAAAAAAAAATTATATAAATAATATTAATTATTTATATTTATTAATTAAAAAATATTATAAATTTAAATTTAAATTAAAATTAATAAATAAAAACTTATTTTTTATTATATTTAAAAAATTTTTATTTAATTTCGTTATATATAATTTTATTTATAAATTTTTTAAAATAAAATAAAAAATTTTTTTATATAAAAATAAATTAATAAAAATTTTTATAAAATATAATTATTAAAATGCCGTTAAAATTTATGTTTAATTATTTTTTTAAAGTTTATAATTATTTATTAATTTTTAAAAAAAATAAACCGAATATTATTAAATATTTATTAATTATTAAAATATTTATATTTTTTTATTTATTAATTTTATTAATTAAAATCGTTTTTTTAATTATTTTAAAAAAATTTATAACGAAATAAATCATCGTATTATTAATATATATTCCCGTATAATTTAACGTTATTATAACTTTAATATAACGGCGGTTATTTTTTTTTTTAAAGTTTTAATTAATATATAAATAATAATATTTTTTTTTATTTTCTTTTTATTATTTAAATAATAAAATAATTAAAAAAATTTATTCGGTTATTCGTTATTATTATTATTTTCCCCGGATTACGTATAATTAATTACGTTAAAATGTTAAAATATAATATTTAAAAATATTATTTATTTAAAATTTAATTTTTTATTTTAAATTAAAATCGCGTTAACGTTAATTTATATTTAATTAAAGTCGTATTAAATTATAATACGCGTTAAATAAATAATTAATTTATTAATTAATTATACATTTATTAAATTATCGTTTATTTTTAATAATTTACGGGTTTTTATTATTCCCGTTAATTCGGAAAATTTAATATTTACATTAATTAACTCGTTTATAATATTTATTATTTCGCGTAATTTTATTATATTAAATATATTAAACTTGTTTTTTTAATTTTTAATATTATTTATAATAATTTTAATAATCGCGTCGTTTTTTATTATTAAACTTAATATTATAAAATTATTATTATTTAATATATTTATATATTAATTTATTTTAAAATTAATAAATATTTCGTTTATTTTTTTAACGTTATTAATTATAAAACCACGCGTAAATTATTATATTTTAAATTTAAATAATAAGACTTTAATTATAAAAAATTTTTAAAAATAAATATTAATATTTTTTATAAAATAATTAAACTTTTTTATTTTTTTTTTATTTTTAATTTCTTTATTTTCTTTTTTTTTAATATTATCCGGATTTTAAAAATTATTATCGGAATCGTTATTTATACGTATTTATTTAATTTTCATTTAATTAACTTATATTTTTTTATTATATTATATATTTTCGCGGTTCTTTTATAATAAATTAAAATTATTATTATAAAATTAAATCCGTTTTAATATTTTTTAAATAAATTCTTTTTATATATTTATAATAATACCGGAATTTTTTAATAAAAACTTTTTTTAAAATATAAATAATTTTAATTAAATAATAACGAAATAATAATACATTTTTTCATTTTAAAAATTTAATAAATATACATTTATTATTATTAAAATAAATATTTTTTTTTATTTAATAATTTATTAATAAAATCATTTATTTTTTAAATTATTATAAAATTTAACGTATCGTTTTATTTAATATTTAAGTTTTAATATAATATTAAT